TTTAAGCAAACAATTTTGAAATTCTTTTTTATGCAAAATATTAACATGTTTTTTTTATTATTTTAGGCAAAATTGTGTGCGAAATGCAACGAATTTTCATTATTTATTTATTTAATGGGTTCAGAACTGTTGTTCTATTCCTGTGCTTACTTATGCTAAAAGAGTGCAAGAGTGGAAATGAAAATAACTTTAACTGTTATTTTTAAAGTATCAAAGGTGTTTCACTGCACTTAACATTTGCTCAACTTGCTTCCTATTAAACTGCGAGGGTATCTGAGTTTTCGGTCCTCCGAAGCCGCTCCTTCAATTTCTATTTCTCATTCTGTGCTTTCGATTTAAAAGGGTCCATCTGCCTCTGCCTATGTCACATATGTTAACAACTCTGATGCTTTGCGGGCCATTCAAAGCGTCAACAACATTATGATCGACGGGCGACTTATAAAGACTAGTTTGGGGACAACCAAATACTGCAGCCACTTCATGAAAAACCAGCAGTGTCCCAAGGGGGACTGTATGTACTTACATGAACTGGGAGATCCCGAGGCCAGTTTTACAAAAGAGGTAATTGCCCTGATCAATCTAAAGTGGCAAATATTAATGTTCTGTGCCTGTTTTAAAAAGGAAATGCACCAGGGAAAACATCAGGAGTACGAGAAGCGCCTACACGATACTCTTATTGCCTCTTTCGGACCGAATACAGCAGGTATTATAAATGGTAACGGAGCTTCTAAAGCAAATGGTAATTTCCTTCTAAGTAGCCACTTAATGACTTAATAATATCTATCCCCAATCAGCCGCGATTCCATCGTCTTCGTCAGCATCATCATCGTCCTCTGGATCGGGCACGAATGCTTCGAGTGCAGCCAATGGCCAGCAAAAGGAAGCCTGGCCCAGTTTATCGGTCTCGCCCATCAACGGCAGGGAGGCGACTGCGAGTTCGAACAATTCCAGTGGGAAGAGCAAACGGGAGAAGCTGCGCAACGAGAAGAGACACGAGAAGAACAAATCGAAAAACAAGAACAATGGCAACTCGAACTCCACCGCCTCAAACAAGGAGAATTTCGTTCCCGAATCCCGTGGCAGCACAAGTACTGAGACATTCGCCGAGGCCACAACAGATGCGCCAACCTCCACAAAGGCTGAACCGCAGCAGAGCACTAGCAATCGATCGAGGGCAGATCGCGGAAAAGATCGACCCTCGACTGCAGCAAAGGAGCCGAAGAAGGTTAAGGAACCTGTCTCAGCAACCGTAGCAAACAAACAGGTGGAGCGAATTGAGCCGAGCGAGAGTACAATAATACATAAGAAAACGGAGGTAACCGAAAGCTGTGAAGACAATTTACCACAAAAGAGATTAGCGGGAACAAACGTTCAAAGATCTGTGAGCTCTTGTAGCGAAACTAGCGAAGGGCATGTCTCAGAGAGTAGCTTAAGTGAAAAGAGTTTAACTGGTGATTATACGGAAGAGAAGTGCAATAGTGTGATTTCTGAAAGCCACCAAGACAGTGTTAAGACTCAGGACGATACCGAAAAGATCAACGATGCTATTGCTGAGGCTGAACCGAATCTTTCGGGATCTAAAACTCCTGAGAGCATCAGCCCCATTGCAATGGCACCTAGTAATGGCAAAGAAGCAGGCTGCTTACCCGATGAACCAGCCGATATCTCGAGTCTGCCAGAGAACGAAAGCCGAGTGACTGGTATGGATGCTTATCTAACTCGAACACACGATTCTCACAATTATATAGTTTCAGATGCATTGTCCAAGCTCAACATTTTCGATGACCCGCCCAGTTTCTTCACATCGTCATCATTCCAGCAGGCACCCTTAATAAAAAATAAGCTAGATTTGGAAATGCGACAGTCTCATTTACCAGACTTGGTCAACGGTAAGTTTTCTTGGGAAAAATAAAAAATAAAGATTGTATTATTTTTAAGACTTTAGCTTTTAAACTTCTTATTGGAAAAGTTTCGCTCGAAATGTCCGTACAATTACAATTTTTGTTTTTCGAAGTGAAGCTGCTCAGCAATCTTAATAACAACTGAAAATCTTTATTTTCTTCCTAAATAATGCCAATTTTTTTCATTTTTCGGTACTGCTAAACATCATAAACCACTTACTAAAAAAATATCAACGGGCGTACACAGATATTGATGGAATCCAAAAGGCATCAAATACAAACGGTAAACATTTCTTTATTGCATGTTTTAAAAAAAAATGTATTTGCTAATAATAATACTAGAAATATCAATAGTTTTGTTTAAAAAAAACCTATTATTATTAACAAGTTTGTTTGTATTAACTGCTCAATTGTCTATATATTTTGAAAACAGAGTGGGAGGAAGCTTTCAAAAATGTGATGATACGCAACACAAGGCATGTGGAGGAGCAACTGCTTCAGCAGCAACATTTGCAACAGCAGCAGCAGCATCACCACCAGCAAGTATTGCACCAACAGGAGGAGTTCCTTCGCATGCACGAGCTACAAAAACGCAACAACTTTGCGACAAATATTTCACAAATAAACGGTCCTGCAAACGGTAAGATTTTCTTGATTTCATATACTATGTACTTTGCTGTTGTAGACCACTTGTTGTTATTTTCACTGTTTTTGCTGTGCTTGTTATATAAAATCTTATATTTTTTCAGATTTCCTTAGCCATTTCCAGGCTAATTCACTCGATTTAAATAGAGTACAAGCACATGCACTTCTGCAGCAACAACTATTACAACAGCAAACGGGGGAGAATCTGTTTGGCGGAAACATGTCGAAGTTCTTTGACTTTCATAAAAACCAGCAGCAGTCACACCATCAGTATCTAAATGGACACCCGCCTCAAATGAATGGAAATAGTGCTGTGCCCGAGCCACAACGTGTGGCGGCCTTTTTGGAAAACAATCGACTGAATTCGCCTTTTGTCGAAAATGGTAGGTTCTATATAGTTCGATAAATTCCTGCTAACCGTCAGTAATGAATCACGTCATTATCCCAGGACTCATTAATTCACAACAGCAACCTCAAAAGCAGAGGATGATGGGAATGTTTGAAAACTTGGTAAGTTTTCTATTTTTTAAAGTAAATATTATTCATTGAAGTTATCAAACCTTTTTTTTGATTCTTCAGCCTCCAAACACGCAATCTCAGCAGAGTCGGTTTACGCAGAACTCGATAGTCGACGATGACTTAGGTAAAACATGGCTAATATTGCACTTTCGAGGTTGTCCATTAATTGTTTGTCCTGCCCTAAGGTTTCGACCCCTTTATTGAGACCCAAAAGGGACTTGCTGAACTTATGGAAAACGAAGTTGTTCAACAACAGAGTATTAACAATGACAACCCCGGACCGAAGCTGTTACCACAGCCTCAAATTCCACCCCATCCGCAACTGGTGGACAACTTGCAGAGGGCACGCATGCCTCCGCCGGGCTTCAATCACATGAACACATTGGGTCTGGGCGGAGCATCCAGAATGCAGCACACGAGTAAAATGATGCCCTTCATGAACATGCCTGTGAACGGGGTGGGAAACAATGGGCCCCAGGGTCAGCATCAGGTGCCGATGGCTGCCAACTGGAATGCTCATTTGGCCATGCACCAAAATCCAGGACAGCCCGTGGGCGACTCACAATTGCAGCACCCAATGGCTCACAACAAGGGTAAGTAGTTTCGAAACTAAACTGGTAATCATTGAGAGTAAGGATTTCCTTTAAACCGCACTTTAGCAGAACGGTTAGTTTAATGGCTGAAAAATTTAAATGTTAATGAAATTAGCATCATCAATATCTTCCTTGAGGTTAAAAACTTCAGTTTGTAGTTTTCCACTTCGAACTTTTTTACAACCTCATTAATTTTTAACAATAACTTGATATCACAATTTATAGCTGCTAATATTAAATATTATCATCACTGAATGGGATTTTTAATAATGTTTTTAAACGGAAAAAGAAACGGAAAGCTCATTCGACTATATAAAGTATTCCTATTTTATTAAACTTAAATCATTTTATTTATACTACTTATATTAAAAAACAGATTTGATTTTTTAAATAATAATTTTAGTTCCTTTGTTTTTGGGAGATTGTCTTTTTGTTGAAATAAGTTTGACTAGTGTAGTTCATAACAATCTACGTGGTGATGTGCTTTTAAAATAAAATATAAGAGTGGGTGGTCAGGTTGATGGGGATTTTTCTACTTAATTAAATTACTAATGATATATTATCCCCAACAGTTTACAACAATAGTGATTGGACTTCAATGGATCCGGCTATACTTTCGTTTAGACAATTTTCGTCTTTCCCACAAAACCAAATTCCCCCACATCCTCAACAGCAGCAGGATATGTTTTTGCAGCATTTGGCTCAACAGCAAAATTCCCAGACTGGTATGTGTTTATTCGAGAGGTTTGCATCTCGACAGGCGATTAAATGTAGCTTACTCGTCTTTCTAGGTTTCACGAATCAGCCACAGCAACTGCTTCCTATGGCGGCGATGCCCAATAATTTGCTGAACGGACAACAGCAGCCGCCACAGGTCAATGCCAATGTTCAGGGCATGCTTGAGTTTTTAAAAAGCCGTCAATTCGTTTAGCTACAATACATATAAATATTACATTTGTTTACCTGTACTCTTTATTAAATATTTCTTAAAGTAAATATAGGCAAAATAAAATTCGAATATAATGAAACTATATGATACAACAGACGGTCCAGTAAAATTTTGCATATTGAAGCATTTGGAGGCAGAAAGACTTGAATCCCTACATTCCGTGCCCGATGTCCTCACTAATGAAGCTGAAAATCGAATAACTCTTTGCCAGGTTTAATATGCTTGGTAGTATAATGCAACTCCCAGTGATTTTTTTAAACTTTAAACCTACTCATTCTAATTGCTTGCTGGAAAATAGACAGATACCATGGCAATAAGTAGCAAAGAAAACCTCGTGATTGAACTTATCGAGACTGTATATAAATGTCATCTTTTAAACAATAAAAACATGACTTGAATAGTTGAAAGAAATTTATTACTACGCTCCAAACAACTACTTTCTATTCTTGGCGGCGTGGGGCAGACGATTCCCTTGACCAGCAGTTCCACCGAGGCGCATCGCATTGTTTCCAGGACCTCCGTATCCCTGGCCAGGACGATTGCCCACATTGTTTCGGTTGCCACCAGGGCGTCCGCCGCGTTGATTCTGCGACGAGTTGCCGCCACGGTTTTTATTCATCTCTGTGCGATTTCTCGACTTTGCCTGCGCATCCTCTTTCACCATGTCGATCACTTCGTCGGGAATACGCAAATATTTAATAGTACTTCCGCGGATATAGCATTCCGGCATTCGCCAGAAACGGTCGCCGTCCTGCAAAGATTATGTTGCTATAAAAATCCTCTGTTTTTCACATATTGTTTGTAGGTAAACACGTTTACCACTCAGTTAAATAATACTTTTGAGGTGCAAATTACATCGCGCAGATTGATATTCATCCAGGAGTCGCAACTAACTAAGTGGCCATTGTATGTTTCACCATTTTTCAGCTCCACCAACTAAATAAGTGACAGAATATGAAAATGGTTCAAAATTGAAAAGTATATAATGCCACATATAACTTACCATAGGATGGCTCTGTGCTGTTTTCAAAAGTGACAGTGGTAGCTAAACCCATTGAAAATTAATAGTTTTTTATTTACAAAGAAATAATATTGCTTACCATTTTGTTGAGATATCGATTTATACAGCGATAACTTAAATTTGGAGGAGATTAGAGAAGAACTATCGCATTGTTGGAATGAAATGGAAACAGAACAGTAAACGAAAAGGGGTGTTCCGGTTTTTATAATCTGGTTTAATTTATTTCTCAAAAATAATACTTTATAACTTTTCTTTTGGCCCTCTATGTTATTATAGTGTTATCTAACTTTCTGACAATAAGAGGCAGTTCAATTAAAAATCATTGTGTGTAATTATTTAAAACAAAATTAATATAACATTTTGCTATAATTTAGATTACTTTTATTAACACCCTTTTTTGAATGTCAAATTTAACAATTCAAACAGGTATATTTATTTAAATTACTTTAAAGCAGTTCGTCTTTGCAATGAATTTAACTCATTCAGTAGAAGGGCAATGTTATAGCGAACTTGCTGAAACATAGATAATGGTAATTCTAGAGTTCTAAATTCTCTATTCTGGAGTTTGAAGTGGAGGACAATCGTAGGTTTATCTATTTGCACAGTACTGAAAATAACGAAATGTCATGTATTAGTTTTATGTAATTTATAACAAATTTGTATAAATACAGGGGTGGTCAAAGGTTTTTAATTATGATCATCTTTTCATTTAATTTGTGTAACACTTTTAACCACCCTGTGTATCGTATTTACTTACTTTAAAGATAAGGAAATATTAATTCTCCACTGAAACTTTGTCATTTTAACACGGTCAATTTTAGTTTCAAAAAAGTTCTTGCTGAGAATGTCTCTATGGTTTAACAATACTTTGCAAATATCGTCAGCGTATTCGTCTGTAAAACTAATGATAAGATATGTACTAAACATTACTAATTTGCACTATACAAATGATTTGTGAATACCTACTTTAAATCATCCATTAAACAATTTCGCAACTCATGGTGTTTTACAACTCCTTTCGGGTATTTTAGAAAGATTTGCAACATCAAAAATACCATTGTAAAGAGTTCACAAAAGTTTGGCGGAATTTGATGGCCTGCATTTGTTATTTTGTTAAGTGCAAGCGAAAGCACTTCAGAAGACGACTTTTCCGTTTCAATAAAATGCACAGAAACTTGAATAAGGACACGCAACATAGATTTTGTCAGTTGCGACGTGAAAGGAGTGTATGGCTTAACACTCCTTAAAAGATTATATCTAAACGAAGACGACATGTTGTAAGTTCATTGTTTTATTTATACTTGCTTAAAACTTAAACAAACTAGAGATGTACACATTTCGATATCATCGAAACGATAGTCATCATACAATTTTTAAATGGGAATGTAGTGAAACAAATATTTAAACAAAAAGAAAAAATTTAGTAATTTAGTAAGGCGCAAAATTATTTTAATTTTGTAACCATCTTTATTTTTGATATAAATAAAGAAATGTTTGGAAATAGAAAAGAAGGCAAAGATGTCAGTTGTAAATTTAAAAAATTTTACTGACAATTTAAACAAATGTTTAATTTTTTTTTAGAAGGTTCCATGATCTGTTCCCATACACTTTACTCAACACATTTAGAACTTTATCCTAAGTAATGGGACACTTTTACGGTTCATTAAAATTTCATAAGCTAATTTAACTTGTCAATCAGGGCTACACTTAGACACAATTTCATTTCATTATATTATTTTAAGTGGCTCAATTCTGATTAATACTTATTAAACTCGATAATCGTGCTGAAGATATTATGGAAATCAAACAAAAACGTGTCCTTACGAAGAAACAAAGTAGTGACGAAAACTTAATCACCACTTTATTATTATTATAAAGCTCACATATTTCTTGGGATAAAATTTATTTGGAGCTGTTTAAAACTCATGAAAAGTTGTGTTACAACAGAGACTATAACTTGATGATATAAAGAACCATCCAAGAAATTCCATTTATACAGACCACATAATTCTTAATGCCAATCATTTAAATGTGGTTATACTGTAGATCGTGAGAATGGTTGAAAATAGGTTTATATGCCAAATCTGCTTTACTTAACAAAATTAATTCGCGATTTTTTCCATAACAAATTAATCCAAATTATACTAATACGTTTTCAGATCATTAAAAATAGAAAAGTAGAAAAATTGAAAAATACCTTTATAACTTATGTGGCTATACGCGCTTCGTCATGACATGGACGGACGTCCTCTGTGCTTGGAGTCGGTAATTACCACCTGCAATTCACGCTGTCAATCAATTGAAATCACTTACCATAAAAGTGTATATAATGCCTGACAAGCATGAGCATTGTAAAATGAAAATCTCAATTTGCATGTTTGTTTTTGTGCTCGTCGCAGGTGAAAAAAACCTGGATATGGAAGTATCGGTTTTGACCAATTTCGTTGTTAACTTGGTTAAAACCAAGCATACAATAGTCTTTTCTTGTTCGCTCAAAGGTAAGAAATAAGACCAAAATGTTTTTAAATTATATTTGACTTTAAATATTTAGACTTTCAAGAAACGACTTTTGCTCTGATGCAAAGAAACCAATTTGTGAGTGTCGTACATCTCAACGATACTTATTCCCTACCATCTATATTAACTATAGATAGTTACGCTAGAACCTCTATCCTAGTAAATGCGAGATGCAGTGGAACATCTGAGCTTCTCTTTGAAGCCTCTGAAAATAGATACTTCAACAAAAGCTACCAATGGTGTATCTGGGGTGTAGATCTTGACGTTCAATCGTTATTTCCTTTAAAACTTAATTATGTAGGTCCAAACGCTCAGATTACTTATGTAAATGAAACCAATGACGGCTACGCATATTGGGATGTTCATTCAAAAGGTCGCCATTTAAAATCGCAGTTGGAAATACATTTGATAGCTACTTTAATAAATGGCACAATTAATATTATAAGCGATATATCTCATTTGCAAAGCATTGATTTTCGCGGACAATTTAACGGATTGACACTTAGAGGAGCCAGCGTTGTAAGTTTCTAAAATTTGTATATTAACTTCCTGTAGCCTTTTGTTATATCCGATTTCAGATCGATAAGGAGGATATAATTTCAAACGAACAAATTGAATCTATTCTTTCGCGGCCCACAAAGGACTCTGGAGTAGCTGCATTTATAAAATATCACTACGAGCTTTTGGGACTTTTACGTGAGCGTTTCAACTTCACTGTTAACTTTCGTAATTCTAGAGGATGGGCTGGTCGGTTGGGAAATACTACCTTTCGGCTTGGTCTCTTGGGAATTGTTATGCGAAACGAGGCGGATATTGCCGCATCTGGAGCATTTAATCGCATTAACCGTTTCGCAGAGTTTGATATAATTCATCAAAGTTGGAAATTCGAAACTGCTTTTCTATACCGATATACTCCAGACTTATTTACGCCTGGAGGGGATAGTGCTGCGTGGGCAGGAAACTTTCTGTCACCATTTAGCACCAGAGTATGGTTCTTCTCGTTATTAACCCTAGCTGCATTTAGCATAATTTGGGTGCTATTTGAAATTATAGACGGAAAGTTTTTAGATAAAAGAGATGATTCCCAAAAACAAGAAATCTCAACTGAGTGTGCACTCAACGCGAAGGAAAAACTTAAAACGGCATGCATCGAACGTGTTCTGCAGACATTTGGAGCTTGTTGTCAACAGGGAATGGACCCGAATCCGAAAGACCGTTCTGTACGCTTTCTTGTAATGACCCTTTTTTTGTTCTCTCTTGTAATGTACAACTATTATACATCTTCTGTGGTTGGAGGATTGTTGAGCTCTTCAGATCAAGGTCCGGCTACTGTTGATGAGATAACTTCTAGTCCTTTAAAAATTTCATTTGAGGATATCGGCTACTACAAAGTTTTATTTCGAGTAAGTAAAAAAACACTTTAAATTAAAAAGTATATAACCTTTATTACTCGAAAGGAAAGTAAAAATCAATCAATTACAAGACTAATAGAAAAGAAACTGTCCTCTTCGAGAAGTTCTAAAGAACTGCCGATTTTTAGCCATATTGAGGAAGCTGTTCCATATCTCAAGGCCGGCGGCTTCGCTTTTCACTGTGAAGTAGTTGACGCTTATCCGGTAATTGCTGAATTTTTCGATGCGAATGAGATCTGCGATTTGCGTGAAGTCTCTGGCTTAATGGAGGTTGAAATATTAAATTGGATTTTACACAAAAACAGCCAGTATACTGAAATATTTCGAACGGCGTAAGCGAGCGTATACTTATTATATTTGAATTTCGAAAACTGATTGCTTTTCTCAAATAATTTGAGGAGATGAACAATTATTCAAATATTTAATTCAGAGCTAATAACGCTATTGAGTTACTTTTTGTGTAACAACGTGAAAAGGAGTGCATGGTCACTCTTACACTTTACACTTTCAGCTGTTATTAAAATATGGTTTGTGGGTATTAAAGATAAAAAATTTTTAAGTTTCCAAGCGTTCACACAAAAATTAAACTTGTTTTTTTCAAACAAGTAAGAATAATTACATAATAATATAATTTTATTTAACGTTGATCAACCAATTTAATGGTTAATCATAACATATTCAAACCACCAGTACTGAAAATATAAGGCAATCAATTTTTCGAAATCATATTTATTGTTAATATAACAATTCCTATGTTGTTTTAGTATGTGTAACGCCCAGGAAAAAGGTTTTGTGGAACGCATTCTACGACGGCGGCAGATTAAAAAGCCCACCTGTCTATCACTATACACTGTTTACCCTGTAAGCATATCAGGAGTTTTACCAGCATTTATTATTTTAATCTGTATGTATGATATGACAATTTGTAAATCTTCAAATTTAATTATTTTATATATATTACAGGTGGGATTATAATTTCGCTGATGCTTTTGTGTGTGGAGAAATTGTATGTGAGGCTGGAAATGGCAAACTGTCGAGTTTAATATTTTTTTTTATTTATCAAGTTTTTAAATGATTTTGCAATTATTTTATGCAACATAAAATATTTAACAGCCTCATATATAAACTTTATGCACAGTTTGAAATACCATCATTGTTTCATTCCACACGTTTCAATAATTTTAACAAGTCAAAAACGAAATAAATGTAAACTCCGAATGCAGCTCTGCGTACAATTTTTCAACTTCCTGTCACGCTGTATATGTGATTCTTTCTTTCCTTTGATTCTGTTGCCGAAGCAAGGTAAGTTTTTGGGGTTGTTAATTTTTAAGTCTAGTTTAAGTGAATTAAAACGCATAAATACAAAGTTAAAGTCATTTAGACTTGTAACTGGTTTCGAGTGCATTACGTGGCTCTTGTTATTTTATTGGAAAATGAAAATAATTGCAGTGCACATGTAACATTGTCTAGGAGTTCACATTGCTAAAGTAGACTTGTGAAGAGATAAATATTGTGAAATTTAAATTTATACATTAAGGTAAGTGAAATTTCGCGTGATTAGTTTTCTGTGGATGGCTAGGAAAGGCTTCTCCAGGAAACATTTCGCACTCCCCCCGCTTTCTATAGAGTATTAACCACTTGCATATATTTCAGAACTGGTCTCCAGAATTAACAAGTAACCATGCCGCAGAATGAGTATATGGAGCGCCATCGCAAGCTGTATGGCAGGCGACTGGATTACGAGGAGCGGAAACGCAAGAAGGAAGCTCGTCTTCCCAAAGACAGAGCACGCAAGGCTCGCAAGTTGCGCGGCATCAAGGCCAAACTCTTCAACAAGGAGCGGCGCAATGAAAAGATTCAGATCAAGAAGAAGATTCAGGCCCACGAGGAGAAGAAGGTCAAGAAGCAGGAGGAGAAGGTGGAAGATGGAGCCCTGCCACATTACCTGCTCGACAGAGGCATCCAATCCAGCGCCAAAGTCCTGTCCAACATGATCAAGCAGAAGAGAAAGGAGAAGGCTGGCAAGTGGGATGTGCCTATTCCTAAAGTTCGCGCCCAGTCAGATGCAGAGGTCTTCAAGGTGCTAAAGACTGGCAAGACGAAGCGAAAGGCGTGGAAGCGCATGGTCACCAAAGTTACCTTCGTCGGCGAGAATTTCACCCGCAAGCCACCAAAGTTCGAACGATTTATCCGACCCATGGGCCTGCGCATGAAGAAGGCCCATGTGACGCATCCAGAACTGAAAGCCACCTTCAATCTGCCCATTATCGGAGTGAAGAAGAACCCCAGCTCGCCCATGTTCACATCATTGGGTGTAATCACAAAGGGCACAGTCATCGAAGTCAACATCTCTGAACTTGGATTGGTAACGCAAACAGGAAAAGTTGTCTGGGGCAAATACGCTCAGGTCACAAACAATCCAGAAAACGACGGCGTTATCAATGCAGTGCTGCTTGTCTAACCAACAAATGTTGCTCCCTACTTTAAGAGTTTGCTTAATAAACAACCATATACACAAATAACGTAAAACTTTGGTTTGATTTTCCTAGATTACTTACAATCTAAGCATTATTTTCGACTCCTATATAAATTTTGTACTATATTAACATTTTCTTATTTCTTGCAGTTTGGTGACTGGAATACAAGATGCAGATCTTCGTTAAGACCCTCACGGGCAAGACCATCACTCTTGAGGTCGAACCGTCGGATACTATCGAAAATGTTAAAGCCAAGATTCAGGACAAAGAAGGAATTCCTCCAGATCAGCAGCGTCTGATCTTCGCTGGCAAGCAGCTGGAAGATGGCCGCACCCTCTCTGACTATAACATTCAGAAGGAGTCCACTTTGCACTTGGTGCTGCGTCTGCGTGGTGGTGCCAAGAAGCGCAAGAAGAAGAACTACTCCACCCCCAAGAAAATCAAGCACAAGAGGAAGAAGGTCAAGCTAGCTGTCCTGAAATACTACAAGGTACACACAACAATCTACCGACACCCGAAAACATTCTGATCTGTTCTTGGAATTCTTGAGTCTTGGTCTTGCGCTTAAGATTTGGATCTCAGAGTGACTTCACCAGTGCCCTGTCTATCTATCTATATCTTTTGACCAATCATGTTTGATCTTAACAATTAACCTCGTTCGTATTTTCCGCAGGTTGACGAGAACGGCAAGATCCACCGTCTCCGTCGCGAGTGCCCCGGTGAGAACTGCGGCGCCGGCGTCTTCATGGCTGCCCACGAAGATCGTCATTACTGCGGCAAGTGCAACTTGACCTTTGTCTTCAGCAAACCAGAGGAAAAGTAAATCTGCTACAAAACATGTACGTTTCCAGAAATCAAATAAAGGTAGTAATTGAATAATAAATTCAATCACAGAAACTTTACCTCTTTTTATTGGTATTTAATTTAATTGTATTTTTGGAAAATAAACAAAAAGAATGATTATTTTGACAAGATGAAGCTAAAAGCATACATTAATAAGCCACTGGTCTTCATTTGGTAAGTTCGTTAATAAACAAACATTATGGAAACTACATAATATCCATCGTTATAGGAATTTGTATAGTCATTTTTATGGGGATTAATTTAGTCATGCTTATTAAGCCGCCACTGCTGCAGAACTGTAAATCATGTTTTTTTTGTAAAAGCCAAATTTTTGATGGTGGCAACCCTCGACTATCGCTGTACTTACTTTTTTTTAATTAAAATAACAAAGTAAACAAAACATATATCTTCTTCAGCGGTATAATTTATTGTGAAATTATTGAATACATTGTAAAAGCAGCAATTTTTTTTTGACCTTGAGAAATGCAATTTATTTATTGTTTACCACTCAAACGTTGACTGTGTCGACTTTAAGGCTCTTCGACAAGAATGTCAGGATATCAGTGGCTTCCTCGATCCTCTTTGAGGTGGGCTTGCCGGCACCGTGGCCCGCCTTTTGATACACCCGCAACAGAACTGGGTTGTTTTGGAATTCGGAATCGCGAACAGCATCCTGCAGGGCGGCAACGAATTTCAGCGAATGCAAGGGACTGACGCGGTCGTCGTGGTCGGCCGTCAGGATCAAAGTGGATGGATATTCAGTTTCGGCACCCTTCGGAGTGTGCACATTATGCAGCGGCGAAAACTTGTAAAGATTCTCAAAGTGCTCCTTCTCCGATGGGTTTCCGTAATCCGAGCACCAAGCATGTCCAATGGTGAATTTATGGAAGCGCAACATATCCATTACTCTGGGAAATATAATTTTCACGAATATAATTTTAGCTTTTATATAGATATAAGATTATTTACGAACCCGACTTGTGCAACAGCAGCGCCAAACAAATCAGGACGTTGGTTAATACAAGAGCCGACTAGAAGTCCTCCGTTGGAGCCACCCTGGATGGCCAATCGGTCCTTGGTCGTATACTTATTGTCAATCAAATACTCGGCTGCCGCTTGGAAGTCGTCGAATACGTTCTGCTTGTTCAGCAGGCGACCGCCGTTGTGCCACTTTTCGCCGTATTCACCACCGCCTCGCAGGTTCGGATAGGCAAGCACTCCATCGAAGGTGTCAATAAACATAAGCCTTCAGAGATTACAAAAATATAGTAAAGAAAATCTATTTTGAAGCATAAAAAAGTACACACCCAGAGAGTCCGAAGGACGGAAGCATACTGATGTTGAAACCTCCGTATCCGTAAAGCAGACATGGTCGCGGCTCAATGGCATCCCGCTTTTTCCGAATTATAAACATCGGAACCTTGGTGCCATCCTTGCTGTTGTAGAATATTTGTTCCACGGCGTAGTCTTCGCGACGGAAGCCCTCCAAGTTGAGCTTGATTTCGCGAAACACCGAAGGCGCCTTCTCTGGTGTCTTGAAGTCATAGTGATAAATGGAGCCGGGGTTTAAAAACGATGAAAAGTTGTAGAATATTTCAGAATATTTCTTCTCTCCGGAGGTTCCCACAATGGTACCGATATCAAGATCGAATTCACGCAGTAGTTTCCCATCCGTCAGTGAATTGACCTGTAAAACGCTCTGTAAAAAAAGATATTAAAACCCATGTAGACTGTGAAAAATAAGCTCTTTCGTGGTAATTATTTACCTTCACATCCCTTATGTAGCAAACGAGCAATTTATCAGTATCAACGCATCTAACCCAGTCCAACACATCCGATTTGTGCTCCTATTTTAGAAAATTCAGTTTTAAATTATATTCAGTTGGAAAAACCATTAGAACTCACGGCTATAAGCGTTTCCCATTTGTCCTCCTCTGGGTTTTCAAAGTCTATGGCAATTACTTGATAATTTGGTGCATTTTTATTGGTACGGAAGAATACTTTTGAGCCTTCGTTGGTAATGTACTGCAATAGTAAGCAATATATTAACATGTTCCGAAGAAATTGATAGCAAACACTCACATCATAGTCCGCCTCGAATTTCTCCACAATTTTCTTGACACTCAGTTTGGAGTTGATTTCCTGTCCTGGCTCAAGGTCTGCATAGAAAACAATGTTGTCTCGGCAATCCTTCACAATAGCCAGAATCAAGTATTTCCCGCAATCGGAGACAGTAGATTGGCTTTATAACAGATAAAACACAATCATTATAACCCTACTAGAGATGTTTTTGTTAATTTTCAAGATTTCTTACATGCGCCATGATGGCTCTTCGGGGAACTCGACCACAAGTGTATCCTTATCCTGGCTTTCGCCCACCCGATGATAGTACAATTTTTGATTTTCATTTTGCTTGGTCTCAGATCCATCAGTTTTACCATCTTGATCGGGGTATCTCTGGATAAATACATTTAAGTTTGTGCTGCGAAAGAAATTCTATTACTTACACCATAGAAGAATCCCTTGTTGTCTTTCGTCCACGATATCTCGGAGAACTTAACCTTTTCGAGGACTTCGCTTAAATCCTTGCCAGTATCGGCGTCTCGAATGAGGATCTTAATCCAATCGGATCCACTTTCACTCAGTCCGTAGGCCATATATTTGCCATCTTCGGAAAAGGCTTTTTGAGTTAAGGCAACCGTACCGTCCTCAGACAAAGTGTTTGGATCCAGAAACACTTGGCTTTCGTCGTCCAACGATTTTTGCTGGTACATAACACTTTGGTTCTGCAGGCCGGTGTTCATAAAGTAGTAGTAATAGTTGCCATATCGCATGGGGCATCCGTATTTGGGATAGTTCCACAGCTTGGTCAGCTTGGAGTTGAGTTTTTGCCACTCGTCACCATTTTCAAGGAATGGCCGGCTTATGTTGTTTTGGGCGTTGACGAACTCCTCGGTTTCCGTCGAATCCGGATCTTCCAGCCAGCGGTACACATCCTTAATCTGGGTGCCATGGAAATCCTCCTCCACAGTGGCATCTTTGCGAGCAACTGGATACTCGATGAGCTTTTTGGACAAAGTGCTTGACATGGCTCTGGTACCTTGCGAATTATACACACGTATGTAACTATTCTTCTTCTTCAGCATGAAATGCTAATATTTCAAGCATTTACTCACTAGTGAAAATCAATTCTCGATGGATATTATTTCTGGGCAGTGCTTTTGGTACGATTACTTGGCAAAATCGGCGAAATAGCAATGGCCTTCGAAACACAGTATTCATTTGCAAAATTATCAATGCAGAAATGGAAATCTAATTTTCGACAGTTTCGATAAGCAACAGGGGCACTCTTTTATTTTTACTTTTTATCGGAGTCCGCTTTTGTCTGACGTTATTTTTATAGGTTTTAAAATCTAAAGAATTTACATTTACATTTTATAAAGTAAATATCAATTAATCTTTTAAAATTTTAATTTTTTATAAATAATTTTTAAATTACAATTTACATCTTTTTTTATTAGTTATATTAGATTAAATTTTAATATTATACTGAGCTTATACTGAGATGGCCGCTTATAGCGATTTTTGAAAAGTTAAGTTCTTACCATATACAAATATGAGAGAAAAGTTGTTTTAAAGGGATGTTTAAAGTTATACACTAAATTTACAATAATAAATTGAGCTAAAGCACGTCATAGATATAATATTTATGTAATATTTTTAAGTTGTATTCGACTAGGTCCCAATATACATATTAATCTTAGTAGGAGGCTGTAAACTAAAGCATTTGATGATCGAAAAGAATTTTAGTTTGTAAGCTAGTGTTTACGATTCAATAATTTAAAAAACTAAGTTAAAAAATTACAGAGCTTAACTGATTTTCGACAATGTAAACAGCTATTCCTCTGCATTTATACCGTTAAAAGTTTTTGATTTAATCTTGCAGGAGTACCCTTCCTAACATGGTCATTAATGTCAGGTGTGAACAGCCAACTGTAGCTGTAAATTAATCGACCTGTGAACAGCTTACCTCTGTTAGACCATATGTTCTGGCGAAATATAAACATAAGAGCAAAATTGTCCGTGTCTCAATGAATTGAATCGAAAATAGACGCTATAATTACTTCATTTAATTTGTAAGACACGAGGAACAACTTATTTTGTTTGGTATGTAGCTTTGTTTTTATTTCTGGCACAACAATTACTTAGATGAATCGGTCTTTTACTATTTTAAATTTCCATATGTATGTTTTTCTTGGTCAGCAACTTGTAGGCACATATGTACGTACATATGTACATATGTATGAATACATAAACAAACATTGTAAGCATTTAAACGTATTAACTTAACTGACTTGTGTTTTTTTTATGTTACTCTGAAATAAGCTTTGTATTTGCACATTGTTTGCATGTATGCATGTAAGCTGAACTAACAATACTTATGAATGTACATAATGAATAATGGGCGGTTGAGTATTAAGAATTTCCTACAACACCCATTTATTTTGCCAAATTAATATTTTTGGTATATAATGACCTTGTTGCTAAACATTTTTTGGTTTATGTGCAAGTTACCCAAGCCTGGAAAAAAATCTATTTGTTTTTATATGGGCACCTAAGTTTTGTATGTTAATTTTCAATTTATTAATTTAGAATTTCTTATTCAGTTTTATAATTGTTTTTAGATCCAACTGCACTATGATTTCTGAAGTAGACCTCGTAAATAAGGACAGTACAGTACGAGTTGCTGTCAGGTAAGCTTAATTTTATTTTTACCCACGTTTATAGAAGAACTAAAATTGTACTTTAAATAACTTTATCTTGTGATCTTTTAGAATCCGACCTCTAAACTCAAGGGAGCAAATAGATATGTGTCGTGTTTGCACGACAGTAACCTTTGGAGAGCCCCAGATTTTTCTTGGGTCGGACAAAGCCTTTACTTTCGATTATGTCTTCGATACTAATTCCAATCAGGTAAATCTTATTTTTCACACAAAATTCCTTTCACTCATGGTCATTGTAAATTTCATTTAGTGTGATATATACTCGCAATGCGTGGATCGATTAGTGGATAGTACGCTGCATGGCTATAATGCCACCGTACTGGCCTATGGACAAACAGGATCCGGCAAGACGTATACAATGGGCACTGGCTTCGATCATGAATCCGAAACATCCGAGTCCGTCCTGCTCGGGATTATTCCCCGAGCTGTTCGCCACATATTCAGTGGCATCGAGCAACTGCAGGCCTGTAGCTCTTCAGAACAGACAGCCACTGCTGGAAGTCCGCAGTTCAGTTTGGCTGTTCAATATATCGAATTGTACAACGAGGACATTTTCGATCTATTGGACCCATTTAACAAAAACAGCAACTTTAAGATACACGAAGACGCCAACGGACAAATAACCATTTCTGGCGCGTCCATAAAACCAATATTCCAACCACAAGATGCCTTAAAGTAAGTTCAATGTGTAGTAGCTGATCTCCTTGATTTATATACTTATTTCCATATTTATTTTAAAGGTACCTTCAGCAAGGAGCTTTAGCACGCACCACTGCTTCAACAAAAATGAACGATCAGTCGTCTCGATCGCACGCTTTGTTCACCATTTTTGTGCGCAGACAGCGATTACTTGCACCGAATGACAACGCTTCCGGTAACGATTTGGAAACCCTAACTTCCAAGTTCCACTTTGTTGATTTAGCGGGTTCGGAACGACTCAAAAGGACTCAGGCCACTGGAGAGCGTGCCCGCGAGGGCATATCCATTAATTGTGGTCTACTCGCCCTCGGCAACTGTATTTCGGCACTGGGTGATACCTCCAAGAGGGCTCTACACGTACCCTATCGAGACTCCAAGCTGACCCGCCTTCTTCAGGACTCCTTGGGTGGAAATAGTCAGACCTTAATGATCGCGTGCGTGTCGCCAAGCGATCGAGACTTTATGGAAACTTTGAATACATTGAAGTACGCCAACCGAGCGCGGAATATTAAAAACAAAGTTAAGATCAACCAAGATCAGAGTTCTCGAACGATTTCCCAGCTGCGTAGAGAAATTGCAGCGTTGCAGATGGAGTTATTAGAATACAAACAGGTAAAATGCTCATTTTAACGTTTAGTTTTGTATTTGGAATATATATATATATATATATATATTTCTCTCTTTTAGGGTAAGCTTGTGGTAGATTGCGAAGGAAACACAACTATTTCGGATACATTTAATGAGAACATGTTGCTTCTATCGGAAACCAAACGGCTGCAGCAACGTCTCAAGTCATTGCAAAACACTGTTGGCTCTTTAACCGAAAGAAATGCTGGACTCAAGTTAGAATTGGATTCAAGCACGTGGAGTAGTAGCGACGGTTGTGATGTTGAAATAACGAAAATTGTCGGCAACTATATGTTGGAAATCGAACAACTTCAGGCTAAATTAATAGAGTCTGAAGAACTGCGCAAGCAAATGGAAAATTCAGCTGCAAATTCACCCAGAAGCAACAAGCCTGTTTACGATGGTACATATTTCAAGATCGCTTTCTATTATTTCATTAATTTTTTAATTCATTTATCCCATAACAAGGTGACATTATAAGCAAGGCCAAAAAGGGCTTGGAAAAAGAAAGGGAGCTATTAATGTCGCGTTCTTTGCCGGGAATCCAAAATCAAAACGTTCGTTCGGAAGAAGCGGATGCTGGCAGTAGCGATTCGGAAGGTAATTCGGTTTTTACTTAATTTTTTGATTTTTTCTTTGTGCTCTAATACTCACTAAATATCCAAGTTAAAGGTGTGTTTACTTTTCAAAACTCAAATACAACTTTTATTTTGCAAAATACTTGTGTTTGGAGTAAAGTATTTTGTTTATTTTTTGTAAAATCCAAAAAATTTAAAAGGGAACGTGTCTGAATAATATTTACATAAATTAAATAAAAACTTATACTTTCCTTAAAACATTCACAGAAGAAGGAGTTATGAAGGACTTGGAGGTAATCGACAACAATATTGTAATGAAAACCAAACTAATTGAACAATTGGAGTTGACACATGAGAGAATGGAACTGATGCGAATGCACTACGAAGAAAAGCTATCTGTGTTAAATTGCAAAATCGTCAACACTCAAAAAGAACGAGACGATGTCTTGACAAACATGGGTAAATATATTTTAAACGAAAAGTTTATTTGCCATATTAGAAAGCAATTGGTATGTTGTAGGTTCGTCTGCAACGGTTGCGTCCAAGGATAGTTTGAAAAAAGTGAAATCAGATTATGAAGGAAAGCTAAGTAATATGCAACAAGAGCTAAAGAAGTTGCAAAACGCGCAAAGAGAGCATCTTCGACAACAGCAAAAACTCAAGTCCCATGAAGTTAAGATAGGTATGCTACGTAACGAGTTGCATGAGCTTAAATTTACAAAGGTAAGTACATAAATGTTAATTCTGTACAAATTTACAATGTATTCGGCTTTACTCTGATAGGTTAAACTAATGAAAAAAATGTCGGAACAAACAAGTCGTCACAAAGAAGAAGACAGTCGAAAGTCTAAGGAAATTGCTCAATTACTAAAGGATCAGCGCCGCCAAATAAATGCTGTGTTATCATTGGAGGCCAAAATGAGTGCCAAAGAGCAAATACTGAAGCGAAAAACCGAAGAAGTTATTGCCCTTCGCAAGAGTCAAAGGGGAAAATCCGGCCAAAGAGCGGCTCCACAATTAACTTCAAAAATTACCACTTTGGACGGTTTCACTTCACGGGCGGCACGGCATCGGTGGGAAAACCTATACCGGACCATTTTGCATGCTGCCAGAAACAGGCAGCTTATCACGCAATTGGAAAAAGAGCTGGAACGCTTAATATCGGAGCGTGAAGATCTCTCGCGCGATCTGAACATAATGGAAACTAGCTTAGGCGCCGAGAAGCGAACAGATGATTTCAACGAAGTAGACAATATAAAAACAAACATTAGATATATTCAGGAGAATATAGAACATGTGCAGCAGGCTATTATGGAATTCGAAGACTCAAAAGACACTGTGCAGAGCGATGTAAATAAGATTCAGGCTCTATTGGACGAGGTTTCGACAGTGGCAGAAGCTAAATTCCTTCTTCAAAAGTTTTCCGACACTTCCATTGTAATGTCATGCAATTTGGCCATTGCCGAATCTCACTTGCAGGAGCATGAATCGCTGCTGAAGGAAGTGAAGCAAGAAAGTGCCATTCAACAGCAAATATTACAACATTTCCTATCGCAAAACAGTAATGTGCATATATCTGACATATTCGATTCCTTAAATCTCAAGGGCAGTAACCTCACAAATAGTGTTAATCCTGGTTCTCAAAAGTCCCTACTAAGCAATGCCACATATGACATACCGCAGGACGATAAGTTTTCAGATTCTACGCATGTGGTTATGCGCAGGACAACCAGTAGAAGTCCTTCACCCTTTGGAAATGGAGACCCGTAAGCATAAAAAAAATACATAATCAAATTTATAAACCTATGTATTTCTATAACTATACATTTCATTTATATATTAATATTTCTATCAGGTTCGACAAGAGCCCCAAAGTGCGTAGACGTACTGCCAAGCGAACAGATCTTCTTTTTGGCGACATAGAGCTGCCAGAACAGGTAAACGATTTTTTTTTAAACGCTAAACCATTTTAAACAAATTATGATTTCATCCACCAGACTATTAATAAAATGACGTGATCATGCATTCGAAGATGAGATCATAAAGCGCAAGCCGCACATGGAATTGGAATATTGAATTAAAACCTCTAGCGAACAAATAATCAAAAGACAGGTTTCTTATGTTGGAAGGTAACCTCACCTTAGTTATATTGTATATTTATTTATTATTAACTATTCACTAGGACTGCCGTTTGTACAGGCTTTCAACTTAAAAATAACTTTTAACAAAAAATGTTTTGAATGCGTTTTCGTGTTGGTGAGAATTTCGGAAAATCAAATAAAGACCTAGTGCAATTGGTGTCTTCCCAGCCATTCAAAACCAACAAACAATAGGAAATACAATAATATATTAATAAATTATTTTATTAGACATAGATAATTACAATATTTTATAAAAATGTACTTTATATTAAATGTTCTAATAAGAAATAAATCCTAAAACAGTTCTTAGTTTTTTTATTTTTTATATATACCTTATAAAAATAAGTTGAAAGGACTACGATTTCGATGTTATTATGCGTATAGAGCACATTTACGGACTTAATTTTGTAGCTCCAAGGAAACATAAATTTCGGCCTGCTGCAGTTCCTTTTTGTTTAATTTCGTTATAAAGGTGTGACTTTTGTCACTTTATTTTATTTTGAGTTTTGCTTTTTAAGAAAAATGTATTTAAATTCTAAATTTCTGTAAAATATTAAAGCAACCAAAAATAGGAGCAGCCAAATGTATAAAATTTTAAAACAAATACTTAATTACGCTTTTAATAAACGCGATTAAAAATATAACTAGTCAAGATTACATTTACCGTTTTAAAACATGTTAAAAAATTTTGACAAAAAAAATGTTTACACGAATTCAACTATTGCATCAGCTGCTAACAATTGTTGAAAATTGAGAAGAAAAAAAACTATTCCACACAAAATAAACTGAAAATTTTGTTAAATTGCTTTAAAAAGAGTATTCGCCTATTTTTTTTATATTGGTGAACGCGACCTAGTGTAAACGGGGCCTACATAACATTATGCGAGTGCCTCTAATAATTTCTGCAAATCTTTGCAATATTCCGCTATCTTGACATTAATCGGTCTATCGCTTTTTACCGGCATTTCTGGTTCGACGTTTGGCTTGTACCCCTTTATTTAATTATACTTTTGTTTGTTAAAATCAAAGCTTAAAGCTATGACCGACACTAATGGGCCCGCTGTACGCATGCCATGGTAATATGTCGTTAAGTTTTGGATTTCCTCAAGTTACACATTCGTATTTTAAGGGTGGAGAAGTATCGTCCGAGTGCCTTAGATGATTTGATATCTCACGAGGAAATAATATCAACAAGTAAGCTTGCGCGTTCTAGCCAATTAAGCAACTCACTTATTAAACAATCAATTTCCTATTTTCTTAAAGTAACCCGCTTTATAAGCCGCAAGCAACTGCCTCATCTATTATTTTATGGACCGCCTGGCACGGGAAAAACGAGCACGATATTGGCGTGTGCCCGTCAACTTTACTCTCCACAGCAGTTCAAGTCTATGGTTTTGGAACTTAACGCATCCGATGACCGAGGAATTGGAATTGTGCGAGGTCAAATCCTTAACTTTGCCTCCACGCGGACCATCTTTTGCGACACTTTTAAGCTGATCATTTTGGACGAGGCCGATGCCATGACCAACGATGCCCAGAATGCTCTGCGTCGCATCATTGAGAAATACACGGATAACGTGCGATTTTGTGTGATTTGCAATTACTTGAGTAAAATCATTCCGGCGCTGCAATCGCGTTGCACCCGCTTTCGATTTGCTCCATTATCCCAGGATCAGATGATGCCCCGACTGGAAAAAATCATTGATGCCGAATCGTGAGTTCTTGTGCTACCAATCAATCCATTTCACTCTTTATCTATTTTATCAGCGTTCAAATAACCGAGGATGGCAAGCGGGCTCTACTAACTCTGGCCAAAGGCGATATGAGAAAGGTTTTAAACGTTCTGCAAAGTACCGTGATGGCATTTGATAAGGTCAACGAGGATAATGTCTACATGTGCGTGGGCTATCCGTTGAGGCAGGATATCGAACAGATTTTAAAAGCCTTGCTATCTGGCAATAGCTTGGAGTCATCGTTTAAGAGTATGTTTGTATTCCATTATCATTATTATTATTATTATATAGTTTCCTTTTAAACAGCTGTCGAAAGTGCCAAGTACGCTAGAGGGCTTGCTTTGGAAGACATAATAACAGAACTACATTTATTTGTTATGCGGCGTAAGTGCTTGAATATTTTATTCTGAAATCTTCTTAATTATGTGTTTCAACAGTTGAGCTACCAATGTCGGTGATGAACAAGCTTATTGTTAAGCTGGCACAAATCGAAGAACGATTGGCCAAAGGTTGTACAGAAGTTGCACAAACGGCAGCCCTAGTGGCCGCCTTCTTCATTTGCCGGGATATGGTTTCAATGGAGAAATAATAAATAAGTTATTTTCTAACAATAGGCTTGGTATATATAAGAAAACGCTAAAATATTTTTATGTGTTTTTAGGACAATGAGGTGGGAGGCTCTTAATAGGAGAACTAAGCATTTGATAACTATATGTAAACTGCTTATTTAAGCCTTACTGTTCTTAAGATCCATTTATTTAGGTGGCAACGAATGAATCCCCTGGACCGAAACTTCACAACCGATTGTTCTGCAAGACTTCATAAATATTTTTTTATAAATAAAAACTTACTTTACTGAAAATGATTTTTTTTATTATTTATAAACCCTTTAAATGATTGACTTAGTGTGTTAATTTCCTTAAAAGCAAACTGTTTTTATGAAAGGTTTTCTTTACACATGTTGCACCCGCAAAAACGCTTGATCCGATCAGTCTGTTCGAATGGCCCTCGATCCTTGTTACGAAACCATACATCCCCCGGCATTACTTTCAGGAGTTCCAACGCTTCCGTGGATTTATCCTGGATGCGGGGATCGTTCTCGAGAAATCGCAAAGTGCAGGAACCTGTGCAGCTACACAAGCAAGTGATGTGCTCAAACTCGTAGAAGACCAAATAGAAGAACGGTTCACCCGGGCAGCTAAAGCTCTCCTTTAGCTCCAGCCGGGATTTGGAATTCTCATCCAACCAGGGATGTTGCTCGCTTACTGATTCTGGTGGCGGCGAATTTGAATCCTTATCCTGTGAGTCGCAGAACTCTGTTACTAATTCTGGTGGCGGCGTTGGCTGTGAGACGGGAGTCGCAATTACTAGCTCTGGTGGCGGTGAATCAAGGGTTTCTTCTGCTGAGACGCTCGCGGAGTTGTCTTTCGTTTGGCTGGGTATCACTACCATGTCATTGGTGATTACGTGGGTATCAGTGTCAGCTAGCTGTGGTTGTGAGTCCAGAATCTCGATTATTGGCTCTGGTGGCGGCGACGCGATGTTTGGTAATGGTGAAACGCTCGCCGGTCTGGCTCTCGGTTGGCTAGGGATCACCGTAATGTTGCTACAAGTGCTACTACAACTATTATTACTATTGGTGCTTATGTCAGTTTCGTTGTCTTCGGAGAAAACAGGAGACACGTTCGCGGGAAGTGCTGGCACCTCCGGGCCCGTTTTTGGCACATAGAACGAAGCATCCACATGGCCCTCGATGCCGGCCATTGATGCATCCATATTGCGTGCCGGACCATTGGCGAGATTTCGTTCTACGTCCAGGCACCCGGCGCACTTAAATTCGGTGGACTCGGTGCCCTTGCTCAGGCGCAGTGTGCCCGCCAAGCACTTGGCATGTGCGCCCGTTGAGGCGCACAACTTGCAGGCCAAAATCAGCCAGGTATTCTTGTTGAAGACCCTGCCACTGGGACACAAGCATGGTTCCACGTCGCAGCGCACGTTGCGCTCATGAAGCTCACGATAGGCGTTCTGCTCCCGCTCCCACTTGGCATCGCGATCCGGCACGAAAATCGACTGCAAGCGTATCATATCTCGGAACTTTTCCGATCGGCACCAAATGCAGCGCAAGTAATATCCGGCGGCCAGTGCGTATTCACGCATACAGTTCTTGTGGGCAAACCCCTGGCGGCAGCAATCCCCGTAGACGACGTTGTGCAGCGAGAAGTGGAGGATGGGGGCCAGACAGATGTCACAAGGGATATGCTTTGGCGGATTGGCCACCAATTGCCGCTTGTAGTCATCCATCGGGGTGCAATCGAAGCAATAGCTATGAAACTGGCCCTGGAACTCAAAATTGCAGCGATTTATCAGGCCGCACTTCGAATGGAAATGAACCCGGCAACCGTGGCACTGGATAGTGGCCCCCACCTTTGTGCAGAAGATGCACTTACTCGTTCTTGCCACGGCCACCAGCTGCCGGATGTCGCGCAGCAGAAAACCCAGGATGCCGCTCGAATCGCCGCCGCGCTGCGGTAAATTCGTGGAGAGAAGCTGGCAGACCGAGAAATTAGCATTATAAAGTAACCCTTATTACAATGCAGACACACACCAGGCAATAGTAATGCACCCGCAGCTCCTTGTGGACCATCCAGTCCCCGAAGAGCAATGTATCCTCTTCCTCATGGCCGCTGTGAATCCCGCAAATATCGCATTTTTGCTTCTTGTTTTCCTCCATTCTCAAAGCGACCGCTTAGAAATAACGGAGATAAGTGTGACCAGGCTATTGCTTTCAATATATTCCTTAATATGAAATACCACTGGCAAGAAAGTCCTTAAAAAAAAGAGGGTATTCAATCATTTTGAACTCTCAAACACTAAGCCCGCGAAGCTGAATTGTTTTTAACACATATTTAATTTTCTTTTTTTTTTACAATTTAAAATATTAAGTAAGCAATGAACAACTGAAATGATACTACTATATTTGATGCTGAAATATTATTTTACATGGTTGCCGTGACTATTTAATGAAAAGACATAGGCAACTCTTGTTATCAGTTGTTTGTCAGAGTAAAGGTTATACGGGGAAAGTTTTTTATTTTTATATTGTGTTTTATATCATTTTTTTCTAATAATAGCTTTATCATAAATTCCTCCGATAAAATATGTATGCATATTTGCTTAGCCTCGGAATTATATGCTTCACTGCGTTGTGAACTTTTGACTAAAATTATAATACCCTCTGAAGAGGTATTAATATTATAGGGATTCTTTTTCAAAATATTTTAAGTTTTTAAAAATGTATATACTTCTACTGTTTGTATATTGACATTTACAAAATTGATTTTTCCTTGTGTTATTCCATTGTTCCTTTGAAAGCATCAACTTGGTGGCGCTATCTAAGCGAGCTTTACAAAAACAAAGTGTAGTATAGTACATTTTACATTAAACAAAATATCACTGCTTCGTTAATTGATTGTGAATCACGTATCCCGATTCATATCTTTAAGAGCAACAATTCTTGTTTGTGTCAACACTAGCTCGAGTGCTTAAAATTGGGCGTTGCAGGCTGGTTCCTCCTTGATTAATATGGCTGCCGAAATTAAGCCAGCGCAGCGGACCAACAATGATCGCTTTAACACGTCCAAAAAGCCGGAATTGCTGAGTAAGCTGGAGGGCAGTAGCGATGATGTGAACGCAGCCATCCTAATTCCTGGCGAAAACGGCGTAATTAGCGTTTCCGATGACAAGTGCGTAATTGTGACACTCATTGTATATGTTTGCATGTATGTACACTCCTATGTGTTTACAATTGCCTGTTTTTCCCCAGAACCGTTCGTGTTTGGTTGAAACGCGACTCCGGTCAGTATTGGCCAAGTATTTGCCAGTATATGCCCTCCGGCTGCACGGCCATCGAGTACGTCCCGGAATCCCGACACTTGTACGTTGGCCAGGAGAACGGAACGGTCACCCAGTATGCTCTCTCCGAAGACTGCAATCGGCTGTCCTTCTTGCGGGATTACTTGTCCCATCAAGCCCGAGTTGTGGCCGTGGTTTACTCGAAAACCCACAAATGGGTCCTATCCGCCGGCAAAGATAAGCAGTTCGCCTATCATTGCACGGAGAGCGGCAAAAGGGTGGGCGGATACAACTTTGAGACTCCATGCACTGCACTCCAGTAAGTATGATAAATCGGGGGCTGTTACATTGGACATATGTAAGATAAGCGGGTGTCATTTAATTCAATCAAGCTGCCCCCTATAGCACGGATATGAACTAAGATTCGTTACGGTCATATAAAAAGATGGCTCACGACCTCGATAAAGTTGGATCTTTAAATATTTCCAAACTTTTAGTGAAGACTTTAATTATAGTCTTAAAACAAACAATAGTTAAGAAAGCCCAAATCAAAAGAATAAACCCGCAGTTTTCAAGTTATCTGGTTAATTTTTCCACACAAAACTATAACTATTTGGTATTATAGCTTTCATGTAAAACTTTATAGCAGTTTTTATATAATTTATATATTTAATGAGCAGATAACAGATAAATATAATCGATGTACAGGTTTGACGCATTAGCCAAGTATGCCTTCGTTGGCGACCATGCTGGACAAATAACAATGCTGCGGTGTGATGTTCAAGGAGTTCAGCTGATTACCACTTTTAAAGGACATACAGGTAAAATTTAACCAAAATAAATTTTGATACTGAACTAAATGTATACTAATTGGACACATTTTAGCGGAGATACGATGCTTGAGATGGGTTGAAGGGCCACAGCTTTTATTTAGCGGCGCCTGCGATCAGTCTGTAATCGTTTGGGATGTTGGTGGCAAACGTGGCACTATTTACGAGCTGCAAGGACATAGGTAGCTCAATTCTCGAGTTATGTTTAAAAATTCGATACTTATCAGTATTTTTATCAAACAGCAACAAAGTATCTGCTCTGTCGTACGCAAACCAAACCCAACAACTGATAAGCTGTGGCGAAGACTCTGTAGTTGTTTTCTGGGAAATGAACGCGATGCGGAAAGAAGTTCCTGGCTGGGTGGAGTCCAACAACTGCCAGCTTTGCTCCAGGCCCTTTTTCTGGAACTTCCGCTCTATGATGGATCAGAAACAACTGGGTAAGAGAGATAGTACTGAATACAGGTGGTGCATGTCCAACAACAATGCTTTCTCCTCGCCAGGAATCCGGCAGCATCATTGTCGCCACTGTGGCAAAGCAGTGTGTGACAATTGTTCAACCAATCGTATTAACATACCCATAATGGGCTTCGAGTTTGATGTTCGTACCTGTGATCCGTGCTACAAACAACTTCAGACCGTCGAGCGCCCCTCGCTGGCCTCATTTAATGACGCCAAGCACTCCATTGTGTACATGGACCTCGATGAGGACAGGAAACGTCTGTTGACGGTTGGCCAGGACCGGCTCATCAAGATCTGGGATCTCTCCAACATTTGGGCATAAGACTTCCTCCGTACGCACACGCATAAAATCCAAGTCGACGTACCAAAGGTATAATCATTCGCGAGGAGTTTCGGTCTTAACTGAAATACCCAATAATGGAACGATGTGGGCTGGCCATGACTAAATCCAGACCCAGCTAGGCTCTCATATATTCGATGTAAAGCAATAATCATTGTATGTACGTATGCTTACATAAAACACATAAATACAAGAATCCATCGATAAAAGAAGGCGGTTTTCTATTGTTTTCTAAGGAAGTTTTATTGGTGTGTAGTGTATACTTAATATCCACCCCTGCCCGGTGGTGGTGCTCCTCGTAACATGCTTGGCGGCGGACCGCGCATCGGTGGAGGAGCGCCGCGTCCCATGTTGCCTGGCATCGAGGGCATTCCTCCGGGAATCATGCCGGGTGGCGGGGCGCCCATCATCGGAGCCCGTGGCACTCCACGTCCCATCGGAGCCATGTGCTGTTGGGCGGGTCCGCCCACGCCTCTGACCGGTCCTTGGAGACCCGCTGGCACGGCGGACATGTTAATGGGCACTCCTCGCCCGGCCACTCGTCCGATTCCCGGTCCAGGAGCTGCTCCCGGAATGGGAACGCGGGGTAGACCCTCCTCCGGCGGCGGAGGACCTTCCACCGTGAGGGAAACTATATTCTCGCCGCGCAGCAATACGAAACCGAGAACTCGCTTTTCCTCTCGTTCGGGCACCTTGGAATTCTTTGAGCGAATCTTGCGGAACTCCTCGCAGTCGCCCAGTATCAAATTCATGTGTTTGTCGAACGCTTTAAAGGTCCCAATGAAGGTCCGCGAGTCCTGGAGGACGATTCGCACCCGATAATTCAGGTGCTGAATCATTTTATTGTTCTTGCCGATAGTCTGAAATAAACAAATGGGTTTTGAGTTGTGAAATTAATCTACATATAGATTGAACACACATAGGCCGCGGCATTTTTTGCGAGTCATTTGCAAGTTCGTATTTCCAATTGCCGGTAACTATATAATTTTCATTGTAAATGAATGCATATTTCATTAATACTATATTCTTTATACTAATTGAATTAGAAACAAGGAAACGAAGCAATTTGTTTTATTTATTCGCATGCATGTTTGCATGTATGTACATACATATGTACATGTCAATGTAAATATGGAATCATAACCGCGAAAATAATACACGAGAATCTACTAAAACCTAATAGAGCTTAACAAAACTTGTAGTATTAAATTAACTTACCATTTTGTTTGATTTCTATAATAATTTAACCGCTGGTAAATAAAATATAGATGCCGGAACCTCAACACGGCGTTTTTCGATAGGAATCAAGAATAAATCGAATGGGATATGCGGTATTCATTGTTTAATTCTTATCGAATATAAATCGAATCAAACAAAGCAAATCAATCGTTTTTTGTTATTTCTTAAAGATTATTTTAAAGATAAAGAGATTTGGTACAATTAAGTTTATTCATTGAGACAAATATTATTAAGGATTATATATATCAATATCACATCAAACTTTGGTTTCTTATTAAATTTAATTTTAAATCGAGTTTTTTTTACCAGAAAATTAGACAATATGCATATATTATTTATTAAATGATTATAAATATGCAAAGAAAATAATAGGTATTATTTGAATTATTAAAAATAAGTCAAGACTACATTATAGATTTTTTAATATTGTTCCTTATCGCCGTTGTTTATTACAAAATAAATTGTGTTTGGTTTTCTTTTGTTTTTTAATAAACTTTATTAGTGTATTCTTTAAAAATTGAACATTTAGTTTACTTTCCTATTAATTTACTTCGAAATTTGACATAATAAATCAAAAACACACCCATTAATATATTCCGTACCATTATTCCGAATGTTCTCACGTGCTATCGAATACTTATCGAATCGAGAACGTGAGCCATCCCTGAACAAATGCGTAAAATCGGAACCACGACCCTCTGTTCACATGCGGCCACGTCATTTGAACTCTCTTCGGTTCTCTCATTTATGCTGACATTCTGAGAAGTTTTTTGAGGAAGCGGCAAAGCCCTCAGTTTTTTACTCGTTGGCAAATTAGGCGAAAAACAATTTGGTAACGTATGCAGCTGGCGAACCGCTGGACAACTTCCATTCTCATCGTTAACTTTTCGCTTTCCTCACTTTATAGGGGTGCGTTCTAACACACATCCAAAACGAACAAAAAAAAAAAACCAAACAACAGACAAGTCAACGGATTAGATCAAGATGAATATTTTTCGGTTCGCTGGAGATCTATCGCATGTGTTTGCCATTATAATACTGCTGCTTAAGATATGGAAGACCCGCTCCTGCGCCGGAATATCCGGCAAGTCGCAGATCCTGTTCGCAGTGGTGTACCTGACGCGCTACCTGGATCTCTTCACCACCTACGTCAGCCTGTACAACTCGGTGATGAAGGTGCTCTTCTTGGCCACGTCCGGGGCCACGGTCTACCTGATGTACGTCAAGTTTAAGGCAACCTATGACCACAACCACGACTCCTTCCGCATCGAGTTCCTCCTGGTGCCGTGCGCCCTGCTCTCGCTGGTCATCAATCACGAATTCACCGTCATGGAGGTGCTATGGACTTTCTCCATCTACCTGGAGTCGGTGGCCATTCTGCCGCAGCTCTTCCTGGTCAGCAGAACCGGGGAGGCCGAGTCCATCACGAGCCACTACCTCTTCGCCCTGGGATCCTACCGCGCGCTCTACTTGCTTAACTGGGTCTACCGGTATATGGTCGAGTCGCACTACGACCTAATCGCGATCTTCGCCGGAGTCGTCCAGACCGTTTTGTACTGCGACTTCTTCTATTTGTACATTACCAAAGTTCTTAAGGGCAAGAAGCTACAGTTGCCGGCATAAGTGCATAATGTGGGGCATTTGTTTATAAATTGGTACACATCATCAAACGAAATCGTAAACAAAGGCATGATAAACAAAAGAAAAAAAAAACCACGGGCCGTTTGACAACGCGTATTTAGTTCATATGATACAGAAGATGAATCGAGAGAGCTTAAGTTGTAATTATTTTATGAGAAATAAACCGATAATCGGCAGTCAAACTATCTTGCAGTACCGACATCGTACATTGGAAATGTAACAAATGTATTTAACCTCCGTTTTCCGATCTGCACACTCACGGCTCTCACAAATTTTTAAATCCAAAAATATAAAACCGTATTTCGGTACGAAATAACTTTATAAGTAACAATCATTAAACATGTTTTCTCTTTGAAGCAGAGGGGTTTTCATACACAGCAATATCAAAAAGGAGGTCATAGATTTCTTTGTTTAATTTAGAATTAAAAGATATTCATTAAATAGCTTTTAAGCCAACTGTATCCTACAAATCCGAAATAAGTTTAAGTCTTATTGTGTGGCTAATAGTAAAGTTAATGATGAGCGATGTCAACATATAATAATATACCTATTCTGAGTATGCGCTCGCAGAATCGTAAAAACTTAATTTGCTAGACGTTTTGCACAATTTTATTGAATTCCAAACAGTTGTATTACATTTTTGCCACATCCCTTTCACGCTTCGTAGTAAAACCAACCAAACCGAACTTAATTTTAAAAGATGATCATTTTCAAATGCAAAAATAAAACATAATGTGGCATAAACAATATTTTAAAACCTTTTATAGCTATTATATTAAAAACAAAGTGAAATAAATAAATAAATTTTCTTTTATTTGTTGGGCGGCTTAGAAATCATTAACAAAACAAAAATCTAAAAATTAAAAAAAGAATTGTTTAAATAACTGTATATTTCAATTAGGAAAATATTTATAAGAATAAGTTAATCTCTTATAAGATCGGATTTTCATTTTTAATTTTCAGTTAAAAATAACAAAATTATTTCAAACTTTAAAAAGAGTATCAAAATTGATATGAGGAATACCACTAATACACTGTTAAACAGACACACACTTTTTAAACCTGGTCACACTGCCAATTATTCATGTAACCAAAACAAAATGAAAAGAATCGGTTTTTTAAATCGGTTTATGAGGCAAGAGACCACTGCCAGAAACTTTTTCCAGTTCGGCAAAGTCAAGGGGTATGGGGCAGTTTTTTGGATTGAATATCATATTAATTTAAGTCGGTGTACTTACAGAGATACCGGCAAATATGAGCAGATCGTATCTACCGGCCTGGTTTCACCGGAACGGAGTGTTCCCGAAGAGATCGAAAAGCCGCCTTACTACTTTAAAAATCTGCCACCAGGCAACACCCTGGGATCGCCAGAGATCAAAACTCCCAGTCAGATTGAGGCAATGCGTCTGAGTGGCAAACTGGCGGCCCGGGTATTACGTGAATGCGGCAAACTAGCAACAGTTGGCACAACCACCGACGAGATTGACGCCTTTGCACATGGCCGGATTATTGCATCCAATGCCTATCCCTCGCCCCTGAGATACGCCGGCTTCCCAAAGTCCATCTGCACGTCCATCAACAACATCGCCTGCCACGGAATTCCGGATGACCGTCCGTTGGCCAACGGAGATATCATTAATATCGATGTCACAGTCTTTTTCAACGGCTACCATGGCGACTGCTCGGAAACATTTTTGGTGGGCGAGGTCGACGAGCGGGGAAGCTTCCTGGTGGAGGCCACAAGGTCCTGTTTGGATCAGTGCATCTCGCTGTGCGGACCAGGCGTGGAATTCAACGAGATTGGAAAGTTTATAGAGAACTATTGCGACGAACGAGGCCTCGAGTCAATTGCCGCTTTTATTGGACACGGAATCGGAAGCTATTTCCATGGTCCCCCGGAAATATTTCACTACTGTGGGTAGCCTTGACCATAACATTGAATATGCTTTGCTAACCATTATTCCGCAGACAATGAGTTCTCCGGGAAGATGCAGCCTGGCATGACCTTTACAATTGAACCCATTCTGTCCCTCGGTGGATCTGAAATTGCCGTGCTGGACGATGGCTGGACGGCGATTAGTTTGGATGGCGCTCGCAGTGCCCAGTTTGAGCACACCATTCTGATTACCGAGACGGGTACTGAGATACTTACAAGGGAATGACCTGAACTCTTTTATGTACATGATGAATTTTTATTCGTGATTCCCATAAAGTGTTAATGTGTGTTCAGATGGCAGTCTTGTGCAATTTGTGCCGTTGTAATCGTCGACTCCGAGGGGTAAGGTGCTCTATTTCGGTTGAAGAAGTACTAGCCATTTAGCTACAAATGGCGTTGGACTTTTGCACCGGCTTCTGAATGGGGAGGAAGAGCTTGAACTCCGGCGGCAGCTCGTCCTCCGAGTAGAGACGATCGGAGAAGTAGACGCGTCGGATGCGGCAGTTAGCATGGATCTGCACACGAAGTGTCTCCACATAGTTTGTGCCGTACGCGCGACGGGTGAAGTCAGATAAGTTGAACTGAATTTGGTTCCATCCCTCGTCCAAACGCATGGGCATGGTGCAAATAAACGGCTTGACACGAGTGGTCGACTGATAGTTACTGGCCCTGAACCTTCGCCGCACGTTTTTGTCATCCAGAACCTTTTTAGGGGAGGAATGCAACCAGTTACAGGATTTTGAATGATGGTCCTAGGGAGAAAGCTTACCTGTACTTCGAAGGTGAAGTATTTCTTCATGTTCTTGATGATCATCACGAGAAAGGGCAGCTTGATGCCCAGAGTCTTCTTTGGGTCCGCCGGACATGTTATAAACGTGGTGCTGACGTTGGTGCCGACTATTTCAAGAACGAGGCTCTGGATGTCGTTGTCGGTGATGCGCTTGATGTGGCCATTGCGCACTTTCTTATCCCACAACTGCAGCGGCTTTGAGCCAATACTGTACAGAATCGATAGGAATCCTGATTGGAAAGTGTTTTTGAACATGGCGCGACTGCAGTGCAGTGACCGGTTCGGTTCGCCCACAAAGTAATAGTCTCTTGAAAATTTATATAGGGCCAGTTACGTTTGGCCGATAATTTTTGCACAGCCGGAACTCGTACAAACTACGAACATCAATACGAAACTATACTAGATTTTCATGTCAATAAATTTGTTTAGCATGGCATCCTGTTGTTGCCATAACAATAGAGCAAGAGTGTTGGAAAATCTTAAAATGTTTGAAAGTTCTTCTTCGTTTATGCGGAGTTCAAAGTTGCAAAAATGTCTACTTTCTGTTAATTAAAGTGGCAACGATGAAATTTCTTGTTTTTGAAACAGTGGAAAAAAACATTTAGGAAAATTTCAGCAATATATATACATCTTTTTTTGTAGTGACATGTTTATTATAACTAAAAATAATAATTGTTTAAGACTTGCGTTTTGCCCGAACATATTAATCCAACTTTCATTTAGTAAGATTACTTAATTTACCTGCTCATTTCCATATCAATAAAACTCATAGTATTGAGTCTGATATTTACTTGTGGTTTCTGTGACCAACCAATTGAGCAGATTTGTGATCTCTGCCAAATTGGGAATAGTTACAGAGTCATTTCTAAAATTTGATTTTATATAATAGGTTTATTACTTTTCTATGTATTTTATTTACATACATTTCAAGCCTGCTGCTCCGACAATCAGGAAAAAAATTTTATTGGGGATAATAGTACTCGTTATACCCTCTAACATTAAGTATATCCGTCGGAAACAGTTGCAAACAAATATGAGTGCATACCTGTTGCTTCGGCGCCTTTAATTAATTAATTTTCTTAAGGGTTGTTTGATTTGTTAAATATGGTAATTGTGGTTTGCACTAGTAAATGTGGCTTCAAAGAAAAAGTAAAAATGTCTACAACATTGAAAACGTGGGCTAGAAAAAGAGGTTTATTGTAAATATCTACTTTTTAAAGCGAAATCCTATTTCGCAGTCTCAATTTGTTTAGTGTCAAAAGGAAACAGTGGAACTTTAACCGATTGTAGAGCTATCGATATCTCCAGTCATTGTCCAAGTCACATCACTAGTTGATGTGAGTATTAAAAAAAAAAAATAACCAGCTTACAGAATTACAAATGGCATCGACATCAAGGTAAAAACTTTGCACCCATTTGATTTCTGGACCTTTCCTAATGACTTTGCAATTGCAGACTGGACAATAATAAGGTGTGCTGTTACGCACACCCCGAATCTCCGCTGATCGAGGACTACAGGGCTGGCGACATGATTTGCTCCGAGTGTGGTCTAGTTGTTGGCGACCGCGTAATTGATGTGGGCTCCGAGTGGCGAACCTTTAGCAATGAGAAAAGCGGCGTGGATCCCAGTCGTGTGGGTGGGCCGGAGAATCCGCTGCTCAGCGGCGGCGACTTGTCCACCATCATTGGTCCGGGCACGGGGTCCGCCTCCTTTGATGCCTTTGGCGCACCCAAGTACCAAAACAGACGTACCATGAGCAGCTCCGATCGCTCCTTGATATCAGCATTTAAGGAAATTTCATCGATGGCCGATCGCATTAATTTGCCAAAAACTATTGTCGATCGCGCCAACAACTTGTTCAAACAGGTGACCTATGAAATTTGTAAAAAAGGTTATCTTTATGATTTTGATTTTGGTTTTTTGTGTTAGGTCCATGACGGAAAGAACCTCAAGGGTCGATCCAATGATGCCAAGGCCTCTGCCTGTCTGTATATTGCCTGTCGCCAGGAAGGAGTGCCCCGCACATTTAAGGAAATTTGCGCTGTTAGCAAGATCAGCAAAAAAGAGATTGGCAGATGCTTCAAGTTAACACTAAAGGCACTTGAAACAAGTGTAGATTTAATAACCACGGCGGACTTTATGTGTCGTTTCTGCGCTAACCTGGGTAAGTTTTTATAAAACTATTATTTAAAGAAAAATGTAAACGATTTTTAAACTATCAGACCTGCCGAATATGGTGCAACGCGCTGCCACGCACATTGCAAAGAAAGCTGTCGAGATGGATATTGTTCCCGGCCGTTCGCCAATATCGGTGGCCGCAGCCGCCATTTATATGGCCTCACAAGCGTCCGAGCATAAGAGAAGTCAGAAGGAAATCGGTGACATAGCCGGCGTAGCCGATGTCACCATCCGACAGTCCTATAAACTAATGTATCCGCACGCAGCTAAGCTCTTCCCCGAAGACTTTAAGTTTACCACTCCTATTGATCAATTGCCACAAATGTAAATTTGTTTTGGTAGATCCGATGCTCAATACTAACGATAACGTTAAAGGAAGGAAAAATCTTAATTTAATCACAAGTTTACGATTTTATTAAATAAAGTTAGCATAACTAATATTCAAATCGGACTGTTGGACCAATCGGAACATTAATCATTTCCTGTTCCAAGTAGCTGAGTTAAACCCATAGATCTTTAAATTTATTCCATTGTTTCATTATAACTCGCTTTTTGTTTTATTTTATAGTTTATAGCTGGCTTATATGTATCTTGTGTATAAACGATTATAAATAAGCTACTAATCAGAAACAATAATTGCATACTACGTTTATTCGTTAGTTATTTGCGAAATTAAGTACTTTACAAATAATATACTCTCTCTGTTTATACATAAGCTTTAAATATTTTGTTGTAATATGAATGGGTTAACATATACGCAAATAAGACGCACGTTAAATCTGTAAATTTCAACATTTTCAATGGCAAATAAAGTGGGCGTTTAAACGTAGTAGAAAGCAAAATACATGTGCTAACAGTAAATGACGAATTATCAGTCGCCAACAATAGTTATTGCTGAGTTTAAAGTTGTGTAGTTTAAACAGTGTAAATTTGGTTAACTAGTCAATAGACAGCGAGCACTTTTCGTCGTCGCTGTGGCCCACACACTCCAGCGCTGGGCGGTGCTCGGAGTCCCACATCCCGGGGCCACACCGCTTGCACAGGCCACTCAGCGTGCACGGGATCTTCGGCAGCTGGCGGTACTGGTGGAGCAGCCCGCGCGCCTTGCGCACGATCAGCTGCCCGTCCATGTACATGGCCAGCGAACTAAAGTGCAGCAGCATCTCGTCCGGCCGCAGATTCTGGGCCACCACATCGTCCGCATAGACGGCGATGATGGCCAGGCAGAGGAACAGGTGAAAGTAGTCGGTCAAGTAGTTGGACCAGCAGGCCTCCCACATCCGGATGACCACCGCCTCCGTGAACTCTCGCTTAAAGCACAATAGCAGCCATCGGTGGCAGAAGAGCAACTCCATGGAGTCATTGTGCTGTTCCAGGTGCTCGTAGAAGCGCGGCAACATCACGCGTATCAGTTCGCGCAGGTAGTTCAGATTGTGGTCCACGTCCTTGTCGGTGGGAGTGCACACGAAGAACGCCCGCTGCATCAGACCCACGAAGCACCAGAAGGTCTCCGACTCGTTTTGCACTTCGCACAGCACAGGTGCCAAGAGATCACTCATACCCTATAATACAGAGAACAAAACGTAAGTGTTTCTATAAGTAAAGTGATCTGTGTTCGATTCCTATCAACAGATCTAAAACGGAAAAGTTTATGGGTCTCATGAACCTTATGGCTCATAGATTAGATCAGCATTACAAATTACAGAATCGCCAAGAAAACGATTATTACAAAATTAACGCGAATACTGCCCGAAATATCTGGTTGGAATTAATGCCATTTCCACTCCGCCAATTTTGTAAAACTTTTTTTTATTGCGGTTTATCTTATCCCACATCTAGTACCGGTCTTAGTCATTTTAATGACTAAAGTAAACTATAGTTCAAGTTATGAGCTATGAATCTTAGTGAGTCATGAGCCCTTTATCTTGAATAACATAGAAAGATCGAAAAGTCTCCATAATTTGGGAACGTAAATAAAATCTTTCAGAGTCCCAACCCAAAATATTTACATTTTAGGAACCCACCTGAGAATAGGACATCCCAGTGTTGTATATAGCAAAGTTGAGCAGGATATTTTTCATGATTTCGGTGTTGGGGTTATCGTCGCCGCAGAAGAAAGGATTAGTGCGATCCGTGCGTACCACGTCTTTTTCAACCACCTGCACGGTCTTCCAGAAGTGGATTTGCATTTCCGGGGACATGGAGTACAGACGCTTTCGCGTTATTTCCTCGTACTCCTGTCTTTTGATGTCCATTAAGACGGCGCGATCCTCGAATGTCGATGAGAACGAATAGCACTTCAGGAGAAAAGGCCAAACTGTCTTGCGTAAGCTTTTCTCGATTCCGCCAAAGAACACGCACTTGCGCAGAAGCAAATCGTCCTCAATCTGACCCTTTTCATTAAGCAGAGTGCCGTAAAAGAAGTTGGTGGTTATCTTCTGGACATTCCCCTCATCCGGATGCATTTCCGACTTCTTGACCTCCGGCCGACAGACCATAAAGTGTCTATAGGGCAGGTCAAACTTATCCTGACCCGCTTCCGATGTGATGTTGTGCAGAAAGCAGTGCCATTGATGCAGCACCTGCGCCAAATGGTCCAGACCGCCGTAGTGGAAATGAAGTATCTTGTACTGTGATTCCCGCGAAGCGATAACTAGCTGACCGGAAGTACAGTTGTCGTCGTTGAAAAAGAGGCGAAGTGAGCGCATCTGGCTCAAATCCACGGAAAAGTGGCGGCACTTCATCACGGACTTCTGGCGATCGGCAGGCGTCGAGTTGCCGCTATCCGGAAATTCCAGGTTGTGCTTAAAGGCCAAGAGTTCCGGAGTCGTCCACTTGGGGTTATCGGATGCTGGACCATCGCTGGATACGCCGTTTCCACTAGCACATTCGCCGCAGTTATTCCCATCCGGCCGAATGGTAATGCAGTTGAAGGACTGAGATATATTACTGTTCTCAATTTGGGGATTCGAAATCGTTATGTTCACCGATGTGATGGGGTTATTCTTCAGCAGCGCAGTGAGATCGTCAATGGATGCGGTTTGGCCCCCCAGCAACGGTTGTAGTTCGTTCTTCAGCTCTTGCATCTCCGCCGCGTTGTCCTCTTCTTCCCGGATGTCCAGCTCCTGGATCGTCTGCGGTATGGTCACGTGACAGTAGCCATTTCGGGAGTCCGGGGACTTGGTCCTCGGATTGCACTGACCCCGGCAATCCTCGGTGCTCATATTGCTGTATTTACATAGCGATGAGTTCGGAATCCACGTCAGCAGCAGCGTAGGCCTCTTGGCGCTATTGTACTGATCCACAAAGGTCTTTGTCGTGCACGTCAGATAGCCCGGGTTGTGCAATATATCCGACTCATCTCGCGCGATTGTGGGTGGATGAATGCAAACGTTATTCTTGCAGAACAAAATTTCGTTGTCTTCATAAGAAATATCGATTTTTTTGTCCAACCTTTCGTCACCTAGTATAAAGCTAGATGCCTTTTTGATAATGCTTCCTATAGGCATGTTTAAGCGTAATGTTGTTGAGCGGGTAAGTAAAACGCGATTTAAGTTTTCTTTACGGATTAATCTAAGTGCTTTCCAACGGGATGGACTGGGGGAACTTTGCTCTGGCTAGCTTTGGGCTAGGTTAATTTTGGATTGGTTATGGTAGGTGGTTACCATAATTTTATTATTTTACTAGTGACGCATTCAGGGGACCACTTTTATTAACACAAGGGATCAAATAAATGAAAACTATTAACTTTGCTTTTAGGAACTTCTCGCTAGTAGGATGACATTAGAGGAAAAGAATTTGAGTAAAAACTTAGCGCAGGCGCAGTTCTCATTTCCTAGTTTTGAAAAATAGTTTCGATATTCAAGGTTTATAGTTCCTGTTGAATTTTGTTTTAGAAATGTAAGGCCAGGATAATTAACAAATTATATAGTATCGCTATAAAAAATAAATATAAAAAAACGAATACTAAAAAAATTAAGACAAGATTGCGATGACTTATTAATGTAAGCTTATGGTTTTCAATAAGAAAATGTTTATCAAAATGAAGTAATGAATTTAAAAATTTAATAAAATGCTATTTTCATAAATTGTAAAGAGGCAATTTGAAATATTAAAATATATTTTGTGGAATGGTGGCATAGGAACCGAAATGGTTTTGGCTTGCCAACTATCGATATTTATATTTTTACCATCCCTATGGTAAATAGAATCAATAAATGAACGTGTGAAAATATTTACATTGCATTGTTATTGAGATTATTTTGAGTTAATATAATGGCAAGCAAAAGAAAGCATCCTGGAGCCGATAAAGCACAAGAAGAATCCTTTAAGAAACACACGCTTGACTCAGATGAAGAGGATTCGGACGATTACGAGAGGTAATATTGAACAACTTGAAACACCATTGATTGTTTTGACTCAAGTGTTGTCTTTGCAGGGAATATCTTAATGATAGCGATATTGAAGGAGGCGAGGAAGGCGTGGCAAAAGTAGAAGACGATGTAAAATTAACGCCGTTTAATATGAAGGAAGAGTTGGAGGAAGGACACTTTGACAAAGACGGTCACTACCATTGGAACAAGGAGGCAGAGGCAAAGGACAATTGGCTGGACAACATTGACTGGGTTAAGGTAATAACACTATAGTTATTGTGATTAGAAATATTAAATATACTTTGTATAACAGATTGGCAAGCAGAAAAACCCCATTGACCCTGCCAAAGACGACCAAAACTCCAACTCCTCGGACGATGGGATCGAACCTGCGGGAAAGGCTTTCAACTTCTCCATGAATCTCATGAAAATGCTGGAGTTCATGAAAGAAGGAGAGACTGTTAAGATGACCCTGCAACGACTGGGAAGTCAGCGTCCGGTGCTAACAACTCTGCAAAGAATTAAACAGAAGAAGGCCGGCATTGTTGACACAAAGACGCAGGAAATCTCCCAACTCACTGAGCTGGCTAATGAGATCCTTTCGAAGACCGGCAATATGGACATTTACCAAGAGACCTTTGAAAGCATAAAGTCAAAGATCGCCGAGTTGCCAGGTACTAGCAAATCCAAAGTAGCCGATGTCATCGACATGTATGCGGATGATTTCGAAACGAAAGAATTGCAGCGGTCCCAAACCTTGAATGCTACGACAAAACCAACAATGCCTACCTCGGAAGTGACGTGGGAGTTCAAATGGTCGCAAAATGAGACTGAAATCCAGGGTCCATTTACCACTGAGAAAATGTTGAAATGGTCCCAAGAAAACTACTTCAAAAATGGAGTGTATGTCCGAAAGTGCGGCGAAAACACAAATTTCTACACCAGCAACCGCATAGATTTCGATTTATATTTGTAGGCCTTAAATACAGATCATATAATTTTCAGTTGCTTCGTTTCCTGCAATAGACTTTGCACAACATTAATTTTATCATATAACATTATAGATACGTTGGAAGTTAAAATAAAGTGATATAAAAAATGATTTTCGAAACAAAACTTTATAATCAATTTTGGTATAATTGTCCAAACAAAATAATTAATTATTTTATCAGATGATTAATGTTAGTCCCTCTATTGATAGAATTTAATAACTGAATTGTACAGATTGCATTTTCTATTTGTGAAAAGAACACTATCTAATTTGAATTAATTTTTATGATTCTGTTGATTTTAAGGTAAAAAAAACAAAATATAATTACTATATATTTTAATAAAGATGGGTAGTTTGAAATGTGCCACCAAAAAAATTCAATCGAATACCGATAATGTAATCGATGGTTCAGCAGCTTATACCTCCAGAGCTTTGACAACCCTGGAATACACATCGATTAACGTAGCTGAAAATTGTTTTATGTTTAATTAAAGACAGGCGTATTATACGAGAACTATTTGGTGTTATGAGCGTTAAGTAGTCGCCACCGATTTCCAGCCAGGACCTTTGTTACTGTTATATTCTTGTTCGGATTGCCTACTCCTTGAAAAGGAAGCAAATAGCTTAGTGCTTCTGTGTTGGACACTCACTTTTCATCAGTGGGGAGCTTTGGAGAAAATAAAATTCTGGACCAGCCGCAACATGACGACGAAACACATTTATTCCACGACCAATTTATCAGATCTGCAGCTCAAGGAGCAGGGCAATGGTTTATTTGCAGCCCGGAAATATGACGACGCAATAAACTGCTACTCAAAAGCCATCGTAAGTATCACGTATTGCAATGTTTTTGTTGTTTACATTGGCATGTTCTATGCTGCATTTACCATATATGTATGTACATCTCATACATACATATGTATCGTACCAGATTAAAAACCCCACAAACGCCACCTACTTCACAAATCGTGCCCTCTGCAACCTGAAACTCAAGCGTTGGGAACTGTGCTGCCAAGACTGTCGACGAGCCTTGGACATCGATGCCAACCTTCTGAAAGGACACTTCTTCCTGGGCCAAGGACTAATGGAAATCGACAGCTTTGACGAGGCCATAAAGCACCTTCAACGGGGTTAGATTAATGCGAATATGAGTGGCTTGTGTCATAATATCACTCGAATTTCAGCTTATGATCTGTCTAAGGAACAAAAGCAAAACTTTGGGGATGATATTACACTCCAGTTGCGACTAGCTCGCAAAAAACGTTGGAATGTCTTGGAGGAAAAGCGAATACACCAGGAAATCGAACTGCAAAGCTATTTGAATCGGTGAGATAAACTAGTTTAATATAATTATTTTTCATCCGTTTCAAAAAGGCATTTATTATACAAGACAAGACTTATTATAAAAGACACCGAAAGCTGTATTTGATTCCTTTCAAACCACTTTATTAAAAGATAATATATCCGACTACCAAGAAACAAACTTTTTGTTTATAACAATGTATCAGCGTTTCAAACGACCGGAATCTGAGAGACTATCCCAATAAAGTGTACAACAGATCACATAACTTACAACATAAGATATACCTATTAAATTAAAAAAAGTAGATTTAAGTCAAAGAATCTAATTTTGTTAGTTTGTTGTTGTCCTAGTTTTTTTCCTTTGATTCTCTAACGTAACTGGTATTGATTTAATCATAGAAAAGGTTTCGGTTGTCCATCTGGGACCGGAGGGCTTTACAAATAACGTTATCGTCAAAAAATTAATTTAAAACATTTTATACAGGCTTATAAAAGGAGACATGGAAAACCGTTTGGCTCTTTTAAAGCTAAATGAAAATACGAATGAAGAGCAGCTAAAGGACAAGCAGCAGGAAATTGAACAAGAGTGTGTAAGTTCCATAGTTTGAAATTGTAACAGCTTAAATACTTTGCATTACGTATACGAATTAATATTTTTTTTTGTTTTTTCAGGATGACCATATAAAAGAACTAAACAATATATTTTCTAAAGTTGATGAACGACGAAGGGTAAGTAGAAATAAGATTAATTTCAAATAATTTTAGTAGTATTAGAAAAGCTCATTGTTTTGTCTATAATTTCCTTAATTAACTGTTGTTAATTGTTCTTCTTTAATTTGTAAACAGAAACGCGACGTTCCCGACTTTCTGTGTGGCAAAATTAGTTTTGAGATATTAACGGACCCTGTGATAACTCCATCTGGAATTACCTATGAACGTAAAGATATTGAAGAACATTTACAGCGGGTTGGTCATTTTGATCCAGTTACACGCGTGAAGCTTACTCAGGATCAATTAATACCAAATTTTTCAATGAAGGAAGTGGTTGACTGTTTTATTGCTGAGAACGAATGGTCTTTAGATTACTGAGTAAAATATTATTGCATTATCATTGTAATTGATTAGATGTTAAAACCCCGTTCCCATTGTCTAAAAACCAGAATAGTGATAATAAATGTGGATCTGCAAGTGATTTAGGTTGTATTATTAAAAGGTAAAACGAAAAGGACGCCTTTTCATTTGTATCTTAATTAATTGAACAAAAATAAAAATTCGTTGTATAATAGAGTTATAGTTTTAATAAAAAACAGCGTTAAAAAATCTGCTCAGTGGAGATTCACATCTTTCAAAAATTCCAACCATTTCATTTGTTCGATACATTCGCTCCGATTGTCATCGTTTTAAATGCGAACTTCGCCACTATCTTGACAAGAAAATATCGATAAACCGTATGTTTACAAAATTTTACAGCTATCATTTTTGAAGGCATCTTCCTAATAGGTTTTGGATTGGATTTTGTGTAACAATTATTTCGTAATACTATGGATTCCTCTCAAAGTCATGCTCGGATGGCGACGGAAGAATCAGATCAAGATGTTCGAATCTTATGCTTGCAAAATTTGATTGAAAAGAACATTGAGATAGGTAAGTAATCGAATTGCAATACAATGTTAAAAAATAAAGCATCTAATTTAATGCAGAGCAACAAATTGAGAACAATACGTTTGGCCAATCCATCGCGGCAATCGAAGAAATCCTTCGTACAGCGAACGATATAAGCAAGGGACATGAAGACCGCCGTACAAACTCGACGGAGCTTGTTCTGGATACGGAATTGTTGAGGCGCAATCATGAAGTTGTGGGAAAGGCAATACAGCACAACACTAACTTTACGGACAGAATGGTGATCACGGCAATCGTAAGTATACACTAAATAAAGTTTGTTTGTAAATTATTATAATGTAAGGACTGTCGATAGAACGATTTGGTTTTCAAAGAACACGAAGAGGACTGGGACGCTGTATGCGAACTGGCCATTCAGTTTGGCAGACCGCTCTTCACAAATGATAGCATGCTACCGTTCATAGATGTTGCTCCAAAGGAAGTCATCCCCAAACAGCGTGCTCAACGGAAAACAAAATCTCAAGTAAGTCTACTCGTAGTTTGGGATCCATTGCGCTTGCGTGCATCCAACTTTGTATGTAACAGTCAAATGGTTCGCATTCTTTCATCTTATTGGTAATATACATATCTAAACAATAATGATCTTTTTGTAGGTTGAAGAAAAGCGTCCAAAGAGGAGTGATAAATTGGAACGCAAGGACGAAGGTGCAGAATCCGTCAGTCATATGCTGAAACAGATCAGGCAAATATATCGGGATGGCGGCAATCAACCGATTCCGTATTTCAAATTAATTTGCAATCCAAATAACTTCATGGACACCGTTCAGAATGCGTTGCAACTTTCGTTTCTTGTCAAGGAGAACTTAATCTCCGTTGAAAACGGCGAGGATGGTTTGCCTTTGGTTCACGTTGTGAGTTCAAAAAGAGTGGAGGGAAATGAGCCTGCCCAGGCAATTTGTTCTATTGATGTTTCATTTTGTGAGGTATGTATATAGGTTATATAAAAATATTTTGAATCTAAATTTTTGCTCTACAGAAAATGGCAAAGCACTACGACCTATCTGAGCCAATGTTGAAAAGACTTCAAATTAACGAAAGTTAGATTTATGAGATTATTTTTATTAATAGTTTATAATTAAAACACTAAATACAAAAAACATCCCGTTTCAAAACGTTGAATTCATAATACAATTAGTTGGAATTATTCTTCAAATATTGTGAGCTGAGATTTTGACTTAATTGGCATATTTAAAGTTGATGTAAATAGAAGAATATGAGAATTGAAAGAAAAAAACAAAGCGTGACAAATAATAATTCAATAATCTTTTTAAGTTTCAACAATCGATTTAAGTTTCTTATAACAAAACAACTAATAAAAAGAACAAAATTAACCAATGCTGTTTCAGTGCATGTGTGCAATCTTTTAAAGGCAAAATACTAAGAGTTCATCCCCCAAAAGCATTACCCAATTAACGGAATATCTACACAAAATCATTAAGTGAATTTTATTATTCAAACTGTTCCGTTACCCCGCAGTTAAAAAGGTCCCCTCTTTTTTACTCTGAAACACACGTTACAACAGAGCCCGTAAATTTTGAATGTCCGCCTACATTTTATAAAATAGTATGGGCAATTGTAAATAAAAAAATTGTTACAAAAAAAATGTTTCTATATTGACTCTGCAGTGTTTTGCCCGTTGATATTAAATGATTTAATTCACTATTATTTATTAAATAATTTTTTGTGCTAAACAATAACAATAATACAATTTTTAAGAAATTGTGCAAATAAAAAAACTAGGCATTCGTTTTTTAATGAAAACATAAAAATTAACTTAAAATAAAAGTGGAGCTAATAAAAAAAATGGGTTTTTAAAAATAAAAATTCTAATGTAACAAACAATCCTTTTAAAGAAAATATTAAAAAAAAACACTACTTTCTCCTTGGAATGCTCCATTTATTAAAAAATCACTCCTAAGCTTAAAATAAGTGTACTTTTGGCTGCACAGTGCTATTAATTGAATTCCGTTAACTTAATTCTACAAAGAAGAAATTAAGATTAATTAAGATTTATTACACAGAGAAGCTTAGGGTTAATTGCATTTGTGTGGTCGATGGAGTTTAAAGGGCTTGGCGTGAAAAAAAGGCTTGATAATAGTGCAACGTTTCTATACAAACTTGATATATAGCACATTAAATTACTAGTAAGATTATTGTCGAAGTTTTGGATTTTGTTACCTTATGTCGGCGAAAAGGCTATACTGTTAAGTGTATAAAACTGAGCTAATGTATAATTACATATAAAAACCAAAATGAAGATTTATTACTCCATATCAGCATAGCAACAAACGACCTAATTAATAGACTCCCAATCTTGAATTTACAAATTTAATGATGCACAAGCGCAGTTTCAATAAGTTTGCCGAGTTGGGGGTTTGTCTTAGAAAATCTATGAATTAGAGCAATGCATGGGTATACAAAGCGGTTCGTTTGGGTGCTTAAACAAAATTTGAGGTCAAATAGTAGTTTTTTTTACTGAAAACAATTCAAGTAAGGTTTCTATTTTCTAATATGACCTACCCTACTTGACCCAAATATTTTCAGGTGTTTTGGTTTCGGAGTAGAATGCGTTTCGTTGTGTTTTAGGAGTACCTACTTCGTAACACTAGTTTAGAAATTGCCCTTTGACTTTTATTACAAAAGCTGTGCCCTATGGTGATATAATATGAACTTCATTTACATAGCTAGACCTTATTAAATTCTTGTGATCCAGAGTAAAACATGCAAGTTTCGTATATACTCCAATTTCTAATAAAATGTTTTTTACCTATGGTCGCTAAAATTCTTTATTTAATGTTTTTTTTTTTGGAATATGAATATAAATATAGTATTTTTTGATTTACCCATTTCTTTAAGGAACCTTTTCTACTTTCTGATACACTGTCAGGACTCTACATTTAGTAATCAAAAGTGTGGGTAGCTTAATTCCGAATTGAGATCTGCTGAATTATAACCAATTTCGGCTCCATAAATTTCTTTGGATTACTTTCGCATTAAGCGTTTGCGTAAGGTTCGAATGTACATTTGTTCTCGCATTGATATTCCGCTGAAAGCTACATAAAGTTAAATGCATACATATGCAGAGACATCACCCACATTATTGTAACTCACCCGTGGTCACACGTACAACTGGGGGCATTGCAATAGCATCGAGAGTCCAAGGTTAAATGCGTTTTTAAATTATCTACTTAGTAACTCAAATTTGGAAATACTTGGCTTAAATCCTTCCCAGATTTTTCTATAAATAGGTATAGATCTGATCGCTTTATTAAAACTGAACTTAAATCTAAATATGGCTTCGAAAATGTGTATTTTTGATATAGTTTATGTTGTGTACGAAACTAACCTTTTAAAAATCAGTACATTTTTTATTATAGCTTTTAAAAAATGTAAATATATGGTCCTTAAAAAAATTATAATTAAACTTGAAACTGGGTTTATATAATCATGTTGTTTAATATTTTTAACAAATTGTCCTATAGAAAAAAACCATTACTAGTGTATTTATATTTTACTATTATATGTTTAGTATGCTTTTGTGGCATCTTTTGAGCTACTATCTCGCCCCAAACTGTGGGTGCTCACATATCTGTATGTACGCACGTTTGCCTCCAGACTTTTGGGTGGCGCTGGCAAATGACTCTATGCCTATGTGAGTGGCGGACCCCCACTCCCACTCCTCCGGGGATTGGGGCATTGGGGGATCGGGGAGCTCCGGACGCGGGCGCGGGCGCTGTTGTTAGCAGTCGATCGCCAGAGCTGCGCTGATGCTCGCGGCGCGGTCTGCCTCCAACACTTCTGTTCCCAAAGCCGCTTTCCCGAAAATTCAGTTCGGATTTTAGTTCGGATTTGAGTACCACGCGATGAAGACGGCGGCTTCAATTAATCCAGAATTAAGAGTGCAGTGATACGGGATTTCATATATATTTTGCAAATAGTTAATAGATAAAACGATGGAAAGTTACACTAATTAAATTGCTTTTGCTTTTTTTTATAACTTTTCTAATTCCGTGACTTCGCAAAGCGCAGATCCTTAATGATCAGATCCTTAATTAATCCGTTTAAATTGTGATTCAATACTTGTGTTTCCATCAATACCCCCGTCTAAAAACAAATAATACAAATAAAATAGTGATTGTAACGAAACGTGAAAAAAGGTATTCTGATAGATGATCCATATCCTTTTGTCTGTCGGTTGGCCTTTTTCAGTTGAACCTATTTACAATTGTTCGGTTTGTTAACTTTTGGCCTCTTCAAAGGTCCGAAGTCAAATTGAATACGGGCTTAATTGCTTTTTGGGGAAAAGTGTGTAATTGATTTGGGTTTTTTTTGAGACGAAAAAGAGTTTTGGGACAAACCAATTTACATCAATCGAATTGAATGGTTATCTTCGCGATGACAGTAATCACTCAAGTACTAAATGCATGGTGTAGTGAAAGAAAGCCCTCTGTCGATGGAAGTTTCAATCCCCATAACACTACATTATTTTGCATGCCTTAGATGTAGCAACGTAATTACAGTCATTAAGTTTTAGGACTGAACGGATAATAGCACAGTCGGCCCCAAAAGTAGTTGTCCAAATCTGAAAGCGAAATCAAATCTATCCAATTTGGTTGGTGACAGACACTAACATTTTCACCATAATGTTTTTTCGGTTATCTTTTTTTTTTTTTTTCTTCAAACTATTTAAACAAACCCATCTGTGCGCATACATATGTGTAGGTTTCAAAATATCTCATTTTCGTTTTGCTAATTGCGGAAGTTTCACATAATGTAAACGAGTGTGAATGACGAAATACAAGAATGCGGGAAATATGACATGTGTATCAAAATATTTTGGGCAGACGTACTTTGCTTTCCATGGGCGGCCGATTGAAGATTTTCTAAACACTTCACTTTAATGCAAGTTCTTCATAATATCCGCACTCTTTGGATTGAGTGTTTTTGAGTTCTGAGTTCTGAGTTCTGAGTTCAGTGGCATGGTGAAGTGCTAATGCCATTGCAGCGCTAAGTTCGTGGATGTGCATACATGGGCAAATGCAGTTTCAGTGCATAGATGGGCCCAATATGGGCCTATTGACACAGATAAGTATGAAAAGTACATTGTGACATTAGGAATATATATATATATACCCGGTACTCGTACTGTTCTAGGGTCTATTGCTCATTCCAAATGTGTGTCAGTGGCGGAAAAGGCACTTTTAACACCATTCCGCATACGAAAGTTGATATTGAAAACCCCAAAACTATCTAATGAATGACTAATGACATTTAATAAAATATACATTTCTTTTGATCCTTTGATCCTACCAACGTTGTTTAAATTTTGTCAATAAAGTCCTTTTCTGATTGACTTTAGATCACTTTTCAATAGATTTTTATAGAGTGCGGAGTCCTGTAGCGTCACTTAAATTAAATGGTATTCTTGAGCCCCAGCTTGAAGTGAACTGATTTATATAATTATTTAAAATATTTTATGTGCGTAGTAGTAGTAGTATGCGCAATAGATGTGTGCTCATACATAGCTCCAAAATGTTGAGTGGGTGTGGAGACCTCTAATGAAATACGCCCTTCCCATTTTTGTTCACGGATGTTTGTAGTGTATGCTGCCGAAAGTACATCCATTCCAGTCGAATAGTCACGGTCGGTTTATTCGTAATCAATGGAAATAATGGAACTTGAGTTCCTCTGAGCGAGCTGCTAAAACAAAGCCTGAATATGCGTACGGGCACATATTGAAGATTGCTTAAAACGATAGCGAATTTATCTACATAGTACATGAAAAAGTCAAAGCATACATATTTAAAAATATACATGTAGCTCGTAGTTCAAAAGCTTTGGAATTAGGGAAATTACATTTCGTATCAGTCTTATCTTAAAGTTGAACTTAACAATCACTGTAATTATTTTTATTTTATTTGCTTACATTTTATTTGTCATTTCAGGCTTAAAAATGGCAAAGCTGTTTTTAATATTCAGGTAAGAAAATTATATATCTGGAAACTTACAATATCTTCTCTGGTTTCTAAAGCCTAACTAAATGGTCTTCTTGATAGATACAAATTTGATAGCCAAAAAGAGGGCGGGATGAAAATCTTTTTCAGCTGCATTTAATCAAGATCTTTTTTTTTTACCCTCGCCGCCGAACAGTGGCTCGGTTTCACAAAAAAAGTTTGTAAAAATTGCAGCTATCAAAAAGATCTTCAATGTATTTTGTTTCCCTTTGAAATTGCCTTCATTCATCAGTAGACATTCATTTAACAAATCGGAAGTGCATTTGAAGAGATACGATCGAGATTTTTACAACAAATAATTTTCCTTTCCATACAAATAATATTTGCAGCTTTTTAAAGAAACATAATAATTCATAATTAATAAATATATGTTTTTTTTGTTCAAATTAAACTTATTTTTAAAACTTCTGCCTGTGTATGCTGGTATAAATTGACTTAGGTCTTGCTCTAGATTTGGTTACTTTTTTATACTCTTTTCATAGGTGTATGCAACATTTTCAAACAACACAGAAGGCGCAGTTAAAAAATTAGTTAATTTTTGCTAAACGATTTACTGGGTCTGAACCATATTATACAAATTTGAAACCTAAACATCAAGGATATGAATAGATTGGTCATAAAGGTCACTAGGTTTATTATTTGTAAGTCGATTATAAGGAATTAATTTCTTAATTATAAATATTTGTAATAATCATTATTTGCAGTAGCTGCTCAAACGCTATTAATTTTCTACTTTTAATTTAAAGCCCATTTTCTTGTATTAAGTTCTAAAGGAAATCTAAATTTGATGATGGTTATTAAATATATACATCATTTTATCTAATTTTCAGTATTTTTATTGTTCTGGCATCTATACCCGACACCAGTTTCATAAGCGCGGATTTATCCACTAAAGATCGAATAAAGGTAGGTTTTCGACTAGTTCTTCAAATTTAAACATTTATAATCATTTTATTTTGAATTTTTTAATTTTATTTGTTGTTTTCCAGAAACTGTAAAAAGTTTATTAGATCTTAAGCGACAAATATTTTGTATTGGACTAGTTTATGTTTTTTTAGGCCATAAAACTTTGACTTTGGTCAGAGGAGCGCTATAAAGCTCGGAGCATTTTTTTGTAGCATGATAATCTTGCTTTAAGTCGTTAATTATTTTGTAATACTTTCGCAATTAACGAATTTCGAAATTTGAAGAACACAAAAAACAGTTTTGTTTGCTTTTCTATAAATCTGTTGAAGTTGGCACTAAATTTTTTTGAAATCCTTAATTACTTATGGTAACTAAGCATTTTTTTTTATTCTAACAAATTTTAATTGTCAATTTATTTAATTATTTACTATTTTTTATTTATTTATTTATTTCATTAATTCTTTTATTTTCATGCTAAGAAACATCAAGAGTGGCTGAAAGAGCACCGCAAACCCAAGACGAAAAAAATTCATTCGAACAACTCATATTATGAGCTAGCCAACTTATGGCACACGAGAAAAGATTTATCACCTAAGCAAAAGCCAAATAACAAAGAAGAATATTTGGAAAACGAGACGACTAGTAAAATATCTAACAAAACGGATGAAATAGTATTAAAGCCATTAATTAATGGCACCAATCAAAATACATCGACATCTAATCTTGATCTGGAAACAACAACATTAGCAACGACGCTTACTAAGCATCCGGTAGAAAATGGTAACGCTGCGACTACAAGTCAAACCCCAATTATAAAGGAGGTTTTCTCATCTCCAAATCCACCAAAAGTAGTAACTACAAAAAAGCTTAAGAAGAAAGTCTATCCATATCCACGATGGGATAATTGGAGTAATTGGAGCGAGTGTTCGCGAAGTTGTGGAGGGGGCGTTCGGCATCAAATACGAAAATGCATTAACAAGTAAGTTATATATTTCCGATATGGCTTCATCAGATTCTACTATCATCCTCATTGCTAATCGCAGCTTTAAGACTGATTTTCTTTTAATCGCTTAAGTTCTCTAAACGTGGAAATTCGTTGATCATGTAATTCAATTTTAATGACTAGTGTCGATTAAATTAGAAGTTCTTCATAAAGTAAATAAGTGTAAATTATTCTACTTAATTTGACAAGGTTTATTATTTTTGAGAACATCTTAGAAAGTCTAACAAAATGTCGAAAATAAATTGAATTTTTTAATAAGTTTATACACGGTAAGTATGAATTACGATAATTTTTAAAGCTCGTATTTTTTAAATTTTAGAAACCTATCGACGAATAATCAGCTTACGAGTAATGCCTGTGTGGGCTACTTTAAACGCTATCAGCTATGCAATGATGTGCCTTGCGACTCCCAATCCCCGGATTTTAGAGCTTCTCAATGTACAGCTTACAACGAAATAGAGTTTCATGGTCATCGATATAGGTGGGAACCTTATGTGAAGGGTATGCATTACAAAAAAAAATGCCGAAAAAGGCATTCGATGCTGTTTCATTTTTCATTCGATGCTGTAACCATTTTTGAAAGCTTGGTTATAGAACTACAAATATCTTTGTTATAAATATGTTGTAGTTTTTTTTCAATACGAAAAGCGAGTGTAAAAGTAAAAAAACTATATACTCCGTATAGATGATGCTGAATGTGAACTCAACTGTATGCCATTTGGAATGAAATCATTTGCCACACTTAACGAATCTGTAATTGATGGTACCCCTTGTCAACATCCAGCTGAATACTATCGATCGCAACTTTGGGATCGTGCTGTTTGCGTTGATGGCGCTTGCAAGGTGAGTTAAACCTAGAATACTTAATTTAAGGTAATTTAATTTAGGTTTCAACAATTAAGTAGCTTAAAGATTTTTAATATTATTATTAATAATAAAAATGTGGGCAACCCACCATTGAATAAATTTAATTATTCAGTTCCATCCCCAGAAACAAAGCAACGCGCATAAAAAAGCACTAATTGCGCGCTCTTTTTCGATACTAAAGCTTTTTCAAGTACAAAAACACATTGAAAACTTAGTATTGGTTGTACGTTGAATCGGAAAGCACACAGAATTCATAGTGATATATAGTGTAATTAAAGGCTTATAAATTGAAAGATGTTTAGAGATGTTAGGCCAAACTTTAGGTGTATGTTTCTTTATTTATTTGCGTGTCTTCACAAATTTTATTTCGCAATTTTTTATCTGAGCCGCAAGTTTTGATTTGAGTCAATAATTGAATTTCAACCATTGAATAATCCTGTTGTTTCCGTAAACATTTGCAAATAGATTTAAATAAAATCTATTTACTGGTGAATTCGTTAAAATTCTGTCTTCTAGTAGTGGCTTTAAAATCATTTGTGGCTTTTTGCTTGTATTTTATTATGAAGAATTAATGAACGCAGCTCTTGAATTCTTACTACTTTTTTAAGTCTTTGTTTTGTTGATCTTGCTCGTCAATATATATTAACTAAATAATGTCTTTAACTTGTAAGGTTGAAGAAGATAATATTTTTTAGTAAAATTAGTCGTCAATTAAATCGTAGTCCGTAAATCACATTAAAAAAATGGTACTTAATTGGGTATTACCAAAAACCCACTATCGATTTAAATTGGTAGCATAGTGTACTTCATCTGAAAACTGTTTACTCTACTTTACCTGTCCAAGAATTATTTATTTCATTTAACTTTATCAAACATTTAGCCTTGTTTCACAGTTTTCATACTTTCCTAATAATTATATAATTGCACCTTAAGTTTTAAATTGATTTCTGAAAACTGGAATAGGTCAACAAATCAAAGTAAAATGAATTCCGTGAAAGAAAAAACTAGAACGGGTCCAATGAGCTTAATTTCAATGAATTATTTTAGTAAACACATTGCCGCAGTTGTGCGTACAGAAAGTCCATTCAAAAAGCAATTACTCGTAGAACATATGCCCCTTTATAAGACTGAACATATTTCGTACTCATTTATTTTTTGTTTATCTTAATCTCTTAATAAGTGGCCAATAAATAATGTTTCTGCAAAGCCCACGAATTCCACTCGTATTACCCTGAACTTACTATATATAAGAAGTATTTTTAATATTCTTATGTAGACGCAGAATACAGTTTTTGAAGAGCGGGTCGAAATCAAGAACATTTCACTGGTGATATATTAAATTTAATTTGGTAACTTTTATATCAATAAAATATTTATAGTATAATAATTCTTACTGGCATAAAAGTAAGTGTAGGCGTAAAATTTAAATGAAATGAAAACATTGATTGCATTACTATTACTGGTGAGTTAAATGACCATTTTATTACTGGATTTAAATCTAAATAAGAGTGAAAAAAAACTTTTGTTACATTTTTGTTTTGTTCAATTTAAGGCCGTCCATGCCAGTGGCGATATTGATGGACTGTATGCGCACAGTGGGTCCGTTAGTTGCGGAGGACTACTGTGCCGGCCTGTCACTGGGATCTTCACTCGTGATCCCCTCCCGGAACATGCCTACATACATGTTACTACCTTACCAGTGGGTGCATCGAATATTTCTATAACAGAACTTAAAAACAGCATCAACCTGCTAGGTATCTTTAATTCGGGTATTACATAATATTTCCGATGTTCTAGCGCTTTTATACTATTTTTAGTTTTGCGGACATCTAAAGAGGTGTCCATTTTCAATGGCGAGAATACTGTGTCGGAAAGTGGATCCTACGAAGCGGTTGGAGCCACATTCGACTATCACCGAATCGATGGAGCTCAGGACAGCAATGGAGTTACCGAATGGATCACAAGCATTGGGCCCATTAGGGACGCATTGCAACTTATGGTAAATCACTTAAGATTCTTTTGGCCTTGTTTTCTTATTAGAAAAAGTATTGAGACGTTTTCACGTTAGCTTTGATAGAAGTCACGTTTTTCATAGCTACTTCATCCATCCTTTAAACTTTGCGGGTTTAGATATTTTTAAGGTCTGCCACACATCTGTTCGCAATCTGGTAGCACTTTTGGTGTAATTTAAAGACATAAAAGACTACCCACTAGAGTAAATTTCCTAACCATGGGATTTTTTATACTTTGACTTTGTTCTGAACTATTTTTTGATTTTTTAAACAAATATTTTTTTAAATTTTTTCTAAAATTTTAAGTTAAGAAACGGGGAAGACTTATATTCATCTAACACGAGAACAATCTCCTTATTTTTGTGGACTCTTTATTGATTTATTAAGTAAATACGCTCAAATTTTAAGTTTTTTTGATATTGAGTTAACTTTCTTTGTACAGAGCTGCCACCTAGTCGGAAAAATGTATGTCTATAAAAATGTTTCTTAAAGTGCGGCCACAAAATCAAAAATCAATTGATCCCCTGCTTAAATTTAACCTTTAAATTTAAACTTTAGTTTTCAGTACTGTCGAGAAAGCATCCATAATGTATTTATAACAAATTTTTACTTTATGGTCCTTCAGGTTTACACCAAGACACCGAATAATACTGGCATAAAGTACGAGTACATGCTGCCCATAATATCTGAGTCGGAGGAAAACGAGATGTCCTTGGAGAGTAACGATGGTCTGCTGAGATCCGGAATCGAGGACACCAGTTCGTCGAGCAGCTCGAGGGCGGGACGAAAGCGAATCTTTAATTGGAAAGTGATTGGTTTCAGTAGCTGCACGAAATCGTGCGGAGGCGGCACACAGACACCCATTATACGTTGCATTCGGAAGAATCCATTGCGGTACTACTCGCAGCGTCGTTGCGTGCACTCCGTGAAGCCGGTGCTGAATGAGAACCTATTGCACTGCAACACGCAACCGTGTCCGGCGTACTGGCGCGTTGATGAGTGGGGTGAGTGCCGCTGCCTCAGTAGCGGTGCATTTCGCCGGCGGGAGGTGAGCTGTGTCCAGGAGCTCGCCTCCGGATTGGTCATACACGTGGATAAGTCCGCCTGCATGGCGGACCAGCCGCCCACCCAGAAGCAGTGCGAGTGTCCCAAGAACCGGCGACGCAATCTGTCGCGATACCGGCTACCAGGCAGCTTGGACTCCGGAAACAGCACCCAGGTCAAGCGCAGCAAGATCGACGGCACCGAAGTCCATGCCATCTGGTTGATGTCCGAATGGAATCAGTATTGCTCGGCCACTTGCGGATCGGGCATTGAGTATCGTACAGTATTTTGCGATCGGTCAAAGGCCGGCGAGCAGCGCTGTGATCCCAGCACCACTCCCGAAAGTCGTCGTCCCTGTGAGAAGTCCAGTTGCAAGGTGGGCGACTGGTTCACCGGTCCCTGGTCCTCCTGCAATGGCGACTGCTTCGACTTGACCCGCAGCCGGCAGGTGCTGTGCATCCACAACCAGCTGATCACAGAGGACAAGGACTGCACGCCGGAACTGAAGCCGCAATCCGTGGAGAAGTGCTCCCACGAGGAGGTGGAATACTGCGCTGCCCGTTGGCATTACTCGGACTGGTCGGAGGTAACTATATAGCTATATATATATACCTCTTATTAATTAGAATTAAAATATTGAAGTCACAAAAATCTCTTTGATTTTAGCTTTTGATAGCAACCAAAGATTAAGTTTAAAGAATTTTGTATTACTAAAAGATTTCGGTTTGCAGATTCCAATAGTTGGCAGAAAAATGTTACACCAAAGTATTCAGAAATTGACCTCAACAATGAACCATAACAATTTTAATATTAGGTAGTTGATTTTGGTTTAAAAGAAAACTATAGAAACTCTACTTTCCATTTTCTGAAAAAAGTAACGTGGTGAAGCATTTAAGATAAGAAAATAATACTTTTGTGCATGTATATTTAAGTATAATTTTGAAACATTAAGTGATTGAAGAACTTCTTTAAAGAAGAACACCTACGAGTAATCCTTAAGAGTTGAATAAAGCTTATAGTTGTTATTATCTTTAAGGCTATGCTAACTTTAGTTTATAATGTCTTCTAATGGCCTTTGTTTTCAACAGTGTTCGAAACCATGTGGGGTTGGTAACCAGCGACGCAGTGTAAAATGTTTGGAGTACGACATAAAGTTGAACGTCTTACGGGAATCATCGCAATGTCGGTACACGATCAGAGAACCAATATATCGCAGTTGCAATGCACAAAAGTGCGAAGGTGGGTTTTGCTTTCAGTAGCTTTGCCATATACATTAATGTATTATATTATATATTACAGAAGAGCCGAAAACTGAAGCTATTCCGATTTGTACTGATAAATTCGCCAATTGCCAATTGGCTTCGAAAGCAAAGTTATGTAGCTACGATTACTATCGCGACAACTGTTGTGCTTCTTGTGCCGGTGGTATTTAAAGCGATTTCAAAGTATATTTAGAAGTAGATATTAAGAATCATACTTAATTTATAAACGATTTTTAACCGCCGTGCAGAATAGCTACGAAATACTATTAAGCATTACTTCGAACATGACACTTTGGTAACCCTTAATATATGTAGTATTGCTGACACTAAAGCTCAAAATAAAGCTTGCAGGGAATTGCAATAATTAAATCTTCGGTCAAACAATATGTATTAACGCAAGTGAATAACAAATACTTAAACACACTAGCTGAAGACTTTAACATCAAAAATAGTAAATCCTTACAATAAATATAACAATCTCATTAAGAAAAAAAAGAGTCCTTGTTTAAGAATAAATAAATCTTTTTACTACACATAAAATGTTTTCCAATTTCTGTTCTATTCATAACTCAATAGCTTTAAACTTTATTAAAATCGGTAATAAGTAATTTAATATAAGTTAAATTAAATAAGCTATAATCTTATGTTTTAAGTAAATATTGCCTGCTTTATTTTAAAGCCGGTAACCCAGGGTTTGCCAGATCAACCTAATTGTAAAGAAGTATAAAACTTCAACAAAGCCCAAAACACTGAATCCAAGAAACAGTCCTGCCGTTCCGCCGATTGAAACTAAAACAAAGAATGTATAAGTTGAGATTATCGCTTTTGGTCAATTAATGTAGTTACCTAACAGATCAGTCATTGAAAATATAACTTGACGCTTAAGTCGATTTTGTGGCCAGTTTTTGACAGATACGGTGCTTCCAATACTTCCAAGTAATTGTTTTGATCCCAACATTGGCTATACAAATAAGCGGAAGCCAAGATTTTAAAGATTTTATTTAAAAAGTAGTTAAATGAGAAGAGGGGCAGCTAGCTTCGGCAAGCCAAAGTATATATGCTCTTACAGATTTAAAAACTTGTAATTAGTCAAAATTCAAACTCCACCACTTCCTTCTTTTTTATGCTTGAATATTAGATAAGAGAGCATTAGTTCAAAAAAGGCAACATTATTTGAGAAAAAACATATCGTTTTGATAAAAACCTATGCATTTTCACCGACTTTTATATAAAATGGTAGCTATATATATGGTTTTTATATATTTCTAGTTCTATTCGTTTACCTTTAAAAACGACAAGTTTAGCTTGTTTTTCTAGTAATTCTATTTGTCAACTATATGATATACATAGTAGTATATGTGCAATATAATATCTGCAATAGAAAACAAACCATCTGGTAAACTTTTATCCAAATAGTTTACAAAACTGATAGAATAATTTGCTTAGAAACGGATAGTTTGACCAAGACCATATATTCTTTATGTGGAAATGTCTTCTTCTCTGCATTGAGAACTTTAGACCCCCTGCAAGGATAAAAAATTAAACCATAAGACTTACGAGGGCGGCCCTTGTAGTAACTACAGAATCACGGCAGTTCTGCTCACAATAGCATGTTTCGGGCTTCTCGTGCTTTCCATTTTCCTCGTAAAGTTGTAGTAGAAAATCTTAATTATATTTTAAAAGGGTGGGAAAAGTAATGTCTGTTCTATTTTTTCCTTTAATTAATATAGTCCTTACTTGCATGACGAGGAAAGCACGATCTTAAAGTTTTGTAATCGCACACCGGCTTCGGATTTGCGACTAAAACGAAGTGTTATGTTTTTTAGTTCCAAAATAATGTTTTTAACTTACTGCGATTGGGGTAGAAGTGGGGTATACATTTACATATTCTGTATGCCAGATTAATTCGGCACTCTTGCATGCAAACATTTCTAGTATAGAATGGAAAATGGGTCAAATTGGATTCGTGGTAAAACCGACATTTTCTCATTGCGATGGTGGTCTCACTGCGTAAAGTTTAAGTATTAAAGCTTTTTTATTTGTTTTTAAAGAAGTTCATGTAATTTGCCTTTCCAGATTATCATCAGCAGTAATCTCTTTGGAGATTGGATCGTACACCACTCCGTCTGTAGTATAACCGAAATTTGTGTCCACTTTCATTACTTCGAATGCAGAATGTATGTAACTCTGGGAAAGTTTGACACATTAGTAAGTATAAATCGAGCTAGTTAAACTAACTCACATCCAATGCCGGGCTGGAAAAACCCATTAATGTATACTGAACGTCCTTTTCAAAAAACGAACCCTCCAGATATTGAATAAGCCTACGCTCGTGTTCGTATTTGTTGAACTCGGGATACTTTCCGAAGATCAAATATCGGGAACTATACTTTTCGCCCAGCCTTGAGTTTCCCAGGTAGCACAGTCCGTACTCCGTGAGAACCTGTCGGACATGAATGAAAGTCTGACCATCGACACAGCGGGTGCGATTGACTTCGCTTGGAGCGTACGTTGAGTCCACGGTTAGGTTGTAGATAACCTCCATGTAGTGTTCCGGCTTCAGGCCTATATCCTTAATTATTTGATCGATCTGATCGCTCTGGGGTATGTTTTGAAAATTCACGTACGTTGAATTGGCCAAGTTCTCTAGAAAGTCCCAAAATATTGCTTTTTCTGGTCCCTTAATGCCGTTTTTCCTTAAATTACAATTATGTTTTCAATTGTAAGAAAGAAATATAGATATATATATATAAGTACCGACAATAATCAGCAAACAAAGTATTGTCAAGGCGTTGCATTGGGCATATTGTTAGACTCGGTAAGGTGGTGTTCCAAAAGTGGTAGTTTCGCTGGAATGGGATAAAAATATAGTTCTATTTAAGTTTTCACAGCATTTCACAGTACCTCCAATCCGATATGTGTGCTTTTCGTGTAGTAACGATCAATAGATGATAGGCATACAATAATACAGAAATAAATTGAGACAAAAAGCAAGACAAACCATAGGAATCTAGAAAATAATCATCATTAATAATTGTTTCGTCAAAATGTTTAAAATATTTTACAAAAAAAATGTTTATACACATATAGTATTTTATAACTTACTTTTCAAAGACAACCAGCATTGTTTGGACAAGATATCGGAAACCATGAACACAACAATTGTTAAAGTATAAAACAATGAAATTTATAATCGATCGTGGCCATCGCCGATTTTTAAACGACTTAGACTCCATGTTGTTCTTTACTTTTTGTTCTTTATTTTATTGTATCTTTAAATTGCTTATTTAGAAAAGATTAGTAGGACGTTGCTTAGACTTCTAAATAAAGGCTTTCAAAATCAAGAATATATATATAAAATTCCACTCTTCGAGAATAATTAGTTTGTTAGCGTGACTAATCTCTGTTTGAAGTGCTTTTTGCGATTAAGCTGAATTTAACTTCATTACCTATGCAAGATTATTCGATAAAGCATATTGCGTGATTTGCTAATAAAAGAGAAAGGTTTTTGTTAAACAACATACAAGAATTTTTTATTTTAAACGATTTACGGTCCTAATAAGGTTTCTTAATAAATTAATTCCAAAAGATGGTATCAAAAAAATTTTATTTTAAATAAAAAAATAATTAAATGCAAGAAGAGGTAATAAAACAATATACATTTTTTAGATTCGGAGCGAAAGTATTTCAATATAAAAACTTCAAAAGCCATAAGGGACTATTAACGATAATGCGTTCTGGTCTGAATACAAAAACAAAACATAACATTCACCCAAGTTAAAACTAATTGAGGCCTTATAAAGTTTTTAATCAATATTTCTTGGTTTATTTTGGGAAAGCAATTGTTTGATACATTCATTATGAAATAGTTTTTTGTAGGATGATGAACGTACGAATTTGCATTGGCACCAGTGTGACAACGAATTCGGAAGCATCCATCGTAGAATCAGCCGACATCGGGCTATGTGGAGCGTAGAAATATTCAACGTAGGAAGGAATACTACCAGAGCCATCTTGATTAAATTTGAATCTCTTCATATCGATCAGCTTCATATTTCCATCCAAAGTGGTCTCCCAAATCTGGTAACCACTCAAGGAAGTGAAGAGGGGATATAGGTTAAAGCTAACTACGTTTCCATTGGTGTTAAAGTTCTCCACTCGTATCAATATTTGTTCCTTTGAATATTGTTCAAAAGAAAGTAGTTCGACGTACTGAGGGAAGTCTGTAAAATCGGGAATCATGTCCTTATATACATGGGGTACGCTATTGGATTTGCTGAAGAACTTCCAAAAGTGTTGGTCCAACTCATGCTGAACCAGTCTCTCTGCGTGATTTGGTTTTTCTGTTGCCACATCGAGAATCAAATGAACCTTTCCCCTTGCAATCAAACCAGTTCCATACTGGGTCTCATTTAGGGCCTCGCCAACACCAAAAGCATCGTCACTCAGAAGCCGTCGATGAAGCATCAGCTCCAATTCTCCGTCCTCCAAGCTGGCTCCTCCCTGAGCTCGGTCATTTAGCAGGGTGAGTCGCTTTTCGCCGTCTTGCAGGGATATTTGTCCGGTCACTGGGTAGTAGTTGCCACTTATTGCCTCCGACATATCGGGATCGAAGTGCTCCCGCTGGTTTCTTTGGCGTTCCAGCATTTCCCTACCATTTGAGTCGGTGTAAAATCGACCATTGGAGGCTATATTGCTGGAGAAGCGAGTGATTATCTCCTTTCCAACCTCATCATCCGTGGGTATCGGACCGACCAACCATTCGAATTCCACGCGATTGACTCCTTCGTAAAGGCGTATTACCTGGGAGATCCACTCGTTCACATGCTGATGGACTTCCTTAACTCTGGTGCCATTGTAAAAGGATATATCAGCCTTGTTTCTCAGTATTTCAATGCCTCCATCCGGTCGGAAGACGTATGCCCCTGATGAGCGGTTTTTGGCTTCGCCATTATTGCCTCGAAATCCCTTGTAAATGCCAAAACTTTGCTGAATGTTTTCGGTTAGGCCATTCATTGTAATGGTTTTCAAGCCTCCCGTAGTTGTATCAAAAGTGAGTTTCACGAGCTAAAATAACAAAAGTCTATAGCAATTAATCGAGAGACATTGCAAAACACTTACCGAATTCTCCACTATCAATATGTCGGTCTCATCCATCACTTTCCCTATGGGGAAATACTCATGATCAACACTTTTTGGCGAAGGCAGTACACGAATTAAAAAGTTGGCAATCTTTCCAACAGTGGCTTGGAAAACCAACTCGTGTTGCGTGTCATTCGATCGGTGTTCTATGGCCAAAACTTGCCAAGGAACGGGGATTACCTCCGAGGATACTTCACGACCTGAATAAAATTAAAAAAAAAAATTACCAATTATCTGCCAATAAAAGTTTGTGTAGGTAGAGTACCTTTCTCGTCGGTGACTATATAGTTATTGTTTTCCACCGGAATACGCACATACTGGGTTGAGGTATGAGCCAATGGGTTTACCAGAGTGACAACCACATTGTTGGCACTATTCTGGGTGAATGCACAAACACTTATGTTCAGTTCCAGGCAACTTTCAAACTGCCCTGAGGTCAGATTGGTCAGAGATCGAAGGGCATTGCGAGCACTGTTTTCGGCACCAACGATTGCCTTGTACAACATACGATCGTAATCACGGGCAACAGCCTGCTTTTCGGTGCCCGTAACAGCATCATGGTGCTGCATTATTCCCATGGCCTGGCTTAGATTTTCAAGGTCTTCCGCATGCTGAGGGCTGGTCAAATTGGCCAGAACACTCAGTTGCTTGACCGTCTGAAAGAAATGATTTCCATCGCGATGAAAGCGTTTTTGCGTGGGTCTCGACGTAAAATATCCCGTCCAGTAGGAGTGCGAGTCACTGGAGTAGGGAAAGAAATCTTCGGTTTTGTTGGGCCACGTTTGCTGCAACTGGTGCAATTCGTAGAGATAGCAGGAAGGGGTTGAGTAGAAAACGTTGACCTGAGATCCCCCCGATTGGCGATCGTTGACGTACCTGTTGGCCATGGGAAATATCAGAGATAAGACAAATGACCAAGATATAATTATGACACACTTACTTAATCAGTTTGTCCATGTTCTTGAAATTAACTGCGGCATCTTCGTACTGAAAGTCGTCTCCCATGGGCACCATTATATGAGTAGATCGGTAAGACTTCGACATTTTCTTTACATAGTCAATGAAATCACTGACTCTTTTGTCCACGTTGTTGTCGTAACTCTCGCCATCGATTATTGGAGCATCCTGGCAATTTATATCAAAGCAGAAACCTGGTGGCGATGAATAGTGATTGTAAAGCATGCCAGTAAAAATGTTTGAATTCTTAAGGTATTCGCTTGATTGCCAAATCATCTCCATTCCTTGCTCTTCCATACGTTTCTTTTTGTCGACGTAATCCATGCGAGCGAAAAATTCGCCATTATATCCCATTTGAGCAAATATAGAGGCCATTTCCCGGGAGTGACCAAATGGATCGATCTGCCAACCTATGCTCGGTCGTCCACAATCCCCAAAAATGTCTTTTAAGTATCTGTAACGGCAGTGATTAAAAATTACTTATAAAGCTGCCTAAAAGTAGGCAATAAAATACTTTCAGTCCCATTAATTCCTGCTCGATAACCAAGTTATCATTTTTACAGCACACTTTTAGGCACCTTTATTAGTGGTTTGAAAACACTCACCTTAATCCCAAATTAAATTGATCTATTACACTTTGGTAGTTAACCGTGGCCTCATCGTTCATACTCCAAGCTCCTCCGGCGAATTCAAGTCGTCCTTCTGCTACCAATTTCTTCACAGCTCGCTGGACTGTTTCGGTTTGTTCGGCGTACCATTTGGCAAAGAAGAACGTTTCCACCTGAATGAAACGCCGTTTCGAATCCTTCAGGAGTTCTTCGACCACCGTATCCAGAATATACTGGACTCCAGCGTGCTGAATCTTGTTCTGACTTCCATAGTAGTACTGATCAACCGTTTTCAGCCAACCGACATCGTCGTGCGAGTGGGGAACCAAATGAACATTGATCATGTTTTGTTTCGTGCCGGGGCATGCCTACAATCAGTGAATTGTAGTTTTGAAAACTCTCTCTTTAAAATCAATTGAGTAATAGATCACAGAACAGAAGTGCACTTAACATACTTGTGAATTTCGAACTGACTACTTCTGAATTCGTTACCTTAAACCCACAGGTAGCCTCGGATGCCGCAGTGTTCAGTAGAAAGAGCGTGATAAAAACCGGTACGCTACTGAAATATTCCATTTCGGTAGCTTTGCTGAGCTCCACGGAGGGGTCTTATCGGTACTGTTGAGTGAAATAAAATGAAACGAGAAACGAGGCAACTCCTTAGACCCCAGCAATGTGCCACTTGAAGCGATAAACCTTGTACTGCGATCGCTACAGCTTGAGTGGGATTATCAAATTAAAATCCATTTAGGAGCTCGAGCGATAACAATTTACAGCGTTGTACACCCTAGATAGAGAGAAAGTACACATTATTGCATTGCGTTCATCAGTCTTTTTACTTGTATACAAATAAACCTTCATTTGATTTCGCTAAACTGTAATCATATATTGGAATGAACCTTAGGTTTGGGGCTTATCAACTTTCAAAGTCAGCACACATATTCGAATTTGTTTATGTTTGGCCACTAGTCAACGACTTCTGTATTTTGCATTAAAGTTCTTATCTGTGTTGCAATCATTTCAAGTAATTAATTATTCAGATTACGAGAGGAAATCGAATGGCTTTATGAATTTGTACTTAAATAAGTGGCATATAAGAGTCCCTCTTGTAAACAAGAAACTTTTCATTGATTTTATTACCAGTCTTGAAGGCTACAGTTGTTTTATTCAGCCTGAAAATCGCTATAGAGATGATGCAAATGCGGTTTCTTCAAAAAATGTTTTTATAATCTTTACTGAGCCAAAAGTTTATGAAATGTAAGAAATTTAAATGTCTTGTAAGTCTAGGAGGTTTGTTTATATGCAGAATGTTTACAAAAATGTGCTAAGATAAATAACTTCTATTCCTAGAATTTTTTGTATAACTAATGCGTGGAAGTCACCACCAATGGAACCCACTGTGCTTTTTTTTAAATTATTTCAGTTACGTTTTGTAGATAAAGTATCACAACATTTAATTCTGACTAGTGGGTTCCTCCCTTTTCTGAGGCGTACTAATAATTATGTATTTTTTTTATCTTATTTGTATTACTTCTATTTTTGAGTTAACTTATTTGGTTAAAGGCTTCATAAAATGCATGCATCTAGTGTCGATTTTTTTTACATATATATAATATATATAATTTAAAATATGATAACTTAGCCAATGCTCGAAAATCAATTTTCGGAGGTACACAAAAAAAAAATATATAAATATAAAATAATAAATAATAAATAAATCTACAAAATTTAAAGCACTATGGTGTTTTGTTCTTTGAAAGGAACTTTCTTTGGTGGTAGTGTAATCAGGTAACTTTATCTTCCTGTTCAAAAGTATTCTTTCATTCAGACTTTTATGATTTCCTTTTATTTCGGCATGTATTAATACCATATTTGTTATGGTTTTCTGGAGTTTGTCTAGATTAGAGTTTGACAGTTAAGAGAAAACTAATGGTATTAGATTATTTACGCATGTTTCTAGGTCTTTCTTTATAGCTCCTTGAAAGCGCAAAAGTTCAAATTAAAAAAGGGTGTAAATTGAAAAATTTGATCTTTTGATCTCATATTTTAGCTTTAAGTAGATTTTATTCTGTTTTTTACAAAATATCTCTGTTAAATCACCCTTTCTGGCTTGATGCGATGTGCGATTACCGGGTGGTTATAGTTCAAAACCGTCGATCTTGCCGTTATTACCTCCTGTCTCTGAAGTGTACCACTCAGACCCTTAAGTCTCCGATGGTAACATAGTTAACTCCAATGCTATCATAAATGCACTGGTGGGCCGAACGTTTTTCAGAAACCAATTAAACACTTCACTAATTTGTAGTGTGAAAGCGATTAGCTCGATCAAGCTAAAGTCACTTAAACAATCTTCGAAGGAATACTTTAAAACGCGCATGTACGAAATTTATAAAGCCCTATCAGTATGTTTCGATACCCATACCCAATCTCCCAAGTACAAACATACATATGTGGGAATACTTGCTCACTTTCTCAATGTTCGTGTGTACAGGGCAATAAAGAATTGTTCTCAAGTAGGTTTCGAGCTGAGTTTGCGGTCTCTGCTTGAGCAGTTCTCCCTGAGAAGCCGATGCGATCGGTTGAGACGTCGGTGGTGCCCTTTATATATGTAAGTCGCTTAGTTCCAGAGTCTGTGTATGTATATGACACAAAACCGGCAAAGTGTTTGTTGTGAAAATAGAGTAATTGGATGCAAACTCGCTAAACGTAAATAAAGAAAACTGCAATGTCTGCAAAGACTTCTGTGTGGCTTGCCATCTTTTGCGCCCTTGGCTGTCTAATTCACGATGCCGATCTGCGGAATATTCAGCAAAAGGCCTCCCAGTGCGGCTATCAGGTAAGTCCATTTCTCCCTTCTCAGAAATAAGAATTATAATATTGCAGTTGCAACATGTTGCTAGTTATTCAGCCTACCAAATACACAAAATTCTACCAGGCTGTTTTTTTTAATGAGAGAACGAAACTGATTAGGCTTTATAATATGTACATTTAGGTATATAAATATGTATATGTATAATGCCGGCGATCTACGTTGATGTTTTTGTTTTTCTGTATTCGTAATACAAATAGAGGCCTCACCATCATATTAGTAATATTATTTTTGCATTTCTGAACATCAATCAAATGAAAGGCAAGAGATAACGATGAAGTTCAGTGTTGAATCTGACCTTTTACAATATGTTAAGCATACCTAAATGAATTAAAATCAAAATAAATAATAATTAAAATGAATTTTAATAGTGATATGACATGCTTGTTAACCAAAGTCTGGGTTACAAATAGAAATCGATTTAAAACTTTCTTAGATCTTGGTCATTCAGAAATTGCTAGAAATTGTAATTTTTAAAATATTGCCCAATGACTTTTAACATTATTTTTTTCAGTTAAAGTTAGTTATAAATTGCTAGACTAGGAATTGAATATACAGTATCCAAAACTATAATCTTCAAAAAGTCGTATATTTTTACATTCCAAATTTATTTTAGAGTTGCCATCCAACAAAGCCGAATATGCTGAATGTGCATCTTGTAGCACACACACACGATGACGTCGGATGGCTGAAAACCGTTGACCAATATTACTATGGCAGCGAGACGAGGATTCAGAAGGCTGGAGTGCAATATATAATCGATTCGGTTGTGGAGGCCCTGTTGAGAGATCCCGAGAAACGATTCATATATGTCGAATCTGCCTTTTTCTTCAAATGGTGGAAGGAGCAGACCGCCAAAGTCCAAGATGCTGTAAAAATGTTGGTCGAACAGGGCAGACTCGAGTTCATTGGCGGCGCTTGGAGCATGAATGATGAGGCGACAACGCACTACCAAAGTGTGATTGATCAGTTTTCGTGGGGCTTAAGGTAAGTACGTAGTACCTGATTGTGATTAAATACGAGTGCAATGGCATACTACCAGCAGTATGAAATTATTTGAGTAATCATGTTATTTGAAATCAGCTGAGTTTTTAAAAGTAATTCAGTATGTCCTTAGCTAGCATCTTATTACAAATTTTTCGTCGGTATTTGGCGGAAATTTAGGGAAATTCTTTAGCTCAAGAAGGGTTAACATGGTCTTTGATCAAAGCGCTAACCGAAAAAGTTAATTAAAAACATTATTTGAAATTATATCAGAAATGAACTCTTAATCTCAAAATAACCAATTCAAATATTTGCTTTTACTAATGTAATCGGCATCGTGTAACCTTTCGTACAGGAGTTTAATTTTTAAGTCACATTAAAATGGCCATACCCATTAATTGTGTGATATAATTGCAGACTTTTGAATGACACCTTTGGAGAGTGTGGACGTCCGCGGGTTGGATGGCAAATAGATCCATTCGGTCACTCCAGGGAAATGGCTTCCATGTTCGCGCAGATGGGCTTCGATGGAATGTTTTTCGGACGACTGGACTACCAAGATAAGGACGAACGTCTAATGACCAAAAATGCGGAAATGATATGGCACGGTTCGGCAAATCTTGGTAGCTAAAACCATAACCATCTTACTTAAAGATCATGCTGTAACCCATTGGAATTTTTTTAGGAGAGGAAGCGGATCTGTTTACTGGCGCCCTTTACAACAACTACCAGGCACCAGATGGATTCTGTTTCGATATTTTATGCAGCGATGCCCCCATAATTGATGGCAAACACAGCCCCGATAACAATGTTAAAGAGCGCGTAAGAATTTATACCATATGTCCCATAGTGTTTTTTTTGGTGTTATGCTTTTGGCATTGGTTGAGCGTTTGTTTTGTCTTTCTTTAATGTCCACCACCCCCCCATCAGATCGATACGTTTTTGGATTTCGCCAAGACCCAATCCCAATACTACCGCACCAACAATATCATTATCACAATGGGTGGGGATTTCACCTACCAGGCTGCCCAAGTCTATTATAAGAACCTCGACAAGTTGATACGGTAAATGAATATTGTTTTGTCCTTGCGTCTGCTAACTAAGTGTTAAAGAAAGCCCCTAAATTCAAAATTGTACTGTCCAACATGTCCCAAAAAATGTGCCGTCGTTGCCCCGAAAGACATGATAATTGAGAGTCGTAAATATGTGTGACAAACAGGTTGATGCCTTCTTGGAATATGTTACTAAAATGGCCGAACACTATCGCACTCCCAACTTGATTCTTACCATGGGCGAGGACTTTCACTACCAAAACGCCGATATGTGGTATAAGAACCTGGACAAGTTGATTAAGTAAGTAGGGGCTTTCCTTGACAGAGTTTAGCGGATCGAAAAGGAAGGGTTACCTACTACAACGTACACGGTTTCCTGTTTTTACCGACCCACAGGTATGCCAATCAGCGTCAGGCGAATGGTTCGAACATAAACCTGCTCTACTCGACACCATCGTGCTATCTGAAATCGCTGCACGATGCCGGTATAACTTGGCCCGAAAAGAGCGATGACTTCTTTCCCTATGCATCCGATCCCCATGCCTACTGGACCGGATATTTCACATCGCGGCCAACTCTGAAGCGTTACGAACGGGATGGTAACCATTTTCTGCAAGTTTGCAAGCAATTGAGTGCTCTGGCCCCCAAAAAATCGGTGGAATTTGATCCCCATCTGAACTTCATGCGCGAAACGCTCGGAATAATGCAGCACCATGATGCCATAACGGGAACGGAAAAGGAAAAGGTGGCCTTGGACTATGCCAAGCGGATGAGCGTTGCCTTCAGGGCCTGTGGTGCCACCACTCGCAATGTGTTGAATCAACTGACGGTGCAGTCCAGGGAAAATGTCAAAGATAAATCAGCCAAATATGTCTTTGACTTCAAGACCTGTCCCTTGCTGAACATCACTTCGTGTCCCGTTTCCGAGACGAATGATAGATTTGCGCTCACCCTTTACAATCCTCTGGCCCATACTGTCAGTGAATATGTGAGAATACCAGTGGCCGATCCGAATTACAAAATCATCGATAATAAGGGTATGTGGCGAGCTGAACTCAATGGAGATCGGGTAATAAATAGTTAACTATATATATTTCAGGTGTGATTTTGGATACCCAGGCTGTGCCCATTCCCAAAGTAGTAATCGACATAAAGCACAGAAATTCGACTGCCAAATACGAACTTGTTTTCCTAGCCACCAATATTCCGCCCGTAGGATATCGCACTTATTATATAGAAAAATTGGAAAGTACTGAAGGTAATGGTAAGACAACAAGAGCTTTGCCGAAGAGAACTTCAAGTGTGACAGTCATAGGAAATAGTGTAAGTTAACTTTACTTCTATTCAGACTGCATATAATAATACACCTGCCATTTTTTTTCTTCAGCACATTAAACTAGGCTTCGACACCAATGGATTCCTTTCGGAGGTAACATCCGACGGTCTAACCAGATTGGTTAGTCAAGAGTTTTTGTTCTACGAAGGCGCAGTGGGAAACAATGCTGAGTTCCTCAATCGATCATCCGGGGCTTACATCTTCCGACCAAATGAGAACAAGATTCACTTTGCCGCCGATCAAGTGGAAATCGAAGTCTACAAGGGCGACTTGGTTCAGGAAGTGCATCAGAAGTTCAACGATTGGATTAGCCAGGTGGTACGAGTTTACAACAAGGACTCTTTTGCTGAGTTCGAGTGGTTGGTTGGACCCATTCCCATTGACGATGGCATTGGCAAGGAAGTGATTACTCGCTTTAACTCTGACATCGGATCAGAGGGCATATTCCGCACCGATTCAAATGGTAATGGTCAATTGTTTTCACATATCTTATTAAGTTTTTATACTCGTTACCTGTAGTACTTGGCTTGTTTAAAAGTAGCGTTTCCGTTCCTATACATTTTATATATTCTGGATCAGGATCAATAGCCATCTGTCAGTCCGTCTGTATGTCACTCTGAGATATGGTAACTCTCAGTTTTTAGGCGTTATATGTTTATTCGGTAAATACCTATCGACACAACAAACATTTTCAAAATCAAACCAATGTTTTAGAAGTGATTATAAAAGTTTAAAACAGTTGCATATTTAAAATACGTAGTTCATATATTTGAGAGAGTGTAACCATGTTGTGTGACTCTACTGGTCGGCAGATGGCGCCACCTTAAACAGGATTGTTTCCTGGGGGTTATTCTATGTTTAATTTTGGTTATTTTTATTATTTTTCATTAAAGGTCGAGAAATGATTAAGAGAAAACTCAATCACCGTGATACGTGGAGTGTCAAGATCAACGAGGAAGTGGCCGGCAATTACTACCCCATTACGACTAAAATAGATCTGGAGGATGAAACAGCACGCATGGCTATCCTTACGGACAGAGCTCAGGGGGGCAGCTCCTTGAAGGTTGGATCCTTGGAACTGATGGTCCATCGCCGCCTGTTGCGCGACGATGCCTTCGGAGTGGGCGAGGCTCTGAACGAAACTGAATTCGGGCATGGACTGATTGCCCGGGGAAAGCACCATCTCTTCTTCGGGCGGTCCACTGACCGCGAAGGTGTTTCCCTGAAGGCACTTGAGCGACTGACCCAGCTGGAGAAACTGCTGCCCACATGGAAATTCTTTAGCAACATGGAGGCCTACAGTGCCGAGGAATGGCAGACATCCTTTACAAATACTGTAAGTGGTTAACTAAGTACTGAACTACTGATTTATTTTAATCTAATCCACCTTTATTCACAGTTCACTGGGATTTCATTGGTTTTGCCAAAACCCGTAAACCTTCTTACCTTGGAGCCTTGGCACGAGAACCAACTTCTGGTGCGATTTGAACATATAATGGAGAACGGAGAGGATCCATCGTACTCCAAGCCGGTACAATTCAATGTTAGGAACGTCCTTAGTGCTTTCGATGTGGAAGGCATCCGGGAAACGACTCTGGATGGAAATGCCTGGTTGGATGAAACTCGACGATTCCAATTTGCTCCCGATCCCGAAGAAGCCGCATTTAACACATACGGATCATTTTCGCAACCCGCTGAGTCTGTGCACCTATTGAGTCCCGTGAAACCCATGTTGGGTGTTAAATATGCCGAGGAAGCTTTGCCAGCCGGACAATTGGGTGCCCAGAGTAACCGAGTTAAGCGCGAAACGAACTCCAAACAAATTAACACTGATGAGGGACGATCATCCAAGTCGACGGATGGAGCATACAATTCCTTCAAGGCAGACAGTGATAGTCAAGACTACATTATTGAACTTAGCCCGATGGAGATCCGAACTTTCATTGTGTACTTGAAATCAGCTTAAAGTTCTTATTTACGTAAAACAACAAACAATGTGTTTAATAAAATTAAATATTCTTTAAATATTTACCCTTTCTGTCAAGAAATAGCTGTTTGACTTTCATAGCAAGTGAGCTTAAGATAGCCAAGTAATATTGATTTTGTGTCAACTTCCTTTAAATGCTTACTAAACAAGTGTTAGTACAACAAGACATGCTTTTGTTTTCGAATCCCCAACAATGTATGTAGTTGTGAAGAAAATCTTTTGTTCTCTGCAAATGCGATGGTACGCACTTGATTTATTTCAGCTGTCTTAAGTCTGCAGATTAAAATTCAGGTCAGGAATGAATTTGTGAGATGATCAACTGAAGTGTATATTTCCTTGATTTAAAATAGAACAACCCCAGATATGAATGCACATGCATATATGCTAACTTTTTAATATAAATTACAATGACCGACCAAATCCAATGAGGGTCAGAGTCACACACAGAGGGCTTTAGGTCCTTTGTGGTAATATTATGCGGATGATATTAAATATTCAGAGTGCTTGTTTTTGTATGAATGCGAGACGTACAAGCACACACCAAATTTAATTGTAGGCCTTGTTAACTTTGGGAAGTAGGGAGACATTATATTATGTATGCATTGGTGGTGCAAGGACTGCAGCTATTGCCATAGAAAAAAAAGATATTTAATTGCTGAACTCGAACACGAGGTACCCAGTAAATGTATGTTTAGTTATTTCGCGCACTCTCATATGAAACATTTTCCTTTATACCCCATTGCTAATGGGTACCAAAAGTCCAGTTAGTAATATAAGGGTGTGGACGTTTGTATGTTTACCCTCTTTAATAAAAAATTCAACTATTAGTTTTGAAGTGGAGAGAAGTAGTAGAATGAGAAAGCTTTTTTTTAATGAAAAAAGTTGGCTACTTGCAATGGGGCAAGTCGTTGGCTTTCATTTGTTCTTATTCTAGTTTTAATATGCGAATAGTTTTCTTGTCCGTGTAGGTTTAAGTGTGCGTATAGTGTAAATATTAGTATTAGTTAAGTCATGAACCTAAAGTTGAACTGGAATAAAAATCCCCAATTAAAATAAATTAGTAGTTATATTCAATTATTTTCTAGGAAACATTTGTAAAATTGCATTTATTTTCATTTTTGCGTATACGATCTCGCTTTACATTCATATAAACTAATTTCTATAAAGTTGTCTATTCCGATAATAATATAATATATTGCCTTTCACATATCGTTGATTCAGATAAGTGCATGTCTTGTATACATATAAATATACCTATTATTTTTTAATAAAAGCTTCGAATTTATTTGCACGTCTTTTCAGCTCTTGTATTAGCCTATTTGTGGTTGATTGTGAACTTTATAGGATTCTAGAATGCGTACATAATTTTACAATCGATCTAAACGCATTAACTACGCCTTTGAGTACATAAATATTATTGTTTAACGCATTAACAGAAGCGTACGCATGCTATACAATCTTAAAGGCACATTTCTTTTATGATATATATATATAAGTTTTTGCTGATTTTGGTCTGTTTGGTTTCTAATATAGTATTGTATACTTATACAGGGTCTAAGTGGTCCCAATCGTTGCGGGCCCAATTCGGTAACTCCGTTTCATACTCCCATCCAGGGCCCTAAATATGAATAAATCTAATTGTTAAAATCGTTTTTTTCTAACCAAAAAACTAGTAACAAACCTTGTACTTCCATGCGTGCAGATACATAATAAGGTCCTTTGACTTGGGATCACGGTAGTGCACTTTGCACTCATAGCAGTGCTCATCTACGGTGACCTTGTTCGCATTGCAGCCACCTCCACTCAAGGGAATCTCGATTGCATCCAGCAGAGCTGTGGAAATTTCCGTGGAAGACTTCGGTGCAGTAACTGGATACTCCTTGGTCACATTTGTGCGCTCTGCATTTTTACCACCAACTTCTGGCTGCTGGGCTTCAGTACATGGCGGTGATGTTTCCCGTGAATTCACGCCGCCATCATCGTCGCTGTGATGGACGACTGAAAGATATATATATATACAAAAATAAGAAGTCAACACAGGAAGTATATATAAGGTCATAGGTTTACCCACCGGAAGTGTGCTCACTGCTGAGACTTTCCCGATCTGCCTCGTCCTTGGTGGTCTTGAACATGGATATATCGGAATCACAATCTATGCCCAGCCAGTTCTCAGCGTTGTGTATATTTATGAGATCGCGTATAAGCTCATCGTCTGATTTTCCACCAATATCTCCAGATCGTCCCTTTAGAGGACCGAAGACTTCGTGATTGTAAAGCGGATCGTTCAGAATGGGATAACCTTTGGTGAGTAGTTACCTTCGTTTAGTATCAGATTTAAGAGACAGAGACTTCGAGTAACTCTTACCTAAGTATTGCAAGTGTACTCTTATTTGATGCATTCGACCCGTGAGTGGTTTGCAGAGTACCACACTAGTTGTGCCGTTTTGGGAAAGCTTTTGGAAGGTTGTCGTGCAATCTTTGCCCTTAGGGGATACTTTGCACACGCCAATCTTGTAGCTAACCACTTCAATGGGCTCCTTACACTCCACAGTGCCACTGGAATTTGATAGTTAATTACTAGGTGTTTTATTCGGTTATGGCTTATTAACTTACTCTGGAAAAACGCCCTCAACTCGGCAGATATATTCCTTTTCCACCTGCCTGTTGCGAATCTGCTGTTCCATTTGTCGCGCCTTCTTTGGACTACGTCCGAATAACAAAAGACCAGATGTCAAACGATCAAGTCGGTGAATTGTGCGTAGGTTCTTGAGACTAAACTCCTTTGCCAGGATGAAGACTACGGTGTTGTGCCTATAACGTCCACAGGGGTGTACCTGTAAAAATGGCATTACATAAACTCTTAGGGAACTCAAATTGTAATCTAGTAGTTTTCAAATTGACGTATACAGATGTTCGAGAAGTAAGTTTTTGACAGTGAACAGACATTAAGATACAGACTCAAGTAGAAGTATTCAACTATCTCTGTGGAAAATGTGTAACATGGCGGTCGTTTAAGCCACTTACAGGTATCGATGCTGGCTTATTTACAACTACAATGTCCTCATCCATATGCACAATTTTAATTGGTTGACAAGTCACAGGAACTTCGTGTCTGTAAAGATAGCCATGAAACTCGGGTTAGTTTGATATTTCATCTCCATCGGTTGTTTCACTAGAGATCGGGAGGAATAACTTGCTTTCAGTGAGATGGGCTTATCCTAATTGGTAATATCACATTTTATGATAACATAAAAATTAATGAAAATTGTTGATTATGTCATTTAATAGCTTTGTAGTTGGTTTTGGCTTATGATTTGTGAGTTTAGTGAACCTCTTTCTGTTTTTAGTTTTAACTTTATTATTACAAAATCAATTAAAATAACTCAAAGCTTAACTAGCGTATATTATAATGAAGATGGTTCTGTGGAGTCATGTTCGCAATTATTATATATAAATAGTCATTTGATTTTGATGGTGCTGGGACAACCCAAGGTAAAATAGCATTGGCAGTAAGGCCAAAATACATTTTGCGAGCGTTAGTTGGCTTTTATTGGATGAAAAACACATATAAAATAAACTGAATTGGAAGAAATTACACTGAACACAATTGCAACCACTCGAAGTTGATTTCGGGCAATATGTGTACTTTGTACAAGGGACAAAGCAATTTTGGTTAAATTACCTGTGAACTATATTAGCGAGCAGATCATTATGTTTCAGCCGGTAGTCAATGGGTACTTTCTCGAAGTTCACTGTCAACGTGCCTGTTTGAATACAGCGCTCGTATTCCTCGGCAGGATGTGCTCGGAACTCACGGGAGAATATGTCCAAAATCTTTTCGCCCACCCAACGGCCTTTTGTGAAAGTTGTGAATGTGAAGTAGTATGGATATACCTTGCGAAGACCTTTTGATGAAATGATTATTTACAAAATATATATATGATTGTATACAAAATGGCTCACCGTTTTCCATATAGTAGGATGTTTCTTGATACCTTTCATCTGTAAATCCGGGTCTCTTAGCCTTCAATGCTTTTGTCTCGAGTTTTGCCTTAATGCAAGAAACATTACTTTTACGATTTTCTCATATTTATTATAACCTTGCAGTGGGTACAATAAAATTGGTCAGAACTCCCTATGTTTCTATATCGTTTGTGTGCTCAGTTTTAAAGGTAGAGCTTGAAAATTTAGCAATCGCATTTTTTTACCTATACCCAGATCAAGTTTGAAAACAGTGGAGATCGGACGTCAATATATTATAGCTATGGCAGCTAAACAGCTATAAACAAACAAATCAAAATGATAAATTCTGCGGTTTTATTTTTATTAAGTTGAGTATATCTTGCTGACTTTTGACCTAATTAATGTTTTCATAACGTTAAGAACCTATCCCTAGAAAATCAGTTGACTATGTCCTATAGCTGCCATACATCTGTCCAACTGACCATATAATTTTTCTCTAAGTGAAAAAGATAGATTATTGAAACTTTAAAACATTGGAAAAATAGGGTCAAATTTGATAAATTTTATTGTTTTAAAAAGAATGTTTTAAAAAGAATGTTTTTATATAATTTCGGATCCATTCCTTGACTGCAAGGGTATGAAAACTTCGGCTTGCCGAATCTAGCTTTCGTTTTCGCTGGAAACAATAACAAAATTTATTTCACTTACTTTCTTTAGCTCTTTTATTTGATCGTTATCATCCGTCTTTCGCTTTTCTGGTATCTTAATTTTAAGATCGGAGTCCCTTGGAGAAGTAGTCTGATAAATACATAAATAAAACGATATTTGCTTTTATAAAGTGAGAGAAAAACTCAATAGGTATGATGCCCACATAAAAGTGAAAGAGACTTGGCCTTAGCTTCTTAATCTGATCAACCGCAGTTTTACCCCAAATCTATTTTCACCTTCTCCTCCTTTTTTCAGGTAACAATTTGTTTGTTCTTCCCCCATTTATCGTTGGCAGACCCATTTCATTTGGTTCAAAGTGTGATGCTCTTGGTGGAAAAGTCAGCTAGACTAATGTTACACTATGTTTTATATTACGTAAGTTCATACAGATACCTAAATATTGTTCTAAGAACACACATATATCTATAAACAGTTGGGGATATGTACTTGGCTTCGACGCTTATATGTCTGGTGCCTTCACAGAGCTACTATTGGCTGACGGTTGTCTTTTATGCGCGGTACTCGAAGGTAAGAGAGTATATTGTTTTATACTAAATGGATGTAACAGCAACTAGGAAATATAATTCGTTCTGACTTTTTGCTGAATGACCTGTCTTTTATATGAATGTTTTACCTAGTTACCTCTTAAATATTTATAAGCAGAAAGGACAGATTTCATATCTGAAATGTTCTATTGACTTTTATACAATCTTTACATTTTTTAGATCAACTTCTTTACGCCTTTGCGGAAAGATGGACCAAAGCAATTAAGTTAAACACCCCAGTAATTTATTTTGGAAGCAGCTTTTGGCCTTTCAAAAAAACCAATTTAAATTAAAAGCCCCCGAAAAGGGGGCAGCAGTCTCAAGTACCCGGTATCCGCTAGTCGGATTACTCCATTATGGTGTTTTCCTATTCATTGCTTTCCTTGGCAGAACGCCCAACGGTCCAATGATGGAAACATGTTGCATGCCCAAAAAGTCGCGCGGGAGAGCTACGGACCACGGGAGATACCACGAGATGAGATGCCGTCCGGCACATCTTCGATTCTCGGCGAAATCCCCCCAAGTTACAATGGGTCTAAAACGCGTGGATACACATATGCATGACCGTGTACATATTTGTGAACGAGTCTCAACCTAGAACAATGCACAGAAGATACACTCGAAATATGTAAATACGTTTTAAATTTAGATCATTATGAACAGCCGAATATATGCTAGCGCTGCTGTACTAACCCAAAATACACCTCAAACCATCTCGAATACTAACTGCAAGTATTTTTGGCTATGTTTATGAAACCTAATATACTATGGTTGCTTTTAAAACATCCAATTTTCGGAATCATAACATGTCAAATTGTTTTGGTTTAGCTTGTTTCAAATGCATCAAACATATATTGTATAAAAATTATTTTGAAATTTAATTAACAATTAAAAGTTAAAAATCGTGTTTACAAATTTTAAATGAAAGTTAGGAAAGGAAATGAAAAGAATTATATCTTTAGCTTGTAAACTATTGAAACAGAATTTAAGCTAATTTCTTGTACGTCATTTTACTGCAGATAATCGGTTAAATTCCGGTTGAAATAAAGTATATAACAAACGATTTAGATCCGACAGAAACAGTCTTTGTGTTCATCTCGCGCCATGTAATTGCCACTTTGGATTTCACGGATGGAGAAGATCAACTTAAGATGAGACTAGCAGATAATTGAGTATTTTTGTTTAATTTAGCAGTAAACACCTGCTAGCAACGAGTTTGAGCTTATGCAAGGCAACTAAAGTGATATATAAACACGTCAGCAGTAAATATTTGTTAAGACTACATTAGTGCATGTCCTCCACTGAAAATAAATCAGTTTTGATTGACGTAAAATTAAAAAAAAATATATCAACTAATGAAAACTAAAGCCCATTTGGTTTATTGTCTTTCCTCGCATCCCTCTTTTTTGTTTTCAAGTTGAGAAAGAATTCCGACTATGGTCTCCCGAAATTGTGGTCCCAAAATTAGTTCCGTCAGATTTGATCGGCCAAGAAATGCGTTTGTGTTGCCCAATTACCGGTGATGATTTCCATTGAACACAAATGAATGAAGACCTCCTACACACTTTTTATGTCTACTCATCCATGAGAGCTGAGTATAAACGAAGATGATCAATTAATTGAATCATTCAACAGCGGAGACCTGTTGCCAGCGATCTTGGCATACGGCGGCCCCCCATTCCCGTTCCCAACCCACATGGCAGTCTCATATCGTTAATGTATTATAAGTTCTATATACATATCTAGGTGGGCATCTGCATATACTCATGAGCATATATCTATATGTGCATAATGCATATCAAATATTCCTCGATCGCGATGAGCTCGGAGTATATTGGTTTTTTCGAAACGATCACAAAATCGCTTCTCTAGATCTATTTCATCTTTTTAAAAAATATGCTCGAAAATGTTTGCCAAAACCCTGATTTCAGTTCATAGTGGCTGCATTTTCAAGGTGACTCCGAGGTATTTCTTTGTCGGGAAGATCTATGCGATATGTTCTTTTTCTTTTTTTGTTATAGTTGTGAAGCGAATGCCGGCTGATGCCGGCTGCGTGGTAGTGGAAAATGGTGTCTCATTCTAGCACCCGGGAATATATTTATGAGTCCGAGTCCGCCCACCCGAAGGCTGTTCCATGGAGAAGCAACCAGGGGGCGAAGTACAAATCGCGGTCGGCACGCTTTTATCGCCAGCACACCAATATGTTGTCAGCCGGACGACTGGAAGACTCACGTGACCACTGCCCACGGCTCTATTAATTATCAATTTTCAAGAGCACTAGCACTAGCACTCATTATATAGAGTGTTAGTTTCGCCTATGCTTGTTTTTACCGGTAGTGAAATGTGGGAGTCCTTATTTATAATCGATTATAACCACGTCGTTCACAAAAATAATGGTCTAAATCTTTGGATGACAAATGGAAAACTATTTATTTTGACTATTTAATTGACACTTAAAATGATTTAAGTATTCTGAAAATTGGACTTGCAATTGGAATCTACAAAAATTTATGCTGTTTAAGATTTGTGCTTACAATATTTTATTAAATAATAACCATAAAATTATATTCTTATTTTAAGCAACAGTGAAAAGTGGGAATCCTTATTCGATAATCGATAAAAATGGATTAGGTCTTTAGAAGAAAAATGTATGCTATTTATTATTGCTGAATAAAATCTTGGACAATGAGGAGCAAATAACACAGAAAATGTTGTAGCTTCTGAATATTGGAATTGCAATTAGAATCTAAAAAAAAAATTATGTTTGAGTTTTAGCTTGCAATATTTTATTAACGAAATAAATATTAATTTTGAAAGACGGTTTTATTTATTACCAATTTTCAAGAGCACCCATTAGATCCTCAAAAGAAAAACGGAAAATTATTTATTTTTGTGTAATAAAAGCTTATTTAAAGACACAATAAAAATTATACACAATAAAAATTGTTTAATTTTAATTGTTAAGTTTAAGTTAATATTTAAAAACCAAATGTATTATAATTCTGGAACACTACACGTGACCACAGCCCATGGTTTTAATAATTATCAATTTTCAACAGCTCTCATTATAGATTTTTAGTTTCGCCTTTTGTTATTTATACCGACACTGAACGGTGGGAAATCTTATTTATAATCAATTTCCAACGGTGATCATAAGGGAGATTACGTCCTTGTCTTCTTGATATATGTAGTTTATTCATTTTGCTGGTGTTTTTGTAAACAAAAATTTGTTCAGACTCATACCACGTCATTCACATAAATAATGGACTTAGGATAACCAAATTTTCTGTATAAATGAAAAACTATTTTTTTATGTTAAATAACAACTTGGACAAAGAATAGTTTCTGAATATTAGATTTGCAAACACATATATAAAGGAGTTGACTTAGTTCTTCAAAAGTAAATTTAAAAATGACGATTAGACATTGACACTGACAGTTGATAAAATTTACACAACTGTATAAATGCAATTGGAATTGGCCTACAGTTAAGAAAAATAAAGTATTTCATATATTTTAAATTCCACCATTTTAATAGTTTAATTAATATTTCATTTAAATCAATAGCTGTTTCTACATATTCTTGATTCTTAAAGTTTACTGAACAAATTGGCAACCAAGAATACATGTGATTGCACTGTACTTTCTGAACTCATTTCAGATTAAAAGAATTGTGGCGAAGTATTTGTGCGTGCAATTAAAATATCTAAATGATTTATATCGGCTGCAACTGTGTAGACCTAAGCCAGTTTTGACGTAGAAAACTAGATTGCAGTAAGTAGGTGCATTCCAAATACGGCAAGTGGTTGATAAACGCACTCAGCACTGGACAAGTGGAAGATTTTAGACGAGCAGGTTGCAGGAATGGTCCAGTGACATTCTATTCAAGTTGTCCACTAACGGCTTTTCTTGCCTACTTAGCCATAAATGATAGGATTTTCCAGTTCTTGACGATTGTGAAAAGTACTTTTTACAAAACGAAGATCATACTTGGAAATTCTATACACCTTGCATCCGCTTCAGTGGCTAAGACAGTAAATTTCGAGTGGGGATTTAGTTATTTGCCATTTTCGTAATGGCAAAATGTATACATTTTTTAAAAGAATTTAAAATATTGTTTTTCAAACATTTGTTATGGATTGAAAAATTTGAAATTGTTAAATGTTTTGCATGAGTTACTATAGGTAGAACTCAGGTGGATGAGTCTAATTGTAGGTGCACACTTTGTTTACACCATAAGTGTAAACAAATTGATGTGGTAGTTTTCAACAAATGGTTTGTGGTAATGTTAACCCCTTGAACCCCCAGGAACTCGCACGTTTGCCTTACCCATCAACATCTGTTGATATTGGATGCAACTACTTGATTTTCATGGTCATACGCTTGCAAGTGTAAAGTTATAGACATTGCGATGTGTAAATTACCTATGTATGTGCATTAAACAATGGAAAACATCTCGGAGCTGCTACTAGCAAGTTTGGAGTAAGGCTACAACTATAAGCGAAACCTTGACCAACTCAGTCGGCTGCCCGCTCACCATTTGGCTTATGAAATCATCGGGTTTCAAAAGATAGCCACAGAGGTAGTGCAAACAGCGGCTAAGTAGTATATAATAAAGCGGCTTTAGCGATGCGGAAAATCTGAAAGCCAAAGCTTCAGACTGACGTCGAAAATGTAAGTAGCCTTAAAAACAAACAAACACCGATTAAGAAGATTTCATTGTAAAATAATGCAGACCGTTGAAAAGCATGTTGAGCAAATGCTCGACAAGAAACTTTCGAATGTGTAATGACTTGTTATTAATTTTGACATCGCCGTCGCTATAAATTGAGCAACACCTTGTTATGGTGTAACTTTAACAGTTGAAGACCAATTAATGGTGCTTTGGTTTTTATTTGTTCACTTGCGAGATTACCTTTTTTATAACGTATTACAGAAATAAAATCGAACACACTTTGAGTATTAATTGCAAAATGGTGCAACTGTGTTGTCAAATTTACATTATCAAACATACTCATATTTTAGAGATTAAGGAAAAATATATAGAAAATTATTTTAAATTCGCTTTGCTATTTTTTAAATTTAAATTCTTATGACTGAATCACTAAGATTCTAGTCTCTGGCAACTCTCAATTTATGCTATTAAATCGCAATACCGATATAAACAAATCTTTGGATAAGTCAATAATACCTAAGCCTAACAATGATTCTGTGACCAGTTCACTGGCACATTTTGATCAGTGGTAATTGACTTTGTTTTGTAATTATATAAATGCAATTTTGTTGACTTAATAGTTGAAACAGCTACTTTTCTACAATCGGTAATTAAATTTTTTTTAAATAAACAACACGAGAAAAAAATATTGAAGACGGACTCAAATATTAAAGTTTAGCCCTTATAAATCTTTCAAATCGTTTTAAACTGTTAATAATATGAAAGAAGTAAATACATGTCTGTCTTAACTAAATAAATAATAGTATAAAATATAAAATAAAAGTTTCTCCAATATAAGTGTTAAAGATCGCTCGAATCTGTTAAAATTTTAATAAATACTATTGTTTAAAAGAAGTGAGAAGGAAATACCTCTCTGTTCTTTGCTGGTTTTAATCGAAGATTTTGCAAAATCACGTTGATCATGTTATTGTATGTAAACTTTTTAAGTAAGGGGAAATCCTAAAAATAATGGTATGACTAAATCATCTTCTAAAGGCACTGATATTTACTTGAGGGAATTTATTCAATTCTTGATTTATAGACCCATATTACTCCCTCAGTGTACTTATAGAAGTCACTAAGTGCTAGCCTTCGTTGAAGTACCTAACATTACGAGTAGTAAGCAAACTGTAAACTGTAAACTGCAGCTCACCTTTTTATTGATCGGCACCTCGGCACTTGGCAAGACCTGGATGGCTGAGAGCTGGGGCGCCTGGTTCCGCAGACCGACCACTCCGCCCAGGCTGAGATTGATGGACGACAGGTGATTCAGTTCCTGGTGCGGCAGGCAGTTGAGGCTGAGTGGAGGCTGGACCATGGAGGGCGCTGTCCGCGGGGCCATCTGCACCGGCACCTGGACGGGCACCTGGGCGGCCGGTGGTGGCTGCTGGCCCAGGTGGCTGTGGCTATGCCCGGCCGCTCCGCCGGTGGCCGCCAGCAGGGATTGCTGGTGGGGATGGGCGGTCGATGTGAGGGGCACTCCTCCGAAGGCCGAGTGGCCTCCGCCGGCGGCAGGTGCGTAGTAGGCGCCCAGCGGCAGCGAGGAGAACATGGCGGAGTGCATCAGGGCGTTCTGGTTCATCTGGCCGGCGTTGAGGAGCTGCGGTGCCAAGTGGTTGTACGGCGATCCCATGTGAAAGTGGGCGGCCCCCGGGGCGGCACTCGGATGCAGGGCGGGCTGCTGGTAGTTTGCCGGAGGAGCTGCCGCCGTGTTGGGCGACAGCTGCTGCTGCATCTGCGGCTGGGCCGCGAAAATGCCGCCCACCGAGGTGGTCCCCACACCCATCTTGTCCAGGAACGGCGACTGCATCTGCAGCATCTTCTGCTGGTGCTGCTGGGCGGCCAGGGACCAGGGCAAGTACCAGGCACACGGGGCCGGGGAATTCTGCATTGCTTTGACTTTGGCGCTCCTTTAGTGTATCACTTTCCAAGAGTAGACTGCAGATTGGATTGGGTTTTTTTTGAAAATTACATTAATTACGCTTGCTTAACACACAGATCCATTTCCGAGTTATACGATCGTTTGTTTAGTTTCATTGCGCAGTAAAATTGCCGAGTTCATACCATGCCATTAAGGCTTTTAAAGTCAATTACAAATCTATGTGTACGTGTTTACAAATTGTCTTGGCTAGATGTAGATATAGCGGCTGCCTCGACTGTTTTATTTGAAAATATAAACCGATTTTAAGGTTGTACCATGCGAATTTCAAATCTAAACAAAACGATTATTTATTTTTTTTAGTGTTTATGAACACCTAGCTACCTTTATGTGCAAACGTGTGTACAATCGTTGGATATTAGCTTCGGTCCATGCGTTAATTTGTGGTTTCTATTAGCAGATTGCCGTTAACAAATTCCCCATAGCCCACAAAAAAGTCGGAACAATATGTTGATTAGCTTTGCACTGCATTAACTTTGTCTACAAGGCGATCATGTGCGCTCTAATGTCTTTAGATATAATACTTTTATTGGCTCAAAGGGCTAAATGGTGCAGGTGCCAACTAAGAGTTCTTGATTTTCATTCCAAATGGAAGCCAAACGAATATTGGAACTTTGAAAATACATTTAGAATACATGTTGGGGCCATCTGCTCTTTTCGACTCTAATTGCACGAGACAAAGTAATGTGGGTCTAATGTATCCTCTAAAATGTATAAGTATAAACCTATATTCAGACGTCTACATGCGTCCGTCAGATATTTGCCAAGAAAAACACGTATGAGTGCCTATATTTCGGGGTAGATGAATGTGTAACGCAATAATACGTATACGACACAACGCACTAAGATATCGGCTCACGGTATAATGTTTAGAAAGCATCAAAATCAGGCATATACTATATGTATACAGACGAGGTAAATCCGCCTTACCACCTACTGAGACAAATGGCACTAATGCGCACGTGTAAACATTTTTATTACCGCTAGAAGCTTGTGCTAAATTAAGTTTTGTGTATTACTAGGTCTGCTCGGATTCGACAAGAAACCAGAAAATTGTTCAAAATTTTCAGTTCTTAAGTTCCTTAAGACACAAGAATGTATGTACATAAGCACACAGATATAGCCACACTCAATTTTGTCATCACTCTTCTTTTGTCTTAGTTCCATTTTATCAACCACAATTGTGTATCTTGCGAGTGGTTTTAGTACTCTTCTCAAACAAAATTCTTGCATAACTATATTATGTAGACAATGGGAGGAAAGAATTTTTTAAATAAAATGAACATATATACACGCGTCTGAACGTTCATGTGTAAAGACCCCAGATCTCAAAATCATCAGGATGACAATAGATCATGGGCTTTAAAGCAAGAACAAAATTTAGTGGGAGCTACCTTCTATATTTATAAGAAAATATACTCTATGTGCCAGAGTGTGCGCCAGCATAAGGTGACGGATCAAAGTAAATACAATTTCGAATTTTTAGTAATTTTTTTGAAACGCCTCAAAGAATTTCATGGACCAAAACACAATATTATTAATGGACCATTTTGTGCGCCGATGGATAATATTATTAGGTCTGGTTCTGCTATTCCTGCGAGCAAGCGTATAATGCGTTGTCTATGTGGCGATCAATGTTTTTTTAAAAGCGTATGCCTTATTTTTCTAAATCTTTACAAGCTGCCTGAAACATTTCTTTCGAAATTCTATAATGCCAGCCGCTGAAGTGCCAATAAAATGGTTTTTGATAAAAAGCCGCATTATACAATGTCTATTATATTGAATGGCGCGGTTATGTTAAATTATCGTTTCAAATATGTAAATGTTTTGTCATTTGCCCATCGTAGACTATAAAAATGTCTGCGCCTTTTGATCATTTGAAACACATTGATTTAATGTTGTTCAAGTCAAATTCAAAATAAAAAAAATTATTTATTCAATTTTTGTATTTTTAGTTTAAAAGCATTACACGTTTATTAGGTTTCGTAAAATATAAAACCGTCACTTCCGCATTGATTGCATTTGTCATTGTTTTTATTTTTTCTACTAATGCTCTCAAAGTTAACAATAGTAATTTAAATGTTGTTGTAATTTGATGCACAAAGTAAAGTCGTTCAACAAGGGGAATCACACGCGAATGTTTTTTCAAATGGTGCACGTTTCAATACCTTTCCGACGATGGCATTCACGCGGCAGCATCTGCACTAGCCAAATCCAAAAAACCGAATGAAAACTTGGCGCAAACGAAAACAAACTTAGGTTGCCGTTCGCAGCCGTGGTGAATTTCCCTGCACAGTGGGCAAACGGATCCAGATTATGTGAAAAATTTGGTGGGCCTTGAAATTTTATTACAACTTGTAAATATGCGGGAAAAATTGAAAATAATTTTACAACTTTTCGCAGGTTAGACGAATTTCAAAATAATTAAAATAAGGATACTAATTATGGAAGATTTTGGACCCTACAGAAGTTATGCCAAAATTTATTCTACTTAGCTATAAATATGCTTTTCTTGAACAGCTAGAAATCTGGAAAATTATTTTAAAGTTTACTTTTGGCTTGGGCTTTCAACTTTGTTGCGAATTCTTAATTTCTTATAGAAGTCCAAACATTTTTTATTATATATTAATATATTTATTTACTTATATTGTACTTTTAATTCAGATTCCAGACGGAAGAAGTGGTTAGTATTTTGTCCAATAAATATATTTTATTTACCATTGTGAAGTGGTGGAATTGGTGACGGTTTCTAATTTATGAAATTAGCTTGACGCAAAGGATTTGATGTTGTAAGTCGAAAAAAGTTGTATGCGTTTACTATAAAAAAATAAGTTGGTTTATTGGTATTTAAAGTGAACACCTGTTGTGAAAAAAATAATCATAAAAACGAAAAATTATTTTCTTTAGAAAAAATTAGGCTGGCAGCAAAAAATATAAATTTTATCGAGCTGTGTTGAGTAATAAGAGATCGGAAATTTATACTTGGTTTATTTTCATGAGCTGACCAATTAAAAGCTTTATTATTATTTCTTACTCAAATCAGTCGCCGTAACTTACTTATTGCTTGTATTATTATTTGTATTATTTTAGCTTTACTTTCTAACCTTTGAAAAATTAAAATTCACCATTTGGATACAACATGATCGTATCGAACCAAGACGTCAAATGTTCATTTGCTTGTTACCTGTTTGAACTTTAGTTGCAACTGCAACATGCATGCTTGCAACATATTTGAAAAGTACTTTATTGGCATTTCAATAGGATATAAGACATTTATTTTAATAACTTAAAAAATAGTAATCTAATGTTTTTCTGACAAACTCTTTTGAAGTTAATAGGATTGGATAGGATTTCGTTGAAAATAGCTAATTCATAAATGGATAATTGAATTTCGCGGGATTGCTTTGTTGGCGCTAGAATTGTTATATCAATTTACTGATGTGCATGCAAAACCACAGGGACCATTTGACACACTTTCCCCTCACAAATTGTATATATCCACTCCCACACCCATATTTACTCATATCAAATCGTCTATGTCCCTGGACTAAGCATATGCTTCAAGCAATTTTATATTTTAAATCAAGGTTTTGACTCTTGCTACCACAACCCTATAATATCCGTTGTGCTAAATAAACGCACAAAAGCGTTCAAAATAAGATATGTACACGTCCACTTGCAGGTTTGCAAAACAATGAGTTTGCCTTTTCTGATTGACACATTTAAAAAGAATAAAATGTCATTACCGCTGGTGCAATCTTTCAATGTGAGAGAAAAAAGACATCAAGTGAAATTAATAACGAGCTTTTATACTCGGTAGATGGTATTACAGGAATTATTTATTATTATTGTTAACCAGGCAAATATATCAGTGACAAATTACCTTGTCAAAAGTTAAAAAAAAAAAACACATTACAGTGATAATGTGATTGCTAAAAATGGTCAACACTAAAAAAGTTTGAAAAAAATATATTGAGAAATTTATAAAAACCTCTCCCTGCAGTTTAGATTTAAAAGTTTTTTTAATTTTAAAATAATTATAATAGGAAAAGGGTGTTTTTTTAAATTCAAAAGTGTGTGCCAAGTGTGAAACTAATTGGGTTAGAAGTTTACAAATAAAAGATCTAAAATTCTTAACTTTACCCATTTATTCTCCGATCGATTTGAAATTTAGAAAACATATTCTTCAACTGTTATTTATTTACTAAAATAATAGGGTTTTGAATATGAATATATATCCAAGAAAATGTTTCCTATATAAAAAGTAGGCAACAACTTTAACATAAAAACATTGAAAATTAAATTTTTATTAACTAAAATATTAAGTAAAGATAATATTTCTAGCAAATACAAAGTTTTTCTAATAGTCAATGACAATGACATTAATTTTTCGAATTTAACCAATTAGCCGAGGCCGCAGCTTTTCATTTTTACTGCCAAAACTGAAAGCATTATGTTGATAAAATTTGGGCTGAGGCCTCTGGAATTGCGTGTTTGACTGCGTGACTTTTTTTTCGTAGCTCACCCACTTTCTCACGAGCTATAGCCATAGGCTATAGCCATCCAGACGACATAGGTACAGGTATAGGAATAGGTTTAGGTATTGTATGGCATAGTATGGAGGTCTCCTTGAAACGCGGTTGGTCACGAAAGCGAACAACAAAGAAAAGGCTTGCCCGTCATTTAAGGCAACATTTAATGGCCACTGGCTATAAGGCTATAAGGCTATAAGGCTCATCCTGAATAAACAGGGGATGGTGTGGTGGGTGCGTGTGTATGGGAGCTGAAGTTGACGTTCGTTTGTGAAAACGAAGAAAGTGATTAAATCAGCACGATATTTTGTAGGTGTGCGCGAGCTTACCCATTTAATTTCTCCCCAGCACTGGTGTGTGTGCGAGTGTGTGTGTGTGTGCCAGGACATGTAGGTGTGCACACCCACATTGGGCTACTGTTCTAAATTGACTTTTCGCCTGGACAAAACTAAAAATGACGACATCGCGTTTTTTTGTTTCGTAGAAAAGCTTTGCCTCTAAACATGCCCATCAAAACCGCGTGTTTATAAACAACACAGATCTAATGCATATATATATATATATATATATATACAAGGAATACAAGGTATACAGAAAGGTGTGTTGTGCCTCATATTACGTTCCCACATGCATGTTCGCACATATGTATGCAGTTGCCAAATATACGAACACGTTAATGTAATTAAGCCTTAAGGCCGGCAAAGGCTGGATTAAAAGTAACGCTGGTCATATATTATTCGCGATATGGCTAAGCAGTTACGAATCAACTTCTTTATGACTGTAACTTATCGAGATTTTTTCAATTAGTCTTTTTTTTTGGGTTTCCAACTATTTTCTACGTTCCTAAATTTAATTTACCTTACAAACTAGCTAGTGAATCAAATTTATGGAAAAAGTTGTAAGTTCCATAAAACTTTTTAAGGGGTTAGGGAGCTAAAAAAATGTTTATTGAAAAAAAAGCAATGAATACCATTTAGGTTAGCAGGAAATATATATTTTAATTCTAACTTTTTTTCACCTTTTTCATTGAAGAGTAAATTGATTTGAATTTCCTTTTTATACAAATTAGAGACAACATTAGGGTGATAACAAGGACCACACCTAGACCGAGGATGTCCAGGAGGTAAAACTGATACCAGGGAAGCTCAACGCCAGCAGCCACCAAATGCGGAGCCCCACGGTGCTCGATCACATAGTTTATCCAGTACATCGCCGTATCCATTGCGTTGAGGGGTCGATCACGGAATAGCCTTGAAACCTCCTTCGTTTTATTTCGATACTTGGGATTCTCGATCAGCTCAAGCAGTGATTCTCTCAGCTCAACTGCAGTAAGTGTTTGGTAATCCAAACCTAATGCATATCCCGCCTTCTTGCCCTGATTGATGTTTAAATGCTGATCGCAGTACACTGGCAACCCCAAAATGGGTACTGCATTGTACACTGCCTCCTGGGTGCCAAAAAGTCCTCCATGAGCGATGAAGACTTTCACATTCGGATGCGAAAGAATGTCCTGTTGAGGTAACCATTTTTGCACCATGACATTGCTCGGCATATTTGGTAGAGTTTCGTCCTCGAACTTCCAAAGGATGCGCTGCTTAAGGCTGCCAAAGACGTCCAGGAATATCTTTAGCTTTTGGTGTGGCATATCTGCACTGCGCACTTGGGAACCTAGAAATGGATAGTGTGTCTTCTTCCTCACAAGTTAGACTAGATCATTTAACGAAACTCACCCAGACTGAAGTAAATAACTCCATGCTCAGACTCATCCAGAAATTTTTGCAGGTGCTCGGGTAGTGCCTTTGGTGGCTCAATGTGCAGTCCTCCCACGAGAATCATGTTGTAGGAAACTGGTCTAGCCGATGCCAACGGCATGTAGGTGTTTAATAGAATGACCGAGATATTACGCTCAAGTTCTTTGATGGTAGGAACTCTGTCGAGTAACTTGGCGAAGTGCTTCTTCAGGATGGCATTCTGTTTTGGGTAATAGGAGAACTCCCTGTAGAGATCTTCGAAGCCACTGATGGCCACATTTCCAATGCGATCCCATAGCGACATGCGATCTGTATAGGGCATGAAACCATGTGGAACATAGGACCACGGAGAGACTATGCCAGCCAGCTGGCTGTAGTAGTTGGTAAATCCAAAGGTCGACACGGTTACGATCGGAATCTGGAACAGGTGTCCCAGAATGAGGGCACCTTCGTTGTAAAATTGACCGGCCAGGAGAAGATCGTACTGCTCAACCTTTTCATTAGCATTGAATAGGTCATGAACTTCAGGCTGCTCAAACACAAAGTCCGTGTTACTTATTCCCATTACATGGAGCATCTGGAGGTAAGTATAGCTCGACACTTTCGTCATCTCTATAACGCTGTTGGTATTGGCTAGCTTCTTAACTAAGGTAAGGGATTAAGGTAAAAAACACAGTAATAAGATTAATAATTTTATAGCTTCGCCCACTCTCCGGCCAAAAATCATATTGTGGAATCACTATTTCCTTGTAGTTCGATCCCAGATTTTCCTTTGATAAGGAGTACGGAGTGATGAAGGTGACTTCGTGTCCTTGCCTCACCAGTTTCCGGATGATAGGGTTGATCATCATAAAGTGGCTCCTCGTAGGAAAGAAGTAGGCTGCCAAGATGCGGGAGCCAGCTCCCAGATCTACAAGCTGAAGTGCCAAAAGACCTAGGAGTGAGATGTGTCGAAAACTTTGCCATTGCTGCGTAAAAATAAGCAAAATGCGTTATAAATGACGTTTGAGAAATATATTTCTGGCTACGCATTGATATCTAGATGGCGCCGCATCATTTTTTTTTTACTGCGCCAATAGTGTTAGGGGTGGCGCCATATGTTGGATGTATATTTTTTTAACTAACAAAGATTACTATTACTATTTTAATAAGAGTTTTTTACACTTTATTTGACTTTGCCCATATCTGTTTTACTGAGATTGGTGTTAATATAATTATAGTCACCTAACCATTATGATTCCGCCTGTTCTTGAACAGAAACTACCAAAAACCGACTTGGTCGACGACTTTTAAGCGACTGCGTGGGGGGTCTGATAAGTGGACCGATTTCGCTTTTATAGTAAGTATATAGAACCAATCATAAACGCAACCTTCCTTATCAAAAGTGATTAAAAAAATATTAAACTCCAAGCGACTTATGCTGTTTACTGAACTTCTTAATCAGGCAGGGCCAAAGATTGTATAGATTACATATCTCATACACCCCGAAAAATTAGGGTCTGTTTAGGCATTCAACTCAACTACATTCACAGAGAGGAAAAAATTGGTGTTTACTATTATTTTCCTAAATAAGTTTGTTTCTAAAAATATAATTGTAAAGATAATTGGTATTTAAATTATTATTTTAAATATTGAACGGTGTCATTTTTACATAGCATTTTTTTTAACAGAGATTTAGAGGGTTTTTAATTTTATAAAGGTTAACTGTTAAAATCATATAAATAGATTTCAAAAATAATGAAATGTTTTTACATCTAAGTTTACATTTTTATTATATATTATTATTACTGTCATGCGGAGCTCAGTTTGTAAAATGTCAAAGTATAAGGTCAATCCATATATATTTAATATTTAATTTTATATAAAATATTAATATATATAAAAGCTTAATTATAGGCTTCAAAAATAAAGAAATAGTCCCTGTTATTTTGATTCTCTCATGCGGAAGTCAATTTGTAGAAGTTTGATGTATAAGTTCAGTGCGAGTACCCCTATTGTGACTCCAAAACTCAGTTCCATGTTCACGAGTCACTGGTTCGTGTTTATCGATAGGCAATGTTTTGGTCTTGTTTGTTATGTGGCATAAAAACATACTTTTCATGCGGATTTTAAGACAATTCAAAAGCATTCTACGATTGGCAAGTGTTGCACTATATAAGTTAATGGATAGTTAAATTGTGCAAGTAAAAGAGCGACTTAGAGTGTTGTGTTAGTTGTGATTGGTGTTACAGTGGGCGCACGTGTTGATTAACTTGTTGTTGTTACACTTTTAGCGGTGCATGGACATACTAAATCGGCAGCGAATCAACCACTGTAAACAATTCTCGTGGCTGTCGAAAATGCAAAGCCCCAAATGCGTGCGAAACGCGCAGACCCAACATGGAGATGTCTCATCGGTGGACGTGGAGAATATATTTTTGCACCGGTCCATGCTGTCCACACATCCGATACTAGGAGCCAATCAAGATCAGTCTCCCCAATGTGTTTGGTTTCCAGATGACACAGCCACTGATCAAACAGAAAGCACAGATTCTCCCGTAAGTAGTAATTTTTACAATAAAATATTTATATTTACCCTAAAACAATATTTTTAAAAATTGGTCGTACAAACTACAAAATAATTGCATACCTTTTACTCGAAAAAAATGTTAAAGTCAATATACATAAGTCCCGACAGGTAATAAGAATTGGAGATAACGAATAAAATAGGTACAAGATCAGGTTTAAGGCGTAAAATACGCTTAAAAAAAATTAATTCCCCCCGTTTATTTATTATTCTTAAAAAATGTTATTATATTATTATTAAGAAATATTAATTATTTATTAATTTATTTATGAAATTTGATAAAATAGTATAATATAACATAATAATATAATAGAATTGATACTTTGGTTTGCTCCCAGATTAGAAAAATGAAATTTGATATGTTGTCCGTCGTAATATTTAATAAAATCTAGTGCTAAATATCTGATTTGTGTATGTTTATGGATCTCTAGCTGTAACCTCTTATAGAGGTATGGCCCCAATACAACTAAGATGTTTTAAAATTTAAATCATACATCCGCTTTTCATTCAAAAGTGTAAACTTGAGATTGTAAGGATCTTAAGAACCTTTACAATGTAATTTTTAATATAATTTTGTATAAAAAATATTAAAAGAAAATTGTTTAATGTTGCTTAAACTGAAAGTAAGAGTGATGTTATTTTTATTGTTAAATTGAAAAATAGACTTCCACGTTTATAATAGTAAAATATAAAAAAAAAATATTTGACGTTATATCAATTTTTATTGAACAAATTATAATTGTTTCGGTCCCTAGTAGAAACATTGAATTGTATTTACATATTTGCATACCGTGGTTTCGCCTCCATTATTAATTCCCATTTGTTTTCCCATTTTATCGTGGTCGTGCTCTGTCAGCAAGGAAATCGCGCCAGCGACCAACTCTCTAGCTTTAGCTTTGACCGATTCGCAGCTAGTAAAAGGGCATATTTATCTTGGGGGAATCGAATACCCAAAACAATTTGGACGGTCTGTTCGCAAATGTGTGGATTCCTGTCCTTACTTATGCAGTATTATTGGTGTCGGGGGAAATTTCAATGCAGCAGCTTCAATAGCGCACTTAAAACTTAATTAAAAAGCTAATCAGGGAGTTGCAAATGCAATTTGCTGCATTAACTTGAGCAATTAATTAAAGATGAATTAGTGGTCAATTTGGTGTGTAATTGCTGTCTGTATTTATTGTTTTACTTATTGAACTTTGTAAAAACAAAGTAAAAATCTTAATTTTATGAATTTTTCGTGGGTGTTTAAAAGAAGTCTATGAAAATCTTAGGTTTTTATGAAAAGCAAGTCAAACATGTTTGCCCACAACAAGACTTTTTGTTGTTTGGTGCCAAAAGTGGTGGGCTTTGACTGCAGTTAGTCTATGGATAATGTATAGAATTTCTGTGACTTGTGGTTTTGCTTGTCTGACCTGGAAATTACATTAATTAGGAAAATGAAACTTTTATTTTGATGTTGTAACAGTAGTATAAACATTCCATCACACACAGTCGCGTGCAACAATAGGTTTATTTGAGTTTATTTTTCTATTATCTTAAAAGTTTCGAAAGTCATAAAAATGGATATAAAACATGTGGCAAAGGAAAAAGGAGCTGGGCACCTGGAGATTTCAACTTCTTTTACGAGACTTTGAGGCACAAATGCCCCAATAAACGAGACTGCTGCAGTGGCCAACGTTCGAGTCAACGTTCTGCCTGCATAGAAATTTAAAGCCACCCTTAGGCGTCGGTTACATTCTTAAAAATTTAGGGCTCTGCTAAGATGTGCAACAAAAACCAGATTTTAGACAAAACCCTTAATGGCCCACAAAAACCGAGTACACAAGTTTCAGGCTCTTTGTTTGTTGGCTCTACCTCGTCGTACGTGACAGTGGCAAATGGCTCTAAATATGCCGGCGATTATTTAGCTTCAGTTTGAGGCTTAAAGCAGGCATATTTTTTATTTTTATTTCTCCTCTTATTTATATACAATCAATAAACTATGTTAAGGGGTCTATGGATTTACATAGTGTACACAATATATTAAAGACCACGAAATGGGGTGGGTTGGGTTGAGATACAATTGTTTGCCCAGGCAAGGAGTTAAGTTATGTGTGGGACCAACTGGACGGACTCGTTTCACTTACCTTCCGTATATTTCACCACGGATTTGTCATAATTAGTTCCATGCCGACGACACGGCCTTTTTGGGAGCCTCTGCGGGCTTCTGGTTTCTAGTTTCTAGTGTCCCGCCATCGCAGTGGTTGCCTAACGAGCTACTTTTGTCAAGTTGGTCTGCATTCGCAGATACACAGCTAGCTGGTCGTGATGTTTCCGCAATTATTAGTGTCAGTGCCTTCTGCTTTCAGGCGGTTATCTAAGTGTGGTCCTCATTGTTTCCGCGATGCGCCTTTTGGGCCAGTCGTTTTCATAATTCTTACAATACCACGTAAACACACATTACAACAGCAGCCGTGCAAAAAGGATACTAGAGCCGCTAAAAGGAAATCCCTCTAAGATGTGGTCTAGTGCATTCCTTTTTTTTCATTCGACTGACTGGCTTCTGCCATTAAAGTGAAGAATTAAGAAAAAAGAATAGTCGGTTGGTTTTAGGTAAGTGGTTTGTGGATAGGGCAAACTATTTATTTATTGCACAACATTTTTCTTATATTGTCAATCACATCATTCTCTGCCAATTTCCAAATCTCTATAGATAGAAATTTGGCTAAGTTCATATATTAATCTCACTAAACCTTTAGAAGGTGTTGCTGGTTTGAAAAGTCATTTCACTTCACTTCTATGTCAAGATAAATTTCTATTATTTATCATTTCAGACCTCACCCTTAAGTTTACTATGTTCTTATGTTGTCTTAAATATATATTTGTACGCTTATATGCACCATAGTGTTTTTATAGACAAAAACGTAAGCAAGGTTTTATATTAATTTTTGCCAATTGAATACCAGGCTCAATAAATTATTGGACAACAAGAATAGAAAATAAATTAAGCATTTATAAATCCTTTTTTACTGCCTTTATAAGATTTTGATCACATAAACTAACCTACCTGTTTTATTTGGAAACTCTGTCTATGTTTGCCAACTAACTATCACCTTTTTGGTGGTAGACCAATAACTAACGGAAGCCAATTTTGCACTTTTTGGTTACTCTTTTCTTTTGCAACAAGGAAAAATACACAGACTGAGTGGAAATTATGCTAAGGCAGCAGAAAGAAAAGAAGAAATTGTTTGCAAACAAACGCCGGAAACAAGGCTTGTATGTGTTTTGCTCTGATAAGAGTTTTCTCTATGAGATGGCTTAAGCACTTAATGCTTTCATATTTTTTGCATCGTGACATGATGGTCTTAGAAACATATGCACATGTTAGTAGAATCGAAGTGGTATTTGAAATTAGTTATTGGTAAGCAACCGTTCGGCATTTATTCTCTTAATTCAATTAAATTAATATGTATGTTTTACAAATTTTAGTGTGATATTAATTTTTGTGTAAACTGCATACTTAGTAAACGTTTGCCAATTTTTTTTCTCAGATTTTATTATCGAAAGACGAACTCGAGCTTATAAATTTGCCAGAAAAACGAAAGGCTGACACTTTAGATGTCGAAAGTAATGTAAAAAAAGCAAAGTTGGATGCCAATGGGCTTAAAACCAAGAGACCCGGTTTCAGTGACGAGAGATACGATGAGACTTCGTATTACTTTGAAAATGGTAAGCCAACTTTATCAAACAATTACAATTATAATTTACCAACAATGCTTGTTGTGTTATATCGCCTAGGACTTAGAAAGGTGTATCCCTATTTTTTCACATTCACGACGTTCGCCAAAGGTCGTTGGGTTGACGACAAAATTCTAGACGTATTCGTCCGTGAATTCCGTGCCGCTCCGCCCGAGGAATATGAGCGGAGTCTGGAGGCCGGAAAGTTGACGGTCAATTACGAAAAGGTTCCCAAGGACTATAAAATCAAGCACAACGATCTGCTGGCCAATGTCGTCCATAGGTATGTACTCGTAGGAACCTTTCATTTAAATATGCACACATTTGCATTATAGACACGAAGTCCCTGTTACTTCACAGCCCATCAAGGTAGTATACATGGACAAGGACATTGTGGTTGTAAACAAGCCGGCGTCCATACCAGTAGGTATTCCACATTTAACTAAAGTGACAAAAATAACACTAACTTATTGAATTTATGTATATTATAGGTACACCCCTGTGGACGGTATAGGCATAATACTGTGGTTTTCATCCTGGCCAAGGAGCACAATCTGAAGAATCTGCGAACCATCCACAGGTTGGATCGGTTGACATCTGGTCTGCTTATGTTCGGTCGCACTGCCGAAAAAGCCCGAGAATTGGAGCTGCAAATTCGAACTAGACAAGTGCACAAGGAGTATGTGTGCCGGGTGGAGGGACGCTTTCCAGAGTAAGTTAAACTATAATGCATGCTTTTCTTTTCTTTAATTTAATTTTTTTTATTAACTCTATATTGTACTTTTCAGTGGTATCGTTGAGTGCGATGAGAAAATCGACGTGGTGAGCTACAAAATCGGTGTTTGTAAGGTTTCGCCGAAGGGCAAGGAATGTAAAACCACGTTTCAACGAATTGGTGAAATAGGTGATGATAGCATTGTTCTATGCAAACCACTCACAGGACGAATGCACCAAATCAGGGTGCATTTACAATTTTTGGGTAAGAGTCATAGGCATTCTTAAAGGCAGTCTTTTGCAGTCGTACATATTTTAACAGGTTATCCCATATCAAATGATCCTTTGTACAATCACGAAGTTTTTGGTCCTCTAAAAGGACGCGGAGGAGACATCGGAGGAATAAGCGAAGAACAGTTGATCAATAACCTAATTAGCATTCACAATGCCGAAAATTGGTTAGGACTTGAAGGAGAACAGGTCGCGGAAGTCAAAGGCGAAGTAAAAAGTACTTTAGAAGTGGAAGTACCAGCCGTGATTAAAGCTACGCCTGAGATCTTACCACCAACAAATGGATCAATAAGTGAAGTAAGTGTAATATAAGTTTTAAATATTGTTACAATATTTATAATCTACTTAACAGGTTGCCACGCAAACTTGTTATGAAGAACCGGACAGGTCCTTTGATTCTAAAAAGGCAACTTCAGATCCGCATTGTTCTGAGTGTAAAATCAACTACAGAGACCCTGGCCCAAAAGACCTGATAATGTACTTGCATGCTTGGAAATACAAGGTCAGTTACAACTCCTCCAGTTTATTAATGTTCCATTAAGTTAAACATTAAAAATCTTTTACAGGGGGTCGATTGGGAGTACGAAACAGAACTGCCCGACTGGGCCTGTCAATCAACTATTAACTATGATCAGTTGTGAATCGATACATTATTTCCCTTTTTTAACAAATAAAGAACTTTCATTTCATTAAGATTCCAGTCTAAATTGGAAATTATAATTCTAATTTTGTATGGTACTTCAAATTACTATCTTTGACTTATTTGTCAAAATTAATGTGTTTTAACAATGTTTGTACTTTGTTGCCTTTTGCTTACTTTACCATTAACTCTTCAAAATAATCAGTTTCAAAATAACTCAGTCTTAAATATTAATCCAAAACAGCTTTATCTTTATTTGGAACATAAGGATGTGCTTGTCGAGTATTATCTATCTTTGTGCAATACGTGTCCCAGGATGGCAAATATTTTGGATTATTTAATGCGAGAACTTGACTTCACGTCACTGCCTACCATTGTTTCGATTGATTGCAGAAAATATTCAAAACATTGCCTGAAAAACCAAATTAAGCAATATCCGGAATGGATTCTAATTGACAAAAATGGACTAATCAAATCTCTTCATAACTCAAAAAGTCTAAATGACTCGTTACGCAAATATAGCATTTCAAAAAGCAATTTAGCATTTGGAAATCAAATGTCGAATGGTGCGTTTAAGCAAACTAAAAACGTCGAAGGTTGCATACCTGGAAAAGTTTTAAAACTTAACTCAAATAACTTTTACTCCCATATAAACAAAGGAACCTTCTTTGTTAAATTATATTCACCAAGCTGTATTTCGTGTATCGTCTTATTTGCAATTTGGAAGGAGTTCGCTTTGCAATTAGTAAATGAAACCAAAGTTTGCATTGCCGAATATGATTGTACGACTGGCATGGAAATTTGCAGGAATTTGGAAATCACTCGTGTTCCTTCCTTAATTTGGTTTAAAAATGGAGAAAGTGTTGAAAAATACAAAGGAAACCGAGACAGCAAAGGGCTACGAAATTTTATTTCCAAAAGGATTGCGTCCAAAAACTCTCAATCTTCTGCTCGTCAAATAAAATTTGGGAACATGAGCCTAAAAATGTTGTTAATTAAAATAAGTATACATGTGTTTATTTATTTAAATTGACTTTCAAAGGCTAAATATATTAAAGATGTAATTATTTGGTTTTTCAATAAAATTCATTTAGCTTAATCTAAAACATGAGATAAGGAACTTAAAGTAAAGTAAAAACTTTTTGTGGGTTGTATACGTAATTAAACATATTTTATAAAAATAACAAACTAAGTTTTTAATAATATTTTTAAAAATGTAACACTTTTTGTCAATCAAGTTAGGATTTTACGCACATGAATAGCTCGCTTTTTGAAATCCTTCAATTTTTTCGAGATTCCCGAAAAAAACCTATCGATATATCGATTTCTTGGGCAGTCCGCCGAGATGAGGCTGTGTCATCTCTATTGGACATCTGGCGCAAATTAATACAAAGCCTAAAAATATTGCCTGGAAATAATGTTACAAGATTTGTTACTGGCTTGTATGAGCGACATTCGCAATGGCCAAGGCTTACAGGCTTTCACGGTAAGAAAAAATCAGTCGGAGGATAATTCCCTAGCTTTACACGCAGTTTTCCTAGGACATCACATCCATTGAGCATTTTGTACATCAATGCGAGCGCCAGGTTTTTACGGATTTTTTAAAAATCATCCAAGTCTACCATGAAGTAGTTGATTTTACACAGTCATTGGGAGTACAGTCCGATGCACATGGCCAAATTCCAGGTATGATTGCAAGCATTACATTGTTTTGCATATTAAAGTTATAGCAGCTTTTGTCTTAGATTTTACCCATGGCTTCTACTTGCTGAACTTTGCCAAGGGAATCGACAGTGTTATTGAGGATTACCACGCCGAGGTCACTCGCCTGCAGAAGTATTGCTCGGAAAGCAAGCGCAGTTCGCTCTCATATGTGTACGATGGCCTGCTGGTCAGGATGCCCGTGCTGATCTTCCTCAGGGACCTCATCATGGACACCCAAGTGCGAAAGCTGCGCGGATGCTCCGTGCTCCACAATCTGCACCAGCAGTCCGAGCATGGAGATACCCAGTTGGCACGAGTAATCAGGAAGTATGCTGTAAAAACATAAATCATCTTGATCACTGATCCCAATTCACCCCATTTGTGCAGAGTTATCAAACCTGTCAAGTATCCATTCTTCGCGAGTCTGGCACACTGGCTTTCGTACGGGGTGATCGACGATGTCCACTCGGAATTCTTCATTAAGTTCACCCCAACCGATTCTGTCGATGGTAGCTCATGCAGCAAATCAGCCAATAGCTCTGTAATGGTAAGAAAAAATTATAATTTCCAATATTGTTATTACATATATTACGTTGTCAGAGCGTCGACAGAAATCCAGAGGATTATATATGGCAGTACGACATCAATCTGAACCAGCTGCCAGGATTCCTGTCCATCATTGTCGCTGAAAAGGTCCTGTTTGTGGGTCAAACAGTGCTGGTTTTCAAAATGGGTCGAAATGTAAAGGCAAAAAACAAAAGAGACCAATTGGCAGCCAAGCTGGCCGAAATTTCGCACGATGAAATCTATGAGCTGTGGAACGGCAGAGAGAACGAGTTCTTCGCAATGGTCCAAGACCTTGGCAAAGATGAAACAATCGATGTCTTCCGCGTGGAAAACGTTATAAACGACATCAAGAAATTCGTTAGCAGGCGACTATCAGAAATAGCTGTAAACGAAGTCGATATTGAACGCCAAATGGGGTTAATCAAGGACTTTTATTTGCTTGGCCGGGGAGAGTTCTATATGGAATTCTGTTGCCAAATGATCGGAACCATGGACTCGTACTTCGAAGAACGTTTTAAAAACATCACTAGATCATTTGAGGTAATATCTTATATATATGTCTTATTGAATTCAACATTTAAGTTCTTTAATTAATCGCAGATTGCCGCCACCGTCATGGGAATTTCGGATGATTTGGAAAACTTTTCGCTGACTTGCCAAAGAAGCATTAGTGAGCCAGATGAAAGTTGCGACTTCCACATTTTGCAATGTCTCAATCTAAAGTACACTTATGAATGGCCTTTGAATCTGTTGTTTTCCCCAAAAGCAATTGAGCGATATAATAGGATATTTCGATTTTTACTTATCATTCGAACCTTTCAATACGATATACAAAGAGTCTGGGCCAAGCAGACTTTCCAGGCCAAAAGGATGCCTACGTCCTTGAATACTAAAATCATAAATCTTCGCAATCATCTAATGTTCTTTCTGAACAATATGCAGTACTACATTCAAGTGGATGTGCTGGAAAGTGAGTTTTCTCAACTTTGTTGTATGCAAATCCCTAAAACTTATAACTCACATTTTTTACAGGTCAATTTGGTATTCTTATAAGTGTGATTAAAAGCAAAGCAGAATTCGAAGAAATACAAAAAGCCCATTCGGTATTTCTTGCAAATGTTCTTTCACAGTGTTTCCTGCTCTCCGATGCGAAAGACGGCCAAGTAAATGTCACCGGATGCCAAACCCAAAACCCCATTTATGGAACTCTTCTTAAACTGTTCAGTATTTGTGAAAAGTTTGCGCACGTAACCCAATCAAAAAATCCACCAGATGACCTTATAGGTGAAATCGATTTACTTAATGAAAGGTAAGTCGTTGCCAAATATTTAAGATCAAGATAAATTAAAGATGTACCATTTAATTTAATAAGGCATTATTATGTCAATCAATATTTTAGTTCTTCAAGCTATATAAGTAATACTAATAAAACTTTGTTTTTTTTTTTTCTACAGATTTGGTGTTCAAATTGCGAGCCTTATTCAACTATTGGTTGACGTTAAAACAGCATCTTGTTTGGGTCCGCTTTCTCAGCTCCTATTGCGTTTGGATTTTAACCATTGGTTTAGTGCTAGCCATAACGTTTCCGCACCTATATAACAATTTCTCGACGATATGGCTTTACCTAAAGCTGTAGTCGTTTAATGTCTTCTATACGAAAGTCACTCCTGGAGAAATGATTATCAAAAATTGAGATATACATTAAAACATTAGTGTTCACTATTACCTTAAGGTTAAAAATGTTCGAACTTCGTTGGGCGTTAAGTGCCAGGATGACATTTCCTTATTGTTCTCGGGATTCCAGTATTCAGAGAGCTCAGAAATCTTATCCAGATTTAGAAGAGTGGCAATTTGAGAGATCCTAGTCATCTTGTCTCTCACCGACCATGACGTGGCTCCAGTTAGGTAACTGCCCAAGGCACGCACCTCCTGATCGAGGACCAGACCACCAAGCTATTGAAAGGAATATATATAATTAAGTAACATAGAATTAACAGGTTTAAAACGTACTCTGTTGAATGTAATTTTTTTAATAGCCCGTTCCAATTGAATTGTCACTTCGGTTGCTAAAATGCTGACTAGCGCATCGTAGTTGCGCGGACTCAACGAGCTCTTAAAGGAATTCAGAAGCCCGTCCAACTGGACTATAAAAAACTGAACAAACGTTTCACCTGCCTCATAGGCAGCCAGTTCCTCCTGTAAGGAAAAATGTCAATTAGTTTTTATACAACCATTATTGCTAAGTGATTTAACCTCATTTAAGTTGTGACTGTAATTTAAGAACTGGTTAATCCAGGGGCTGAGGCGTGGCTTTATAACACTGGATCTCAGCTGCTGCATTCCAAAATCAACAGTGGCTTTCAATGCATCCCGCACTGCTTTGAGTTCGGTGAGGCAGCTATCAAGCAATTGACGCTCCACCGGCGTTGTTTGTGGAAATGTGCCAGCGATTTCCTGCTCCATGGTCTGCCACAGTGTCTCAATATACTCAGTCGATATGTCGGCATTGTTCAACTGTACCAGGAAATTGGCTCGACCTCGATCTGCATCGCTGGAATGTAGTTTTCCCTGCTGCAGGGTCGTTTGAATGGCATTATATGCCTGGGCCAAGTCGATGTAGCCCGATGGATAGCCGCTTTTCAGCGGGGCCTTAAGGGCAGACACAAAGTCACCATCCAAGCAGGCGGCCACGTTGTTGATCACAGCACATGTTCCGTTTATCGACTGAGTTGTTAAGGCCCTTCTAATTGATTTGCGAAGGATGAAGAATATATCATCCACCATGGACGAACATTGCTGTCCAGATTCGTAGGAATCCAAACCGATGGCCTTGAGCACACTTTCCTCCATGAAGTATCTAAAACAAAGAAAGTGATTCAATAAAAGGTTTAACACAAATTGCTTTATATCTAACCTCTCCAGAAGCAAATAGGTGCTTAGAATTTCCTGCATTTGGCGACGCAAGTCAGAGTTCTTCATGATCTTTTCGTAGCGTTCCATTATGGCCATCTGCTCTTTCTCGGGCACACACGTTTCGACATGAACCTGCAATACGCAACGTAAGCTAAGGACATTATCGAATTAATTCCATATTACCTGCAAGCGACGCCGCATAAATCGGAAGTACAGCTCGACTCTGGCATGCATGACTGTTATTTCAGCTATAATCGCATCGATTTCCTTCGGGTTCAGTTTGTCCACCGATCCGCCCGATGGTTTCCGATAATGTCCCAGTGCCTGGATGCTGTTGCTGCTGACATTTCCGCCACCAGCCGACCGCTGAGTGGATTCATTCACTTGCTTGCTCCGATACTGGATCTGCCGGTTCTTGTTGAACTCCATCAGCAGATTCTTCACCTCGGCATCGCATTCGTGCTGCAGAATGGCCACCATATCGATCAAAGACGAAGATCTATAAGAAGTCATACGAATTCAGACATAATTGATTTGGTAGTATGTATGCAACCTACGCCTGGCCGTAAAATGCCTCGATTATGGGCTGATTGACCTCCACCACCCGGGCAAAGTTCTCCAGGATGGCAGTCAATCGATCTGCATAAGCCAGTTGGAGCCGCGATTCAGCCTTGGCAATGTCCTGGGCATTCCGCAGTTCCTTTTGCGCCTTGTTGGCCAGCTTCTGGCATATGTAGAGGGAAAACTTCTCGATCCCGGTGGAATGGCAACCGACCAGAGGGAAGATTTTGAAGAATCTCTCCACAGAGGCCAAGTCGTCGGCCTTGACCGCCTCGTCGAAGCGTTTGGCAATCAGGACGCGGGTCTTTTCGGTGGCCTCCTCCAGCGTCTTCACCGCATCGCTCACCGACGTGATGGAGCCCTGAACGTCGTCGGCGGTGCGTTGCAGGAGCTGCTGATCCATGGCCAGAAAGCGGGCAATGTGAGTGGCGCTCTTCTCGTAGTCCTCCTCGCCGATGGCCTTGACCACGCCCTGGCTGCACAGGTGCAGGTCGATGAGGTCGTGCACCCGCTGCTGGCACTCGGAGGCCCGGCATCTGGCCAAATCCAGCCGGCGCACCTTGGCACTCACGGACTCGGCCAACTGGGCCGTGTTCACAATCTGTGCGTTCAGCTTGTTGGCATCGCTGTCCACGGTGTGCAGCAGGGCCAGGGATCTGCCAATGCCACTCATCTTGGCCTCTATCTGGCACTGTTTGGCCAGCAGCGATTCCAGTTTCTCGTTGACTTTGGCCTTGAGTGGTGATAGAAAAACATGAATTCCAAACCAACCGGAAAGTTATAAACTGGGCACTAACCTCTTCTTCGGCAATCCGCTGCAGCGCCTCGTCCACCTGTCCATTTGTGCTGATGTCCAATGCGCTCAACTCGTCAAGAACACTCATCCTGCGTTCGTGTGTCCGGATCCGGGATCCCTTATACTTACAATTATACTTTTTTCAATGCAATTGCTGATACGTGGAAAGATTGTTTTGTATAAATAGGGATGGGCATTCCAGCAGTTCTTAGGCACGATTAATCGGAATGTGGTATATCGATACTTTGAATCTTCTGGCAACGCTGTTTCAAGTTTAAGCAATTATTGGGGGAACTTTTATTTGCTTTTTTAGTTTTTAATAAAATTGTTTTATGTAAACACTATTATTTGAAAGACAAGAAATTGATGTTAAAATCTTAACTACAATTTAGTTAGAAGAAGGACAAAGCTTTGTTGGCTTTTCACGCTCGATCGGCAAGCAGTTGAAACAGCTGACAGTTTGTTTACTTCATTTGTTTGTTTTCAACTCTTTGGCCGGTGTGATGGAGACAATCAATGAAGATATTTGGATAAACATTCTTCGGTTCCTGCCTTTGAGTGATCAGTTGTCACTGGCCCAAGTCACCGAAAGTATCCACTGCTACGTGAAGTATCACTGGAATCATCTTAAGTCGGTGACTGCGACCCGAGATGACCTTGAATTTCTGGATAGGAATGAGCAAATGATGCAGGAATGCCTGGGCGGCTGGTCAAGATCGGTTCAATGGCTCAAACTGAGCGGGTGCAGCAGGGATCTGCTCAGGAAGTGGACCTCCTACAGCTTTCCCCATCTGCGATCGCTGGACTGCCACATGGACTACAACCCCGAAGAGGACGACGAGGAGACCCTGCTTCTCACCGAGCTGTTTCCGCTCCTGACCAGCCTCACATTGAACAGCAGCACCACCGGCAGCCATTTGAGCCGCTGGAGGCAGCTGAAGGAGCTGAATCTCATCTGGTGTGAGTACCTGGACACGGACACCTTCGCCGAAATCTTCGGCAGCCTGAAGCTCGCCAAGCTGACGCTTCTCTACTACGGCTACAATGTGAACCTGGGCGAGAAGGTGGTGGACGTCACCCAGTGCTCCACGCTGGAGGAGCTGACCATCGACGATCACCACCTGCTGGGCGCCTTCCTGCCCCGACTAATGGATCTGCCGCACTTCCGTCGCCTGGCTTTTTACACACGCGACTACAGCGAGCATTTGCTGGGTTTGGTGGCCAGGCACCATCCACTCAAGGTGCGATCGCTGCTCTTCAACGACTCCTTCTGGAGCAGCGATCGCATAGAAAGGGATATTCTGCTCATGACCAATCTCCGCCGACTGGTTCTGCAGGATGACGACATTGATTCGCAGCAGCTGCACGCCATCTGCAAAAGGCTGCCGCATCTGGAGGAGCTGCACCTGTTGCAGATGCGCGAGCTGCCACCGCCTCCACCTTTGTGGAACCTTTTGGGTTCCTGTTCCGCGCTCAGGATCCTTAACCTGTCGTCCAGCAAGCTGGGCGGGCGGGCGCAGAAGCTCGATTTGTCGCAACTCCCCAACGATCTGCTCAATCGCAGAACTCCGCTGACTTTGCATCTCCACAACACTGGCTTCATACCTGAAAAAGTTATTCCTGCCATGAAGCATGGCAATTTAGAAGTCTCCTTCGAGCCCGTTCATTTGAATATTTGGAGTTCACGATTTGTGGAAATAGAATTCAATCCGGAATCGAAATTGTAAGTCTGTCCTTAAAAATGATCAAAGTTTAAAATCAAAACTAAATAATATATATTGTGTATGTATAGTAAAATATACATATAATATGTAGGTCTTAAAATAGCATTTAAAATCAAAGTAATAAGTTGTGTTTGTGTTTTGGCAAACGTTTAATAAAGCGAACATTTATTAAAACAAATCCAGAATTGACATGGTTATATTACTTCTCATTTATGACAAAAGCTACGCAAAGTTCCAACAACAAATATGATATGTGTAAAACATAAAATCGAATTTCACATAAAAATAATAAATTTAATCTAACTAACAGAACTACGATTGATAAGATTCAATCTTATTACATCTTACATAATTATTTAATATTTTGTGATAAGAAAATAACTACAAAACTAAGCTTTTATAAATGACCAATTGCTTAAAAAAGTTTCGGAATATAGCAAACTTATTTGCGCTGCAAGTGAGGGTAACCTCTTGAACTGGCCAAAAGTATTTCAAAAAACGCGCCATGCTTTTTAATTGGCGCCACAGTGTGGCCAGCTTACAATGAAAACAAAACGAATACGGCCACACTTGTTTTCACAAACAGCTGATTCGAAATTCAAAGCCCAACAAAAGTATTGATTTGCTCTGTAGGATTAGCTTAGCGTAGAATTCTGATAGATAAGTAGTCATGGATTTCACGGGCTTTGAAGTGCGCAAGGTGAGTTGAGAACCAGGTGAGGATCGAGTGTAAACTATCGAGTAATCCCGTATGCTCCGCAGTGCCCACCGACTGCCATGTACATTCCGAACTTCATCACTTCCGAGGAGGAGCAGCGCATCCTGAGCCACATCGAACGGACTCCCAAGCCGAGGTGGACGCAGTTGCTCAACCGCCGGCTGGTCAACTACGGCGGGGTGCCGCATCCCAACGGCATGATTGCCGAGGAGATTCCCGAATGGCTGCAGAGCTATGTGGACAAGGTGAACAACCTGGGGGTGTTCGAGTCGCAGAACGCCAACCATGTGCTGGTCAACGAGTATCTGCCCGGACAGGGAATCCTCCCGCACACTGATGGACCGCTGTTCTACCCCATCATCTCGACCATCTCCTGCGGGGCACACACTGTGCTGGAGTTTGCCCAGCGGGAGCATCCGGCGGAGGAGGCCGGAGCAGATCAGGCGGCCCGCGAGGTTCGCTTCAAGCTCCTGCTGGAGCCGCGCAGTCTGCTCATCCTGAAGGACACGCTGTACAGCGACTATCTGCACGCCATTGCCGAGACCGGCGAGGATGTGCTCTGCGACCGCATCTGCAACTATGATCTGTGCGAGAACACCTACAAGATCGGCGATCACCTGGTGCGCCGATCGCCACGCATCTCTCTCACCATCCGCAACGTGCCCAAGACCAGCAAGATGAAGCTAAAGTTCTGCTAGGTCCACTAAGGTCCCTACTACGATGTTGTTTGCCATGGAGCACAGAGATTTCCTAAATGTTGACTAACCGCACGTTAAACGAACCCACTGAAAGGGATCCCAGGGATCTGAGGGACTATGATAACCAGCCCGCAACCTGAATCTTCCGCTAGTTGTTTAAGCACTCGCACTAGCACACACACTAGCTCGCAAGCAATCAACGTTGGCCCACACAAAAGTGCTTTATTTATACTTTATACCGTGTTAGCGTGTTGTGTACATATATAAAAAATGTTTGTATTACGTATTACGGAGCAATAGGTTGGCCCGTAGCGGCGGACAGGACATCAAGCTGTGTCCTGTCCGCCAGCGGCCTTTAGATTTAGTTACGCGAGCAATTGAAGGGAGCAATCATCCACGGTTTAGATTTGTGAAATATGTATGTAGTTAAATGTACAGGTGTTCGGCAACTGATAGTGGCTATGATATGATACGCCTGCTGTCCCATAATCACAATCAGTTGACGGATCACCCTCTTATATGTATGTATGTTGAATGGAGCAGGCATCCACAATCGTGTGGATGCTCCATGCTCCGGCCTCCCGCGTCCAAGTGTATTTTTGTAACCGAGTTTTCCACCGCGCACCGCCGAACGAAGAGCGAAGAGCGTAAAAAGCGAAGAGTTGCCAATAAACGTTACTGTCCACCCACTGACACTGACCCATTGATGATGCAATCGTGCGCTAGGCCTCCGCCACCGCCTCCGCCTCCTGCCATTCCAGACGGAACTCGCGCTCGAAGACCAGACGGTCGTAGAGCCGCACCTCGCTGATCCGCGCCGAGATGTCCAGCCGCAGTTCGCTGACCGCCAGGTGGAAGTTCTGGCGCACCGTTCGCTGCTTGTCCGGCGTCAGTTGGTTGAGCGGCTTGCGGAAGATGCTCACGATGCGCTGCAGGTGGTACTCCACACTGGCGCAGCGACCGATGCAGACCCACAGGTTCTCCGGGTCGTGGATGTTGCCCGGGAAGCGGGTACGCTGGTCGAACGGCGCCTTGCCGTTCAGCAGGGCCCTCACCTCGGCCACGATCTCCTGGTGCGTCTTTAGGTCCCGGGTGCTGAGGGTGGTGAACTCGTACTTGTCGCAGAAGTACATCAGCTCGGAGATGGCCACCCAGGACTGGGAGCAGAGCGTGCCATGGTGGCTGTTCCAATTGGAGTAGCCGGCCGGGCTGGATGACTTGCTGGCCACGGCAGCGGTGGCTGCGGCACTGGTATTCGGCGTGGGAGAGCTGCCCTTGGGACTGCCATTGCCCGGCTTGGATTTGGCCAACTCCAAGCCGTTCGTGGACCTTCTCTCGGTGCGCTGCAGCTGCTCCATTTCCCGCTCGTGTTCGCGGGCCCTCAGATAGGCCTCCTTCTTCTGCTGCAGCTCCTGCAATTTGGTCATCTTTGGCGGCGAGTAGGACTTTGTGAAGATCGAGCTGGCAGCCGGCGGAGGAGCAGTGGAGCAGGGCTCGCCCTCTGTGTGCGCTGGGCAAGAGCCGTTTGTGTCGAGGGAGGCACTGCGTCCGTACTTGGCCCGGTAGCGCTCCAGCGTGTCCAGCGAGAAGCTCAGCTCCTTCTTGATGGCCTTCTGCATGGTGTGGTTTGGTTTTCTGGCTTTCTGGCTTTATGTAATCACCTTGGGTGTATCGGTGCCTCGAAGTGCACGCGTTCCCTTCGAGAATTTACAAGCGAATGCGAGCGAGCATCCAACATTCCGCATCCGCGTGAAGAGAGTCTGATCTCTTTATTTTTATCTTTTATCAATCGGCGGCGAGCCATGTGCACTTTATTTCGGTCTCTGCCAATACATTTTGATTCGCACACGAATGCGTTTGGATTTGAAGCACCAGTTTTCGAAGAACCGCCTCGCAGATGTTAAAATACCAAACGCACATTTTGGGGCATCTCATTCCGAACTGACCGACACTTGGAATGGACTGAATTCGGAACAAGGTTGGTGCTACCAATATTACGGAAGGGATCATAATCTTGTAATCAGGTAATTTAAAAGTAAATCTTAAACGCGAGTTCTTAGGATCTTAGTTTTCATTTGTGGAAACTCATGCCGAATTCGCTTAATCCAAGGATCAACAAGATTACATTGCCTAATAAGGTTTTAAAAGCTTTTCCTTAACTATTATTTTTCAATAAGGCAAATTTAAAGGATCTTAACTTCTTTATTTTTTTGTTTTGAATTTCGAGCTGAAATGATCAACATTTTTGAATTGGCTAAATTCAGATCAAGGTTGGAATTACTAAGATATCCTTTTTTCAAAGTAATATGTTTTAATCTGGTTAATGAAAAACGAGTTCTTGGGATCTCAATTGTCCCAGGTAATTCTTCTTTTAAATTTCCTCCCAAAATTCTAAAAATTTGTAAGTTTTCAGGAATTATTCGTATACACTTTTTTTAACCTGTTTATAAACAACAGAGCAATCGTTTTATCACTCACCTATTATATCCATTCGTTAGAATCGTTTTAGATCCTGCACAAGTACACCAAATGAAGTTATTAAATCATCGCCTTTAAAATACAAAGTTTACAGCTTTTATTTTGTATAATATTTAAAAAATATTATTTGCAAATGGCACACATAGGTTCGTGAATTTCGTTTTAAGTACAAACGGTTTCGCTGAAGGTTTGTTGTGTGCTGTGAATCATATTTGAAGAAATGCACAAAGTGCATTTGCATTTAATACTTTTCGTTATTAATGCCTGCCAGCAAAACCGGCGGAGGTTGTCCTCTCACATGGATGGTAAATAAATATCGCCTTAACGCATACGTAATAAAAAAATGTACAAAATCACGATCAATACGTCAATTCGTCGATCAAACAAACACACACAGAACAGATATTACTAACTAAAAGACGTTTTAAAACTACAAAGTGTGTGTTAGCAGAAGGCACGGTATACACAGAGTTATCTTGTCCTTTGTCCACCAATGGGACAAAGGGGTAAACAACAAGTAGAATGGTGGATCCTAAAATAAGGTTCCATAATTTACACTTCGAAGGGGGTTGGACAGCATCCCCTAAACGCAATACGCCGCCGGCACCTCGAAGATGATTCTGCCCTCCTTGCAATGGAAGTTGGGCACCTCCAGATTGGACGCCGCCTCCACCGAAATGGTGCGTGACTTGCCATCCAGACGACAGGGGATTGTGCTGCTCACATTAACCCGCAACTCCGTTCCGGTGAGGCTGCAAAAGGATACATTGGGTAATAGCTGCGCCCAGGACTCCGTGCACCCCATACTCACTCATGGTACTTCTTGCACACAATGCCAACCACCTCGCCAATGCGATCCTCCTTGAGGGGCGTGTGCTCGCCCTGTAGCGAAAACACCAGGTCCTTGTTTTTGGGCGAGTGGAAGACTATCAGTTGATCCCGGCCAGGAGTCACGCTAATGGATGTTAGCTGTGGAGGAGACCGTTTTGGTTGAGTGGCGTTACTTTAAGGATTTCAAGAAATGTTTTAAAAGCAAAGGAGATATCTAGTTGCTATGATAATAACTTTGTTCATAGAAACATTAGGTTTGGTCTTCCAATTAAACCCGAAATTATAATGCTGCCAATAATATTAAGACCCTTAAAGTTTGTTGGCTTTCGAGTACAGCGATTTAACGATTATATTTGATTTCTTACACTGGTAAACAAGACCAAGTGTTTCATAGTTAATTAAGAGATTTCTTGATTTAAATTTTATACATTTTGGTTGAATAGGCAAATATATAATATGACTTTTGTTTGAATTTAAAATGTTTTCCCTTTAAATTTAAACTATATAAAACTTAATGATAACAAGTTTAAAACAAATACAACTCATTTTTTAATTTTAATATTTTCCGCACTATTTTAAAAACATGTTTTTACATTTTACTTAAGTGTGAAATATAAGATGTTGTATTTAATGTCCAGAAATTTACTTTTACTGTTTCTTTATAGATAAAATTGATTATTAAATGAATGGTAGTATATACAAAAATTAAAAAAAAAAAGGTGTTCATTTTTAATTTCAATATTTTGCACATTAGTTTAAATATTTAATATTGAGGTCATGCAATTTAACATGCATGGTATTTAAAAACATGATTTTAAATTTAACTTGTTAATTTCAATGTCAAGAAATTAATTTTTACTATTTCTTGATAAAATTGTTTGATAAATGAGTGTTTATCAATATGTTTCCTTGCCATTTTTTCTTCCTTAACAATTTTCAATCATCTTACTTGATATGAACTCAAAAATTGTTGGAAAAAATCGGGTTGGATGACAGTATGACATATGTACCTTTCATTGAATCCTACATAACTTTGTTGTTATTTTAAGATTAAAATTTAGAATTAAGTCGAATTAAATATTTTTTTATTATAATATTATTATTTATTTTATATAAACTGCGGCTTGTCCATTTAAAGCTGGACTCATATAGGATTTGAATACTTTTCTTTTCTGAGAGTATTTTTAATGGGTATTTGACTGTCCTATTTGTATTGAAATATTTGAATTAATATTCACTCACCTCCCTGATTCCGATTGATCGCTTCATGTCGTGGAACTTCTTCTTGATGCCATCCAACTTGTAGATGGTCGAATCGGTGACGATGAAGGCGCGGTTCGACTGCTTGTTGCATTGGTTGATCTTCTTGGCGAAGGCGGAGAAGAGCACCTGGCGGATCTGGATCTTGCGCAAACTGGCGTTGTACGCCTCGTAGCCGCTGTTGTCCTGCGAGTTGGCCAGGTAGTCGCCCAGCCAGCGGCGCTGCTGGCCCCAATAGGGACGCCGGCCGCCCAGGGCGGTGGCCGCGATAATCTGGAGCCGCAGCTGGGGCCACTGGTTGCGCGGATACTTGCGCAGGATCATGTAGGCGCGCCAGAAGTCAAAGATGCGGTGCAGCTTCGCTTCCGCCTTGCGTCCGGCGAGCGGCGGCTGTGGCCACTGGATGCTCTTGCCATAGTCGCGGGTCTGCTTGGCGCCCCGGAAACGGTTGGCCAGCTCCTGGACATAGCTGCGCAGCTTGTAGGTCTTGTAGGCCCGCATGATTGCGATGGCGGCCTTCATCTTCTTGAAGTTCCGGCGGACGATCCATCCGCGCACCTGTTTCTGCAGCAGCGTCACTATGTGCGGTATCATCTCATTGCGCTTCTCCTCCAGGGCGAACAGGGTGCGGGGCGAGCGAATGAAGATCTTCGTGTGGCCATACTTCACGTCCTGCGCAAAGCCCTTCTCCTCGATCAGCACCCGGACGCCGTCGCGGTCGCTGCCCGCCCGGAAATTGGGCCACGTGTACTGCGAGATCATCTTGTAGCGCAGCAGGAACTTGTCGTAGCGCTGGCGGTGCACGAATCCGGCTCGACGGACCCGCAAATTCTCGAGCAGACCCAGATAGCGCACCTGATGCTCCACCCGCTCCTCGTCGAACACGGTGGAGCTCTTGATGTCATTGGGCTTGATGCAGCGCACATAGAAGGGCTCCTTCTTTAGCAGCGTGACCACCAGGTCGGCCATCGATCGCTGGAACAGGGTGCCCGCCGTCAGTGGACGCTTGGTTGTCTTCTTGATGTCCTGCGCCCCCTCCGGCCACATCTCGCTCAGGTTGGCGTCCTTGGAGTTGTGCAGCAGACGCTTGAAGTCCTGGTACAGCGTGTCCTTGTTCTTCTCGATGAACCCGTTGATGTTGTAGACCACATCGCCCGCGTAGTGCGTGATGCGGAAGTCCTCGCGATGCTTCAGCTCCTTGTCCGTGGGCTTCAGCTGGCGACTCGTGTAGTGCGGATGCTTGCTCAGGTTCTTGTCCATCGCCCCCAGGAGCGTGTCGTCCGTCACCTTGCCCACGCTCAGACACGCCTCGTCCATGATGGCAATGATGCCCTTGTGCGGCTGCTCCACAAGATCGCAAATGATCTGGAATATGGTTAGGTCTTCGGGTTACTTTAAACATTTTTTGAGGAAACTTACTAATAAATCAACTATGTAAACAACCTTAATAAAGTAGCTTAGAAGGCATTACCTTCGTCATATGGCAGCCACTAAGTTTTACCAATCTTTCTTTTCAGGTACTACAAGGAAATTAGACTTCTGAATCGGACAACTAATTGGGAACTTTAGTTTCTCCAAGAACAGCGGATACATTTTAAGAAAAAATCTAATCGAATTGGTATGCAAAAAACTAAAAGTCAATTTATAGTTGATTTATCCGATTTTAGAAGGACTAACCAATGGCGAATTGGGGTCCAAAAGGTATTATTCTGTTGTTGTTGAATACAAAAAATACATAGACAAGCTATGTCTATTTTATATGACTTTACGAAGACCATTCAAACGAATATTCTGATCTAATTTACATAAAACGCCCCTACATTCCAACTCAATCTTACTATTTAATATCATTTACTGAATAAATTGAAAAACGGAAGGTTATAGTTGGAAATGCTCTAAGTATCTAGTTAGCTTTTGGTTTTAAACATTATGCCAGCTTAATATAAATAAATAAAATATATAAGCAATGAAATCGGTGTTAATGCATTTCACAAAAATATAGAGCAAATATAGACGATATATATTGCCAGCTAGACTATAAAGTCTACTGTTTCTTTTTTTCCTTTAGGAACATAGGAATAAGTGTAATAATTCTCAATATTGGCTTAATCTAAAGGTTGTTTAACCTTAAGCCATATAAAAAATAATCTAGATTCACCTTTCAATTGTTACTCACCTTGTTGTTGAAGTAGTCAATATTAGTCCACTCGATGCCCTCGCGCTGGTACTCCTCCTGCTCCTGCTTCAGCACCAGTTCTAAAGGGGATTACGCACATTACTAAGCCATTCCCTTGATTACAAACCCCCTCCCCCAAAAAGTCTCACCGATGAAGAGCTGCTGCAGCTTCTCGTTGCAGTAGTTGATGCAGAACTGTTCGAAGCTGTTGGAGTCGAAGATCTCGAAGCCGTAGATGTCCAGCACTCCGATGACCGAGTTGAACCTCGCCTGCGTCTTGCTGCCGCGGAACAGGATCGCCCGGTTGATGCGGGAAATAATCCAGGTGAAGAGGCGGTCGTAGATGGCCTTGGCCAAAGCATCCTTTCCGTACTCCGCCTGCGTGGCATTGTGATCCTTCTGCATCACATTTCCACCGGCGGCGATGACCCGTTTGGTCAGTGCCATGGACAGCTCCGATTCGGTAACCTGCAGCAGCTTGGCAGTGGACTTCAGGTGCTGCTTATTGCTTATGACCAACTCATCCTCAATGGCTGCAATTGAATGCCAAAATATGTATTCAACATTTCTCAGGGGAATAATACCAAGAACACAAAGAACTCACTTTGGAACTCCACATTTCCCAGATGGAGTACGGCTGCAATGGTCCGCCAAATGGTCTGCACCTCATCCGTGGAGAATCCCAGGGTCTTGAAGGCGTTGCAGGTGCCCTTGTAGTCGGACTTCTCCGTCAGGATGTCCATGCTGCCCTGGTTCAAGTAGTGGTATTTCCCGGTTTCCTTCTGTAACTCATATTGCCGCAGTTCGTTGTCGTTGGCTCCACGAAGCAGCTGAAATACAAGTAGATTAAATGGTTGGGGGTATTAATTAAAGAATTCCAACTATACATGTCCGTATCCATATTTAAAGAATTTAGCTCAGTGGTCATGTTAACTATAATTGAACTTCCGTTTTCCATTACGCATTTGGCTGCTGTCATTTTAGTTTTTCATCTACAAATTCTGGTGTCTAGTTTGGAAAGAGTTTTAACAGCTTATTATTTCATTTATAGATCTTAAATATATAAATAACATTTAATAGGACATACAAAAATGTATGTTATCTTTATCAAAACATTCCCAACTGTTATTTTTGTCGATTATATCATCTATGATTGATAACGTGACTTATCAGTTGAGTAATTTTTATAGATCTTTAACGTTGGGTAACTCATAACTAAATAATCAATTAAAATCTACATGCTTATCAGTGCAAGTAAGGTTGAGTATTGTTAATTTCAAGATAACTTTTTTAATAGGTACCTCATAAATTATAATATCTGGGCCAAGCTGATAAGTTATGACTTATGAAGACGAGGATCCGATACATTTTGCATTTCATAGAATGGCACAATATTTATTTTGACTCATTTTAAAAATAAACAACTCGAGCTCCCATAAAAACCAGATGAAATACTCGACTTGATTAAGTGTTTATAGATGATAAATGCGCTAAAAACGATTCGAATTGATCAAATACTTTAGAAATACATCGGAAATAGCGATCAATTATCACCTCAACAGGTTAAATTGACCTGATCAATGGGTGGGTATACCTATATTGTGGGTGTTTACGCCTTGAACAATGAATAAGCACACAAATTGTGACGCGATCATTTTTTCTGGTTTATTGGATGAGTCTTGGGTAGGGCTATGTTATCGTGCTTTCAATGATATCATTACTTTTAAAGCGCCAATAAAAACTAGGTATCCAGCTGTCGGCGAATTTAATTAAATTAACAAACAGTTTTGCCTCTCAGATAATTAAACAAATAATCTCTCTGTTTTAGGATTTTCTGAGAGCTTTGTGGAATTTTCTTAACTAAAGTATACAGTTAAATGACTGGTCACAACCAAAACTATAGTTTAACTGAATTTGTAAATTGTTTTATATTAGTCCATCGCACGTCATAAGTTATATTGACAGCAGGGCGTTATGCATATATATCCCAACCGTGAAACAGACCTAAACGCTCAACTTAAATGCCCGTTAATGTTTACACGGCAGGTTTGAGGGCCACTCCCCGAAAAACCGCAACAATAACTGTCTAGGCAGCCGAAAAAAGTATCATCACGGCCACAACCTGACACCCCCCAAGTAATTGACGCCCCACTGTAACGGCCCCACCCCCTACAAGGCACCACTTCCCCACCGAACACCTTTCGTCACCTGGCACGCGTCACGCTGACTCACTGGGTAAATAATCGTGTAAGTTAAATACTGAGGGCCACACACGAGTAGTGCTCACCTGGTAGAAACTGTGGAAGTTCCGCTCGCCCGGCTGCTGCTGCACCACTCGCGACTTCTCCAGCAGGTAGTTGGTGATGATGCCCCCCACCGGATCCGCCTTGTAGTCGAACTCAATGTCCATGTACTTGCCAAAGCGACTGGAGTTGTCGTTGCGGTTCGTCTTCGCGTTGCCAAAGGTTTCCAGGATGGCATTGCTCTGAATCAGCACGTTCTTAACTCTGAAAAGGTAAATATACAAATTATATAAATAATATATATTTATAATATATACAATATTTAGATAAAACGGTCTTATCATTGATATACCTTATTTAAAAATATCTTATAGTACTAGGCATGATTGTTGCGGCATACATTAGAACCAGTTTTCATATTTATATTCCCTCATTATCTTATTGACACTACAATAAGATGAATGTTTATAATAATGCCATATAATATAATTTTCCAATGATTAAAACACTCAGAGAACATAAGTCAGTGCAATAAATAGCTTGAAATAAAATAATCATAGCTCTATGACACTAGAAACATTTCCTAAACATAATAAACGGACTTAACTTTTTCGATTTTCTGTAAGTGAAGGACTTAGAGTTTATTTCCTGAAATAAGATTGCAATTTGTATGGTACAATCTAACCAAATTTGTCCCTCCGAGATTTCTTTGTCACCCTTTTATAAATTTTATAGTCTGAAAATATTTCTATTCTTCTTTATAACGACCGACAATTAAAAACGTCTGTGACAATAAAAATTATTGTTGTATGCTCACAGAATTAAAATAAAAGTCTCGTTAAAGTCAAATCGATATAACTTAAAACATAATCAAATATAATAAACAGCTTGCTTAATGCTCCATAAATTCCGCTTTGTTCCTTTTGGCAAAGTAATTTGGGAAATGGCATTCGCCCTAATCCCCGAAACTATACTAAATGTCGTTTTAAATTTCATTGGAGGCACTAAAAATTGGCAATTTAGTTGGCCATTGTGTTTTGGGCTTGGTTGCCGACCAAGTCTCAGTCTCAGCGATTTTATGGAGCACCTTAAACTACACCCAAGTGATAAAAGTTCCCCTGGACAAAGTGGTTGGCTGGGGTGGGCAATTAGTGGGGCAATTAATTTGGCAACTTAAGCTGCAGTCCGGCACTGATGTCATCCGGGGTCACGGGTCACGCGATGACGTGGCGATGATAATAATGATGATGATGACCATGTGAGCGATTATGCCCCATCTGGGGAATGCTTAATTAGCAGGCGCCTTGTACCCAGGCTCCCGCAACGAGAATTCCATTGCGCATTTGCATGCAAAAACAATGGCAAATGTGAGTGCTTTTCTCCGAGACCGACATGTTATAGATTGAAGTTCAGTTCGGTTCGGTTCCCAGTCTGGTCTGGTTCACACTATTGTGATAAGGCCGAAAGCGTTCCATCAACCTAATGCATACAGTTATTTAAATTAATAAACTAATTTACTATGCAATCAGTGCAAACTGCTTGGGAATGTTTAAGCTATTTAAACATAGTACATATTATATAGGGCTATTAAATTCATTTTTTCAGAAACTCAGTAATTTAGCAACGAAATGAAGCTTACTCTATGGGTATTTAATTATTATTTAATATTTAAGTAACTAATTTGCTCTTTGTGCTGGCTGCGGCTAATATTTACAGAACATTTAATATGCGTGCTATATAATGCTCTACTCTTAAAGAACAATTAACACGTCAAAATTTTTACTTAAAAATCTTATTAACATTCGTCCAATTTGTGTTTATTTATAAAAAAAACTTTTAGAACTAAATTTTGTTTTATGTTATTTCATTGGATAACTAGTTATTTCTGCTTTTATGTTTCTAGCTATTGTAAAACGAAATCAATTAGTTCGCTTAAAAATTATTGAACAAATATTTTTAAGTTTCATTAAATCAAAATGTATATTAGGTAATAAAAGAAAATAGAAAAACATTTAATTATTCTAAGATATCAAACAAAACTTAATCGTTATTACAAATAAGTTAGTTGCAGAATATTTTTACTCATTTTCCAGATTGTCTTTTTAAGACAATTTAAGATGACATTCAATTTTTTAAACACTAAAAAATAACTAAATTATTCTGATAAAAAAAGTGTCTTCCTATTGACTTCTAAGCTAAAACCCATCACTCACCGTTCGATTTCGTTCTGTCCCTGGGCATTTGTCACCGCCGCAATGTACTTCATGATGATCTTGGAGGCCTCCGTCTTGCCGGCTCCGGATTCGCCAGAAATCAGGATGCAGGTGTCCTGCTGGCGCTGCTTGAGGACCCTGTAGGCGGCGTCGGCGATCGCGAACAAGTGGGGGGCGTTCTCGAACAGTTCGCGGCCCTTGTACTTGCGGATCGTCTCCGGGCCGTAGATATTCATCTGTCTGTAGGGATTCATCGAGACGCACACCTCGCCGATGTATGTGTAGATGGATCCAACTTGGAATCTGGCGGAAGAGTAATGGATGGTCGCTCATTAGTTGACGGTGTAGTGTTTGGGAACTCATTTCCAGCAGATTACGAAATTTCGAGATTTCGTCGGACTGGGATTAACTAAAACTAAATAGTGGGAGTGTCAGGTGGGGAGCCACCACCCGTCGTTGGCGCCTGCAGCTTTCAGTTCGAAAATTGCTTTTCAAACATTTCAAGAGAACATCGATTTGGATTTATATGAGATAGCTGCACCACATGACCTGTCGATCAATATAACTCACAGTCGCTATGTGGATCAAATTTTTGATCGCTTTTGCTGCGTTTTTGATTGACTGCAATGGGTTGTGCATGTGGATGCATTTATTTTGTACTCAATTTGTAAGGCGCCAAAAGATTGGCTCTAAAAGTTTGTTGTGTTAATAAAATGCATTCAGTTTCGATAAGTGGGTCACTTTTGGAAAGATAGACAATGAGATACAAAATGGGGCATGGAAATGTTCTATTTGGAGAAGATTTAAATTTGTAATTGAGGGCAGCCAAAAAAAATTGTGTTTTGTATTGTTATATAGTGCATAAGAGCATTATAAAGGGAACTTTTATTTAAAGCGAATTTAGTCAGACATTTGATTACTTTTGGAAAAATTCGAAAAGTCCACGTTATCTAATTTCAGGTTTAAAAAAAACGATATTAGGTATTTAGAAAATCGTTGAAAGAAAATCGTTAGAAAATGTATTGCTTTGAAAATTTAGTGATAGGTACCTCCATGTAAATTCCGAATTATTTATAAAATTAAAACAAATGTTCATATGCAAGGGTGTCACAGAAATCTCTTAGGTTGAAATTCGGTTGGAGTGAACATGTAATGTGATCACAAATTTTAACTAAAAAGATTTCTGTGTGACCCCCAATAATTAATTATTAAACTTTCTTTAGATTTACATAATAATGCCTCTTTTAGCAATTTTGTAGCCAAGAGAGGGGACACTTTTTCTGTTACTTCATTAGGTTTACTTACAAGCTTATGAAGTGTTTAAGATTTGACTTAATTTCAGTGCTGTCTCAATAGCAAAAAAGGCGAAGCGAATGGGATGCAAATGACTTGCCACAATTTGCAAGAAAATTACCCAGAGTGCCCCGAAAGTAGGAGTTACACCATTACCGACTACAAATTACTCCAGATGAGCCACATAATAACCAAAGTCCAGCCCCATAGACTGTGCAACAAGTATTACAAAACCCTGGACAACAGAGTGTTTTCCCAAAAACGAAAAACAGAAACCGAAACCGAAAATAAAGCACTAAATTACCAGACAAAAACGAGAAACGGAGAAATTGTTAAAACGCGATCTAAGCCGAAACCAAACAGTCAACAGTTTTCGTTAGCCCGAAGTGGGGAAATGCAAACGATTAAAACAATACACTTAATACGCGCATTTGTTTGTATTTATGTTTTGGCTGCTGGTTTGGGGCACCAGTCGCCCCCCGAACACATGTTTTTACTTAGCTTTTCAGTGCTTATTTTTAGAAGGGGCTGGCTTTTCTGCCTTTCCTACTTTCCGTTTCGTTTGTGTTTGTTTGCCGCCAGTGGGCTGCCATTTATGTTACTTTTGCCCACCAGACAACTGGGTCAAAAGAGTGACAGGCGACAAATGACTTAACGAGAACCTCTGAACTCCAGCCAATGGCCAAGAAAGCGTTTAGCACGGTTTTTAACTTTTTGTGGCCATCTCTGCGAGTTGCACTCAGTGGCAAAAGGGCGAGCAGCAAACGGCAAGCCTCTTAGCAAAAAAGAAACTTAATCTTAAAAGTGTCCATCGGCGTGATTTCTACGATTTCCCCCCCAGAACCATAATGACAACAACTACCATGTGAAATGGAGGTGGAGTGAGTGGGAGTGGAAGTGGGAATGGGGGTGGACAATGACCGCCCACGGGGTGCATGATTGACATAACGTCAAAATTTGTTTTGGGCCCGCATGACTCTCCACTCGCCTTTTGCGGAGGAGGGCCCAATGGGGCCATAGAAATTGTCGACCAGCCAGGTAATTGTCAAGAACCGGACTCAACGGCCAGCAAATCAGGTGCCGATCGAACTGGCAACTGATTTCTGTTTTCATAAAAGGGTCATTGCTAGAATGGTTAATTTTATAAGCTATTATACATGGACTATATGGTTTTAGGACTTCTTCAATTCAAAACGTAGTTTTTAAATCCAGTGGTAGTATTGCAAAACTAAATGAAAAATACCCGCAAACATGTTTACTAACAATTAAAATACAAATTAAAAAAAAACAGTTTAAAAAAACAAATATATAATTTATTAATTGACGTGAAATCACCTATGTTTGGATTAACATGGATTACTGTATGCATATTTAACATGTATACTTTAACTTAATATTCTTAATTGAACTTCCAATTCTAAAGACAACAAACTTATTTTTGTTTTTTTTTTTCAAAGAAATTACTTTTCTTTATAAACTATAAATCGAAAACTAAATTAAAGTTACTTGAGATGTATTACCGGTTGAATAAAAAATTACTCTAAAATTTGTATTTAATGGAACCATTTTTTTACGTTGTAAATTAATTTAAAACTAAAGTATTAAATAAAGTAGCCAAGAAGATAGGTGATTAAGTAAAAAAAGATTTTTTTAGTAAAGGAATCAAACTGATCCAAAATATCAAATATTCGCTTTTGGACTAAATTGTCAATTTAATTTTGTAAGCTTGTGTTATAAAATAAACAAAGTTCTGACTCATAGCAGCCTGAACTTGCTTATCATTCCAAAACTCCTCGCTGCACCCCATTTGTCATACATATATAGTTATCTGCTGCTGTACTTGCCCTCTAAAATCTACAACATATTTTTCATAATATTTATTTACTCAAGTGCCAACACATGGCTTTAGGCCCCCCTTTTGGAGTCGTCATCCGAAATGAAAAAGAAAATAAATTAAATTCTCTTTGCTGGCTTCGCACATTTTAATGTTCATTCTTTCGCGCTTCGCACTTCATAAAGTCGACTTGGTTGTATTCATCATAACGACTGTCGCTGACTGTGAGTGTCTTTATTTATACCAAGCCCAATGACGTAATTAAGATAAAAGCGCAAAATAAGAAAACAAATATATATCGACAGACACATAAGAAATTCCAACACTAAGCAACAAATTGTTTTGATGCAATTCTGTGTTTGAACATTTTGTTTAAACACCGAAACTTTTACTATTTTTACTGACTCATCTTCCTGAAACTGAGCACATGGCATTGGCATCCAATATTATTTAATTTAAAATTGTATCTATTAATAAACAAATTGTTAGCTTGGAGTGCTAACAAGTTTTCGTCTGACTCAGCGCCGGCAATTCTAAGTGCGATTTGCATATAGCTATTAGTTATTTGCAACGACTTTTCTCGCCTTCCGATGAATCATTTAATTCTGAAAATCGTACTCCACCCCAGACGGAAAATCAATAAGCTAACAGTGCATTTTTCATGGGCAAAGCAGACGGTTGTTCGCCAAATGTTTGGACCGAGTTGACGTCATAAGTTGGTCAACAAACTGGGCTTTTAGTGGGTCAATGTTTTTACTTGCCTTAATGGGGGTTTGTTTTTCTGATATCTAATTGAATTTAGGCGATTTATTGCTTATAAATTGATTGTGTGAGGAGGGCTTGAAAAGGTTGCTAACTTCATGAACAAGGGATGTTGAACTGTTATTAGTAAAGTAGTTTACAATATAGAAAACCAAATTTAATGGTAATTTCCTTGTTTTAAAATTTAAACAAAAACAAACAGTTTCGCATGGAATTTTTCTTGTTTTTATTTTTTTTAATAAAACAAATTGGCATGGAAATTTATTTGCATGAAATATTTCTTGTTTTGATCACTTTTGTTTCTACACCCCAGTGAACAAAAGTATGGAAAACATTAAAGAATAAGAAAAAATTCTTCACGAGTAGAATCACGAAAAGGTCAAGTTCCTTTGGCCAATTTTTTGAACGGCTGCCAATACAATCGCATTGATGGGAACCTCATCAGACCGGGGCAGAATAGCTTTTCCATCTTGTTATTAACGTTGTATACAATGCTCCGTTTCGCTTTTGTCTACTGACCATCTGCAGAATTTTTCCGAGCGACTTTTCAACGATTCTCGGCTAGTGTTTTCCCCTCAATTTGTGCAATGCACAATTGCATCTGGACCGTGCCTTCGAATTAACTTCAATTTACAGCCAGTAGACTCGAACGCAAATCAATTAACAGGAGCAGAAAAGTCTGAACGGAGCAGGCCGCTAAAGATTTGTGTAAACGAAATGCAGATGCCACTGAATTTTCCCCTGGACTTCTGCTCCAAGCAGAAGTTATTGCAATGCGAATGACAAACATTGCCTGGCTCTGGATAAACAAACAGAGCTGGAGCACTACACGGCGTCGTCTAGACGGGATCTTGGGTCGTTCTAAGACGTTGCCCCTTTCCCTTTCCCTGTGCCTTTCCCTATCCCTCAATGGTTTATGCTTTTCTTCCGAGAATTCGCATATTAACCAAGTTTATGGCATGGAAGAGAGGGAAACACCGGCAGAAAACTGGCCATCAAATCGCAGTGGTCACGATTTGATTTCCGTTCCGGTATCAGAAGTGCTTATCTGGGCTGGTTTGATGGCCCCTTATCGACTATTCAAGGTGGAAAATGTGGATGGGGAACTACAATAGATGAAAGACTCCCTTTGAACTGGAAGATCCAAGACAATGCAACAGCTATGCACTCTACAAATAAACAGACAATCTCCGATTGCAATTGGAAATCCAAGAAGTCTTTAATTGCTTTCTTCACTATGAAAACGCTGGCAATTGTTTATGTTTCTAGGGGGCCTTTAATATTTTTCTCCATAACAAAGGAAGGGGAATATCACACGGTTATCAGCTGGGAATGTATAAATAAATACTCGATATACAATTGGCAGGGATAAATATTAACGACTATAAATGGAAACCCTATCCAATGGAAGGTCTCGCCGCCACAATTGCATAACCAAAAGTACGCTTATCGCCTTGGCAGTAAGTATTAGCCATGGCTCGATCGATCTATACTATAGAAAACGCTTTTCTGCGACAATTTCTGGCACTTCGGTGGAAGTTTGCAATCTTATCGGGCCTTTGGCGCTGCTCAGAACCCCAATACATAAATAATTATAAAAGTGGAATGCCATGGGGCGCCGAAGTGGGTTTCAGTAACTGGTAAAACTATAATTAAAAATGGGGTTTTTGATTCGCTGTTGATAAAAAGGCAATATCAATTTTGGTAAAACGATAAGGCTGCCTCCTTTGGAGAGTTACTCAAGTTTAGTTTAAGTTTGAAATTTAAAAGTCATCGACTAAACTGAAGCATTCAAATGGATTGGACCCTTGGGATTTGGTTTGCCCATAAAAAAAACAAGCAAAATATATTTCGTTAAGTGCAGTTTATTGTCGCCTGCGGAATACTAAAATCCTAGCCTTGTCCAATCCAAAAAGTAAATAAAATAAAATCAGTAGAAGCACAGTCAAAGTGAGAAGCATTTAAATGAAAATGAAATGCAGTTTGTCGTTAGCATTGGAGGTTGAATATCGTCAAGTCAATGAATCATCAGTTGGATAGCTGGAATACTTGATATTATTTCACGCATTTATGAAGTGGCTAAAGTGGAAGACCTACTTTGAAATCTCAAGAACGTTGCTTGAGTGGGTGTTGTTTGATAACACCCTATCAACACTGATAGGGTTGAAATAAAAAAGGATTCCTTGAATTTACAACTCAAAGGGGTAAACCCCTAAGGTTAATGTGCAAATAAACTATTAAAATATATTAAGTCTGCTATTCTGTCATTAAAAACACACTTATTCCATCAGCCGATCCTTCACCTTGTCACACAAAAGGCATTTTCTCCTGGTTGTCAAACAAATCACTTGATAAAGCCCAAAAATAATATTCAAAATTCATAGCCCCATAAATGTTTTCCCAGACAGAACAGTTCATGGAATACTCGAGTGCTGTAAACACTAGATGCATCCCGAAAAATATAGGCCATATAAGTGAGTAAACAAGTGCCGAAAATGAAAACAAAACTTATCAGCTAAATAGACACGAAATGGGGTACTCGAAAGTGATCCATGGGAGGGAGCCAAAGGGTCAAAGGGCAATCAATCAGGGATTTTACGAGTCCATTGGCCCTCCCGTGAGGACACTTGACTTAATGGCAGTCGTAAAACGTCTCCTTAGTCGGCAACTGCGAACTTTGATTGCGGCAAACAAAGATCTCGCTTCTTTTGGTGGCGATCGAGGAAACTTTTCGGCTTTTTTTTTCTGGGGCAAACAAGTTTTCTTCCAAACACATTTTTTCATCCTCTATTTTGTGGGTGAGTCTCGGCCAAACTGACGCCATCAACCGGTTCGTATTTTGGCTACGCCATGGCATTTTTTTTTTTTTTGTTCAGTTTTCTTTCTGTTGACTTGAGTATCTGCAAGATACACAGCGTGAGTCAGATACATATTTTTTTATAATATTTGTTGAATAAAATATACTATTTCTAGCCTTATTTGCAGGGTGCCACAAAATGTATGATGTCATGTGCCAAATCAAAACAAGTAAATTACATACAAGTTATAAAAAATGCAGTCATTTCCCATTGGATTGATTCACCCGGTCGATGCCAAAGGAAAGTGAGTTTTTATCACTGCATTTCTTTTATTTCTTTTACGTTTTCGCGCAATTTCCACGCGTTTTTTGGCGCGTTTTTGACCCTCAGTTTGTTGCTGGTTTTCCTCAACCCAGCTGGCTTCGACTTTTCCGGCTTTCCAGCTAAAAATATGTATTAATGCGCAACAAATTGATTTGAGTTACGTTATGGTTATGCCAAGTTGTAAGACATGAAAATCGTGGTTTTAATCACGAGTCGTACTGTGATTATGTAATTAATCCAATTTACACTGCTTTATTTGCTTGCGATACATTGATAAGCGGTTTGTGAGCCACCAAAGTGGGTTAACGCATCTCTGACAGTAATTTCATTTTAATGACAGTCTTCATCACTTACGCAATCGAACAATCAACTACAGGGTATTACCATCTGTGAATGCGTAGACATCCGAATTTCCTTCAACTGATGGCTCACCAATTAATTTCCTTTTTCGACGGCAATTTCAACTGACAGCTCACTCAAGGCGAACACTTTGGTTTTGGGCTTATCAAAGCCAGCCAAACGTAATTGTAATAAATCGTCTGAGTGTGTTTAGTAATAAAATATATTTAGTTATTAGATGAATCAGTGATGCACTGGACTCGCTGACCAATTTATTGAGTTTTTACATTTATTTATAGGCATTGCAAAATATTTTGGGAAAGAGAAACCGAAACTATCATTAAGAGCCAAACAGGGCCACCGAACTCATTATCATAAAGGTCCAAGCGAAACCCCATACCTATTTCTACATATTTCCACAGTTTTGTAAACCTCTGCTAATCAGTTGAATAAATATGTGGACTCGACAATGCGGTGGCGAGAACTTTTCCCGATAATGATCGCTTTTACATGAAAGTTAGCGAGCCATGCGAACCAGCGACCCGGAGAAATGGATGTGGAGATACCCCAAGGGAAGCGGTTGCAACAAGTTGTTGACACTCGCAGTTAAATAAAATGAAATGGAATGAAATGATATAGGGCCCATGTGGGCTGTATGTACTGCGTGGTCGTCGGGGGGTTAAGGAACTTTACATAATGGGTAAGTTTGTAAGCACCTGGAACCACAGTGCCGGCCACACAAATATTGACATTTGATGTGGAGCAGTGAGTTGATTTAAAGTGAGACTGTTTCTAGAAGTGCCACTCAATAAATATGTTACTTAGATATTATAACTTCTAACTTGGTGATCATAAATCTAATTGACACGCAACTGTATTAGGTTTTCATGTACTGGAACTGACAATTTCATTAGCTTTTAAAGTTTTTGAGCAATAACAATTCAATAGATTTAGTTTTTAGTCATTAAAAAATCAAAATATTTAGTATTGAGTTGCTTAATATTGATCTATAAATCTTTTTGGCTCATAAATATGTTGTCATAGTAAAATATCGAACATGGTCATTTCAACTACATAATTCCTAAGTTTTTGAACAATTAAAATGTAGTTAAATTAGTAAATTATAATGGCATAAGGCTGCGTTTTAAAAACACTAAAACAAGATGTTTTCATTGAATTCCTCATTGTTGATCTATAAATTTTAATGGTACAAAATGATCTATAAATCTTAATGGTACATGAATATATTAGATCATCAAAGTTAATGATTGGAACTGACCATAGCCATCAAAACTAAACCAAATTATTTAAGTAAAATATCACAGTGCTTTTAACATTTTAAATATTAAAAGTATTATATAGTTCTTGTTTCTAGACAAAGTCTCCCCCCAATATATCATCAAATCTCATTCCATTCTCGAATTGAAATGAAAAGCCGCTAATGAATGCATTTAAAACCGAAAGTCATGGCACAAAGAGAAGAGTTTAACACTCTAAATGAGCATGCAAATGGGTCCATTGAGTGCGCCCTCGAGTGGAACACAGAAAGCGAGTGGAGTGGGTTAAATGGGGGAAATAAAGTCGGAGACGGAGAGCTCGGCTTTAATTGAAGCGCCGATAAACAAATCCAGTTTAATCAAGTCGGAAAAGCCAAGAACCGCAACCGGTTCTTCTGCGTGGCGCCCCCAGGTGGCAATCGATCAAACCAGAAGCCTTGAACTAGACCAACAGCTTGGGGGAAAAGTGGTTTCCCAAAGGGGGGAGGGGGGAGTACAGTAAAAGGAGGAGTGAACAGAGGACAAGGCCACCAGTGGAATCAATAAACACGCTGGACATTCGCCAATTGGAATTATCTGGACAAACTGGAAAATAACATATCAGCTTAGACTTTTTATGTCAGAACTCCGATGCATGGGGCAATACTTAAAAAAAAAATTATTTAACAGCGGAAGTAACTTTGCGACTTAAGAGAGTTTCTAGGAACTTAGAAACCCAACATTATAAATCACAACCCTCTTGATAAATATTGTTTTTTAAACAGAATTGTATATAAACAAATATATGTAAATACAAATAATTTTCATGAAACCATATTTTTTGCTTCTTTTATTTTTAAAAGTTACTAAAAGAAAGTCATATTGGTGTAGCATTATTTAGGCTCTTTAGTTTGAAAGCTTTTTGATTTTTATTTAAGTTTAAGTATTAAAAATACCTAATAATAGAACCCCTATACTTTTTAGATTCATTTATAAAACGAAGAGTCTAAAACCGTAGCCTAAGGAAATATTTTTAAACCACATAAGTTTTATTTAAATACTTTCTTGGTATTAATTTAATACTCATCAGAGTGAAAAATTGTATTGTACATAATACATAATAGTTTAAAATTCATTTCAAAATTTTGCACTTTCTATGATAATTTTTTTTGGGTCTAATAACTTTGGTATCCCTGTTAAAACTTTTTACTTACCGCTTTCGCAGGTTATCCATGAACTTCTCCATGGACACTTGGTCCAGAAGGACGAAGTCCTGCACTCCTGCTTCCCGTTGCAATGCCATGGTGCAGTGGTGTCCTGTTGCTGTCCTGTCGTCCTTTGTGTTTTGCTCACGGGCGGAGAGATGGAGTGAGGATCGGGGTTGCTAATTGCCGGCTGCAAGGGCAGAGGTGAGGTTTAGACTCAGGTAAGAATATCGCACAGGAATATCACGCTAAAACGACACACACCGAAAAAGTGGAAGCGTTCACTTGGCTTTTGTTTTGTTTCGGTTCTTTTTTACTTTTTGTTTGCCTCGCCTTTCGCGTCTCGCTTCGAATTTTAAATATACAATATCTATACGTATGTATATAAATTTCGTGTGTTTGCTGCCGACTGATTTTTATGTTTTATGAGCCAATTTCGGCCGCTTCTGCTGATTGTGACGAATAATTTTCGGTGTGACAACAGACACGACGACGAAATGCGGTTCGGTATCCGACGAAGATCAATAAAGAATATTTGTGGACCGATCGAACGCTTCCAATTGGACTGGAGCCACGAAAACGGGAACAAGATCGGGAACAACAAAAATAACGAGAACTCGATCAGGAACCACAACCACTGTCAACCTCACTTAAGGCCACAAGTTTCGCGACGTCGCCCGATATAAACATTTATTTTAGGATTTCCAAACTCCAGCCTATGATTTGCTACGATCTTTTTCTGCCCTGATCGGTGCGAACTAGTCCGGAATGCAGCCGATAAGCAAGCTTGCCGACGGCGGATTAATAACAACAAACGGCCGTCGGACAACCGCGTTCGAGAGAGTAAACGTAATAGAGATGGAAACATTTTGGGAACATCGATATCGGCGACGGCGCTATTTTAATATTTTAATATAATATATCGATAAAAGTAACGATATTTTTGCAATGAGCTTCCTGAAAATAAACAATGTTTTACAACACTGTTGTGGAAAGCGCGTCGTTGTTGAAATGTTTCTGCCCGATAAATATAAGATTATATTTAAGATTACATTTAAGTTGAAAACTGTTAGTATGTAAAATGTAATATACGTAGAAATTATTAGTACGAAAAGATATATAAATATATAATTTGTACACCCCACCAGTGGTTCGAAACTTTGATATGCACACAGCACAGACACCTTCCTACTTATTTCACGCCTTCGTCACAATGTCGCCGCTGTCGGAATAACGTGAGCCAACTATTAAATAAGAACGAATTGTTTAAAAGTTATAATATAATCTTTAAACTAAACCGCGGTTAAACTAATCTAAAGCATATTTTTAAATTAATAATTTTATAAATTTATTCAAGCCCAGACGGTTAAAAAGAGATAACAAACATACTTGCATATCACTTGCTACTAATAAATAATTTTGACCAAATAAAATATTGTATGTTTGAATAATTAGTAGGAAGGAAAAATAAAGTATTATCTCATATTTACTTATTTAATTAGTTCACTGACACCTAAAAATGTTGTGGACTAAACATATTTGAAATTAAGCTCTCGTTTGAATTCGGCGGGAAAAGTCGAGATTTTTTGTGTAACTCATGCAATTCACAGTCTGGTAACACTGATTCAAACAGCTGTGCGCCTTCGCCCTCGTAACATTTTGTTTCCACAAAAATCGGGATATAATGAATAAAATCACGCGTGCCTTCATCAGCGTGCTGCGCCAGAGCAGCTCATCCGGCGGCACTAACACCCTGCTAGGACGGCAGCTCTCCTACAGGAGCGACTTGTCCCTGGACAAGCTGTACCCGAGTGCGCGGCTACAAATCTACACGCCGCCCCCGCCGGTAAGTGGATGCAGTGGATCCTGATATAATATATCTAATATTTCCACACAACAGCCTCCTGGGAGCGCCAACAAATTCAACGGCTTCATTCCCATGGACAGACTGGAGATCACCTACAGCCGCAGCTCGGGACCCGGAGGCCAGCACGTGAACACGGTGAACACCAAGGTGGATGTGCGCTTCAAGGTGGCGCAGGCGGACTGGATACCCGAGCAGACGCGCCAGAAGCTGCTCCAGGTGCTGGCCAATCGGATCACCAAGGAGGGCTATTTCTACATCAAGAGCGACCTCACTCGCTCCCAGCAAATGAACCTTGCCGATGCCCTGGAGAAGCTGCGCTCCCTCATCCGCTCCCAGGAGACCTTGGCAGCTGCTCCACCCAGCGAGGAGACGCTAGAGAAGCTTCGCCGGCGCCAGGAGCGAGCGGCCCGCGAACGGCTCCAAGTGAAACGTGGTCGTGGCCAGATCAAAGCGGATCGTCAAGGACCCGGCGGAATAGAATTGTAGTTATTATTCGAAATTGTTGCACACAGATTCACATTACACATATACACTTAACTAAGCTATAAGGGCCATTTCAGGTTTTCACTTTTACATAGTTGATATACCCTCTGCTAGAGTATGGCAAGTAAATGACTCTTATTATATTTAAATTTACACAAATCCTGTGAAAGTGAAAACACGAAAAGACCCATTAGATATCTAGGGAAGCTGCTGATCCTCAGTGGCCGGCGTGACTGTAAACCGCTTGGAACTGGCCACCTTTGGTGGCTCCTCCTTTCCCACTTGCGAGGGCATGCTGGAAAATCGAGGACGCTGAAAGAACAGGATATGAACAGTCGGAAAAATAACAAATAATGTTTGGCAACTTACGGACTGCGGAGGACTTAGCTGAATGGTCACATCGTGGCTCCTTTGCGATGGCCTACTGACCACACTGTGGCGCTGACGATGCTCTAGTGTAGGCAAAACACCGGCCATTTTCGAGGCATACAGCTGCTCCAGTCGGTGGATGGTGGAGAATTCCGCTCCAGGCGGCTGCAACGAGAAACTGTGCCGGTTGCTAAGCGGCGACCATGTGTGCTGGTAGTTCGCCTCGTCCAGGTGGCGCAGAAACTGACGATTGAGTGAACCGAGCGCCTGCTGGTCCTCGGTGGCCAAATTGGCCATTAGCTCGTCCAAAATATCGGCCTCTGTCTCCACTTTTCCATGGCGCGCCAACTTGATGTCATGTTTCCAGAACTGCCGGTTCTTGCGCCCGATCACCGGCGCAATTTCCTTGACCTTCAGCACCAGGATGCCCATCAGGTAGACGCACAACACATTGGACAGCGTTAGGCACATGCTGATGCCGCCCAGGACGGCCAGTTCCTTGGCCTGGTTGTCCGAGTAGCGACGCGTCTTGATCACATCCACGTACAGCGAGTCGTCGTGCTCGAAGAACTTATAGATGCAGGCCACTGCCCACAGCAGTCCAGAGTTGACTGCCGGCGGCAGCAGAGAGGCGGATATGGCCACGCCCACCAGAGAGCCAATGTTGCCGCCCAGGATTCCAATGGCAGCCGCCGCTCCCGACGGGATGGCCGTGAAAACGCCCACGACCAGGGAGTGCAGGTCGCAGCGCGAGAGCATCTCCTCCGTGAGTCCTTCGCCAATGCCGTACTTGTGGTCCGTGGTGCACACCACCAGGCCGAAGAGGAAGCCCACCAGGGTGGCGGTCAGGATGCCAATCAGTTCGTTCAGCATGCCCAGCCTGCGAAGCGATCGATCCTGGATCACAGTCCCAAAGATGGCCGCAATTATTGGCCCCATTAAAGGGGAAATCAGCATGCTGGAGGCCAGGAAGATCGTGCTATTCTCCACCAGACCGAAGCTGGCCAGAACTCTGAAAGGGATTGATTGTTATTACTGGTGCTCCTTTATCTTATGGAGGTCTTAAAGTAGGATTGCAGTGTGCAGTAATAAGAACAATATTGTACAAACAGCTAAGTTTGCCTTATAAAGTATTAATTTCAGAATTATAAAGAATAAGAAATTAATAATTAAATTAATTTGCCGGCTGGACAAAGCTGATATATCCTTGCAGCTTTTATAAAAATTAAATATTCAATAAAAGGTCCACATTTTGATTTCTTTTTTGTTGACCAATTTAAAACAAAATAAAATCGCTTTTTAAAATAATAGTAAACAATTACCGCATATCGAAGTATATTCATCTATTAGTATCATTAAACAGCGAAGATATATCTTTTTGATTTAGTTTTCAGAATTCGTAGCTATAAAATATTTCTGAAACCTATACTATAAGCAATTTATTTAAATGGCTTCCAAACTGAGGCTCTTGTTTGCGTTTAAACGGACAAACGGACAATACTGATCGATAATATATATAGGTACTTTTTAATTAAATTATAAAAGGCTTTTCAAGGGGCTTATAAAAGATAAACTAATTTTCTTAATAAAATTGATTATTTTTAGGCAATTCTAATTTTTGAGTTTGTTTACCAATTAAATATTTGCAATTTTAAAATATTTAAATGCAAAATCGAATACCTAGTTCTATTATGATTAGTGTTAGCTAAATCTTACGCTGCCGAGACTAGGAGTATGCAAAAGTCGAAGGTAATGGCCGCATCCTGGCGCACATCCCTCAGGATCTGGGCCACATTCAATCGGGATCGCACAGAGTTCATGAATCGATTCCAGATCCCTTGCTTCTGGGCATTGATGTGCCTGCGGAAAGGAATCTTTATAGATTAATGTCTTAAATAACCATATTTAAAGCGAATTTAACTCATTGCTAGAGGGCTGCTCCTCCTGATCCTCCATGGTTTCACGCTGGACGTAGGATCTGTTGGCCAGGCAGCTGATCACAGAAACAGCCGATCCCTCCCGATCGCCGATGCCCCATTCCTGCAGTGCCTCATAGAGATTCTCGTAGCGCTCGTCAAAGTCCATGGAGAAGCTGATGTGGTAGGCATTCCCCTCCAGACTAGGCAGCCACACGGCGTTGGGTATGTGATACTTCTGCAGGATCTGGCGCACCACCTGCTCCTGGTCCGTGTCCAGTGGCATGTTGAGCAGGTGATCGTGACAGTTGCCATCGGTCGTCTGAATTTGGATTTTTGGCAGGGAAGACTTCAACTTGACGCCCTGCTCCGGTGATTCCCCTCCTATTCGGATGGTGGACAGGCTTTCGATCGTCGAGGCGCGGCTGGCGGTGCCAATGGGCGTGGCCCCCGCCCCGTTGACCACCTGGACGTAGCCCATCTTCAGGCGCTGCTCCTCGGCCTTCGTGGGTATCGTGATCGTGAGCAGCACGGCGGCAGTTCCCGTCATCGTTGCGGTTTCGTTTTACGTTTGCTTTTGCGGAAGTGACCCTCAGCGCTTTGTGTTTACAGCACACTTTGTATGGAATCGATCGAGTATCGATCTAGTGCATAATCACCAGCACTCACACGTGGACAAGCGGACACATGGGCAACTGGACAACTGGACGCACCCGGCACTGCAACTGCACTGATCTTCTTTGTACTGGAAGTGAGTTGAAGCCTCGCTTGTTATTGCCGCCACTGATAACGGTTTCTAGCTGGATGCTTCTTCTTGCCAATCTGGCAGTCACTTGGAAGCATCTCCCACTTGGCCATTTTTAGGTTCTGACTGGAATCGAGCTTTCGCCGCTTGCCGCCCGACGATTGGATTTCAAATCTAAACTTCGTTCATATATTTTAGCCGAAATAAAAACTTTCAAAATTTTGTTCTAAAGCACTATTTTAAATTTTGCTATTTAAATTTTGACAAATTTATAATATTAAAAAAAAAGTTAGAAGTTCATAAAAGATTTAACTTTATAAAAAATTTAAAAAAATGCTACTCTATTGTTAAAACTTAACATTGCCTTTATTAAAATTGTAGTAAAAATTGTACTATAGTTGTGATTTTTTTAAATATGTAAACAATTTTTTTTTGGTATTCAGTTTTTCAATAATTATTGTACAAGACTATTTAAAATTTTGGTATTTTAATTTTTATCTAAAATTCTATGTATCGTCATCGTATATTTTTATTGGAATAATTAAAGAGGATCTTACAATTTGTAAATATTTATAGTACTTAAAACTGACAAAATCATTTTTAATGCATTTCCACAAATAGAACAAAACTTTACCTTTTGCACATTTACATATTTATTCTATAAGGAATTTTGTTTATCTGAAAATACATATGTTTATTAGAAAGATCATTTTAATGTATGCAAAGTTTAAGGTCCATATATCACCGCAGATTTTGGAAAGTTTATCACCAATACGTATTGATCAAGCTTTCTATTCTAACTGACATTACATTTCGTGTTAGGATTTCAAACGAAACTTTTAGAACATTTTATTCTTTTTTATGTTTTTTAAATACAAAGATCTACAATAGTTAAGGGTTATTGTAAGCATTTTATTTGTTTGACCATACTTTTTTAAAATCACTAATTGTATCCTATTTAATCAAGGCTAAATATTTATATAAAAAATGCAAAAACTAAAAACTTTAAGAGGTATTCCAAATTTAGAAATAAAATTCAGTGGGGCACGAGTGCAAACAATTTTCCGGTTGGATGGTGTTTCAAATAATTGTAGGCTATGGTTAAAAGCATGCCAATTGACAGATTATAATTAGGCATTAATTGTTGGTTATTAAAATTATAAATGAGACCTTTTCTCAAGTTGTCGAAGTTTTTAGAGGAGCGGCTGCAGTTTTAATTAAATAAAAAGCTCATCTTCTATTAAGCGTTATTGTCATTTCATGATTCACTCGCCTGAGCAGATTACATAATATTACTAAACAAAACATTCGCGTTAATTTCACGCCTTTGGTGCACTTGAACGTCGACTTGGTTCAAGTTTAGCTAATTGAATTCTCATGGCGTGAGTGTTTCTGTGGGCATTTCTATGGATCGGATCGTCATGCGAATAGCAGCCAATTGGAGGTTCATTTGTATGCAGGTGGGACGGTGTGACGATAAATCGAGAATTTAAATACATCCAGTGGCGAAGAAACGAACTTTATTTGATACAAAAACATCAGAGCTTCGCGTATGTAGAGGCAAACGCAGCGAGAATGGAAGTGTAAATGCCACTAAAACTGACTAAACAATAGCTGAAATTGCACTTAACAAGGTTCTTTAGCTGGCTAAAAACAATTAAAATGCGTATAAGAGGCTGATATCTAGTAGACAATTGCTACACTATGTATATATGCTTAGGGGTATACAAAAGTGCAATGATGAAATGGAAATTAAATGTGGTGCCGAATTTCCCCGCTTTTCCTTTCCTAGACTAAGTCGACTCGTGGTTGTCTTACAAACTAATTAACAGCATATTGGGCAAAAGGCAAGGCTTAAATACATCCCGATTGCAGCTCCTAGAAGCGAATCTCGTTGCGCTGCACCTGGTCGTAGACCTGCGGCGTGAGCAGTTCGTACCGCCCTTTGGATGTCTGATAGTACAGGGCATCCTTGACCAGGCTCGGATCGTAGCCCTCCTTCTGCAGGTCCACCTTACGCAGCT